GCGAGCCGACTTCAAAAATAAGTGGCACAAGTCTTACGAAGGGAGGGCACGCCGCCAACAAAGTAGAGTGATTAACTATTAGCTATCAGATTATCTTCCCTCACAAAGGATATCCTGTCTGCTCTTGAGTATAGCGGGATCCTCGTACTTATTACTAGCACTGACTATCACAAAATAGGTGGCCTACTCGTCGTTATCGAGCACTCTGTGTCAGACTGTGCCATTTATTTCTGAAGTCGGCTTGGCCTAGGTAGGTGCGAGGTACCTACGCCGTTATCCATGCTCGAGGTCAGTACCGACTCGAGACGCCGCAGATGCCTATACAGCGAACTCTTAGCTACCATACGCTGTGCTCTTTTGTGAATAATGGCATCAGGACTTTATGAGCAGCCCGTGGCTGGAAAGGAAACCACAACTAATTCCATGTAATATCAACTGCACAAATTTAGAATAACATCAATTACCTAGCTCGCTAGGTAGGTAATACCCCATCGGCCGTCAGCGACTTTCGTCAGTCGCCTAAATCCGCAATCCTCGTTGTCCTGCTCATCCCATCAGGCGTCCCGGGAAAAGATTCCTTAGCGAATCTCAACGACGGCCATCTCCTGAGCTCTCCACGAAATGCCTACATTCTCGGGATACAGATGTCTGAGAGGACCACCCGCTGCTATCAGCTGAAGACTCAAATTGCGGCTCAAGGTGGAGTCTCACCTCAGCCACTGAAAGACCGCCACGAGTTGATACTGGAACACTTTGAAAGCGGCGAGCGTACCGCCTGTAAGGCTGTCTAGGTCCTTCGACTCGTTGTGGAAACGACATCCAATCCCACCAAACCTAAGTGTCTCTTGATCTGCGCTCTACAGGCACCCCGTCGGAGATGCCTCCCATCGCCGTCCACGCAGGGATAATTGGTGCTGGTATGGGAGGGCTTGCTGCGGCTATTGCACTGCGTCGAGGAGGAGTCAAAGTCACGATTCTCGAGGCGGCAACCGAACTTGGCGAGATTGGAGCCGGCATCCATATGTTTTCCAACGTCTCTAAGTATCTCATCCGCTGGGGTGTGGACGAGATCATCGGCGAGAACTTGGTTCAGGTGGATGAAGTGCGGACATGGGGTGTCAACGGCGAGGTGGTGACGAGAGTCGATCCCAAACGAGTCCACAAGCTCACTGGCTTTCCTCACCTGATCGCTCGCCGAGACCATTTACATGCTGGTCTTACAGAATCCGCGCGCCGACATGGAGTCGAGATCATTGTCGGAGCTCGGGTCCAGGAGCTCAAATACGCGGAAAAGTCGGCGACCGTCACCACGACTAAGGGAATCTCTTACACGTTCGACCTCGTGATCGGCTGCGATGGCATCAAATCAACCATCCGACAACATCTCTTTCCAGAAGTCAAGCCTCGCGCCCCATCCAAAGTTGCCGCCTACCGCGGAGTGCTTACTTACGAGGAGATCAGAACCAAGGCTCCTGAAGCGGCATCCATTTTGACCAACACAATGGATATGTGGACGGGGCCGAATGGCTATATAATGACGTACCCACTCTCCGGTGGCAAAGAGCTAAACGTCGTCACTTCGTTCTGCAAAGACTACTACGTTGAGAAGATGGAGGAAGTCGACATTGACGAGTTCAGAGGCTACTACAAGGACTACAGCCCAGCGATCCAATCTATCATCAAATTGGTCAACTACACGCAGCGATGGCCCCTTCTTGTCATGCCTCTAATGGACCGGTGGTCGAACGAGGCCAGAAACGTGGTTCTACTGGGCGACGCGGCTCATTGCATGCAGAACCACGTGGGACAGGGAGCAGCCACAGCGATTGAGGATGGCGTCTTCCTAGGTCGTGTGCTGAGTGAAGTTGTGCGCGGGGCGCTCACCGTTCCCGAAGCCGTGTCCATCTACGAGCAGAAACGGATACCCAGAGCATGGACCAAACAACAAGTATCTCTTGTCTCTGGTGAGTTGAACATGTGCTCTGATGCCGAGGACCTGCTCAAGCGGAACGCGTCATCCCTACCGGAAGCGCATGGCCTCGAGAAGAACGGTGAAGTCATGGGACAATTCCCGCCTCTTCCGCCAGAGTATCGATCGTGGCAGATGTTTGATTCGCCCGAGAGCGTGCCCGGGATCTTCTACTATGATGCTGAAGGCGATGCCGATAACGCAGTGTGCGAGTTCTTGCAGGCGAGGGATCGAGAGGCTGGCAAGGTGGATGAATTGACCATGGTAAGTGAGGCGCTCAGGAAGAAGTGGTGGGCAGCCGTCGATTTCAATGGCATTGGCTGAAAAACATATATGGGTTCACGGTCGAACGACAAGAATCTCAAGGACGGGAGAGACGACCTAGGTATCTTCTCCGCTGGCTCGACAGCGTGGGAGTTCAGCTTTCTTCCTCCAGCGGAAATCAATGATTGGGAGGTTTGAACCCAGAAGCCATAGGGCCAACCATGCCCACCTACAGCCTCTGAGAGCTCATCCAGAAACTGTGCCGGTGACCAACTGTGCCACCCTACGACTCCAACGTATCCCAAGACCCACTTAACTCCCTGCAATGCTCAGAGTTCGGCTGGCACTTTTCAGTGGAAATGGAATGACAAGCTGGTGCAGACTCAAGGACGATAGGGAGCTCAAGTAGTCGACGGCGGAATATACAGAATAGACCGTCACCAGCTGCAAAAAGGACCTCGAAGAACTATGAAATAGCTTCAATCCATAATCCCATACCTAGGTAACAAGTCCCGTCGGGAGGTAAATACTGTCACCATCTCTATTAGGTACCTAGGTAGAGACGGCGGCCGGAAAATCCAGCGAGGCACACACCACCTGCAGGCTGATTCGCCGCGAGCCTTGGTATTATACCTACCTACCCTCGCTCTCTACCTGGCAAGCCGACTTCAAAAATAAATAGCACAAGTCTTAGGAGAAGAGAGGACAGTAGTAGCAAAGTAGAAGGGATTAACTATTAGCTATTAGGTTATCTTCACTTATAGAGTGCATTCTATCTACTCTTGAGCACAGCGGGATCCTTATACTTATTACTAGATACTAGCTATCGCTAATTAGGTGGTCCCCTGGTCGTTATTCAGCACTGAGTATCAGACTGTGCCATTTAGTTCTGAAGTCGGCGTGCTACCTAGTAGGTACCTGGCGAGGCTGGGTACCAAGTGGTTTAATTCAGGCCGAATGTGTCTGCTGGACCCATCAAAACGATGCAGACCAGCATCCTTCAATGACACGCGACCGTTATTCCTTCACGAGAAGATTGCAGAGGTTGCATGCTTGCATCTCATGGATTCTCGTATCTTAGACTTTGTGGCACGCGACTTGTATCCTGGAGCCCCTGAGAAGAAGCCTCTCTCGGTTACGCGACACGGAAACCCTCCTGATCCTTGTCCATGCCACCGGCGACACGAACCAAACCTGTTCATCTAGACGGCATGCTCTTTCGTTAGAGAGGAAATACACAATTGCTTTTCGAGTCTTGAATGGTATAGAGCCATATGAACAATTTATTAGGATCTTGCTATGATCATTTCTGAACGAACATTCCCTGAAACCGGTGGGTGGAGATACTGCGACGCCCGGTCACGACGCACGAGTCACAACATGGGGCTCAGCCACCTCGAGATCTCTTCATGTCGTGAGTGGTAAGGCTCGAAACGGACGGAAAGACAAGGTTCCGATCGACTACTGAGGAGAGGAAACGAAGGCATGTGAACTTTGAACACTCTGAGAAATGCGCGTCACTGACGCGGGCGAGAGTTTTATCCTCGTATTATTCACCCTTGATTTGGTAGAACCCCGTGAAACCCCTCAGGTCAATGGGCGGTGCTCAGCCCGGACAAGTGGTTTAGCTGAATCAAGCATAAACGAGGTCGCTAGTAGTTTGCACACTTGGCGAGGCGAAGGCAAGCAAGAATCCAATTGCCTATATCAATGAGGCGAAGAGACACAAGCGAGAGAGCTTTGAGGACCTGGTACTAGTCATCCACCAGTGTAGAACATCTAGTCGTATTACTGTATCGTATCTTCCCTCTCCTCCTTCCTCCTTTTTGGTCGAGAGTCTGCACAGTAAATTGTCTTCTGTGAGTGTGGGCTGACACCGATAGTCGTCGGCTTGGTTCGACCAACAGCTTCTCGCAGATAGCCGCTAGCGAGCGGCCGAGTCAGCCTGTTGCTCTGTTGCTCTGTTGCTCTGACCTCTTGGGTGCCTCTTCGGCGCGCACTGGCGACCACTGGCGACCTCCAGGTCTGGCTTACAGGCACCCACGCCCACCCACGGGCACTGACAGGCCTAGTGACCCTGTGCATCTTGAGGGGCAGACCCCAAAACATCCAATCGGGCGGCATATCCAGCCCTTACTCCACTGAGCCCACTCACTCCTCCCAATAACCCAACGAGCCTGCACACTGCACGAGAACCCAGAGACTGCAAACCTACTCCGTCCTACAGACCGCAGAACTTCAGAATTGCACTCCATTGACCTCTACCAACACCCCCAGAAAGTCCTTCTTACCTTCGATTGAGGCAGATTCATGTGTAACAAGGTCGTCGCCATTTCTGCTCTCTATATTCCTCCGCCGACAACCACTGCCTAGCCTCCTCTCCGTTTGCCCACGTTTTGTCGCAGCATCCGAATATGCAGAGCCTGCCCGCCTTGCTGTGCTCTGAAAGGCAACATTTGGCGCTTCAGATCCTCTTCGAGAGTCGGTAAACCACCGGTGCAATGTCAGCCTCGCGCAGGGGAACACAAGATTCGACGTCGCAAGGTGCTTCAGCCAAATCAGGCTCAGTCCTTGCCGCCGCCTTTCAATACACCGAACCGAGTCGGCCTTCCCACTCTGCCTCCCGTTCGAGATCATCAAGCGTCCATCACGCGGGCATGAGTGGCCTCTCGCCACGACGCCGCGCTCAGCAGGCTGCTATGAACAGCTATGTCGCCAGCACCGATCTGCCTCCACCTCCACCGCCTATCTTTGTCCGTGCCCTGTATAACTATGAAGCCGATGACCACACCAGCTTGAGCTTTCGCCAGGGAGATATAATCCAGGTCTTGACCCAGTTAGAGAGTGGCTGGTGGGATGGCGTGATCAACGACGTTCGGGGCTGGTTCCCTAGCAATTATACCGCCGAGATCACAAATCTGGACGAACTGAGCGAGGCCGGTCTGGGAGTCCATGATGAGAGTGAGACCGGGTCAGGCACCGAGGAAGACTATGATGAAGACGAGGAAGATTCAGACGCTCACACTCAAGATGAGGACTCGGACTTGCCGATCGAAGGTGGCCATTCCCAGGCTCAGGAAGAGGCGGCGTTTTGGGTTCCTCAGGCGACCCCGGATGGCCGATTGTTCTATTTCAACACACTCACTGGTGTCAGTACAATGGAATTGCCGTTGGAGACGCCAACAAGTTCGGATGAGAGCGGACCACGCGATCGAAACAATTTTCATGTACCGGAGCAAACAAGGCCACCGCCTGAGATGATGGCAGGAGGGTACGCGCACAATGAAGAAGACTACGATGGATCTGCCTCTGAGGCTGATGGCGAACAATCATTCCTGTCTTCACGCAAGAAAGGGTCCGGTTCTATGACATCCGCTAGCATCTCAACCTCAACCTCCATGGACTCCCTTAACGTAAGTTCAGCCAGACAACTTGGAAGCCAAGCACCCAACCTTTTTACCACCACCTTTGAGTCTCAGCTCAATATGTCAATGGCCCTGCCTCCTCTGGGCACCAGCTCGACTTCATTCGCCGTAGGGCTGCCTCCAAAACTGTCCAAATCTCCCACACCCCGATTTTTCCTCGACGACGGAGGTGTCACTGCTGTCACATGGAACACCTTGGTGGAGAATATGCGCACTGCAATTGAAGCCTATCGTCATGCGATCCGCGTCCGCGCGCGCGCAGACTATGTTCGAAGGGCAGAAGACATTTCCGATCATCTTCGCATGCTGCTCGCCGCAGGATCAGGGACTACGGATAATCACTCGGGAAACCCTTCCATCATATCGTCAAACAAGGCACTGTATCCTCACTTTCGGGAGATGATGTCCAAGTTCTCAAAACTCGTCCTGTCCTCACATATCGCCGCCGCCGACTGGCCAGGGCCTGACGCATTGCCAAAATGTCTGCAAGAAGCCGATGGTGTGATGAATGGGGTGTATGGCTATGTAGAGGTAGCCCGGCAGCAGAGAGGCGAAGAGATTCCGCGATTGTTCCCTGGCTTTATAATGGGCAGTACCGTCGGAGGGAGCTGGCGAGACAACAATATCGAAAGCCAAACAAACTTGGATGAGGTTTCGTTTATGGATTCCAATGATGAGATCGGCTACCGGCCATCCGAACCACTCGACGCGAACCTCCTTCGACGCATCGAAGATTCCAAGAAGAATTTATCAGCTGCGATCCGTCGTCTTGAGGAGGTTTTGGTACTCACCGAGAAGATCGTCACTCCTGCGCGGCTAGCTGCGATCGGAGATACGGTCTGTCAAGGAGCAGGACTGGTTCTCGAACAGTTTCGACCCTGGATCTCCCACGTCGAGTCTATCGACCTCTCCGTGCTGGGAAATGTGTTCCAGAAACCATCACTGGTGGATTTTGGATCGCAGAAGCAAAAGGCCTATGATTCGATTGGTGAATTGGTGGCAACTTGCCAGGCTGTCACTACGCCACTTCCGGACGAATGGGCTGAAGTTCGTAGCGAATCGCTGGATATTCGCATTAACAACGTGCGAACTGCTTGCCAGCAGCTTGACACTCACGTGGCCAATGTGGGCTACGCGTTGGAGCTATTGCTCCCTGCCACCTCCCTTAATCCAGCTATGGCTACTAACAAGCGGGAGAACCGCGTGACAGACGGAGGTGAAACCTATCAGACTCATCATCTTCGATCCGATTCGAAGCATGCTGCAAATCTGCGCCCTGCGCTGGCAGATGTCGGTCAGTCAAAGTCATACACGCTTGGTGAGGATCCAATGGCAGATAAACTGCGCCGACCACCAACCAAGGACAAAGCAAGGCAATTCTTTGGACAAATCCCGCCGGATTTGAATCCCGTCAAAGCCCCTGTTGAGCCAAGCTTCCCCGCGGACGAAGTCCCCTGGTATTTGCAGCTCGACCACGCGGACGAAGTTACTTATGATACCAAAAACGACCCTCCGCAAGTCAAAAGTGGCACGCTTACTGGCCTTGTCGAGCAACTTACTCGACATGATCGGCCGGATACGAACTTCACGACGACCTTCTTACTCACCTACCGTTCTTTCACGTCAGCTTCGGAGCTCTTTGAGCTTCTGGTGAGGCGGTTCAACCTTCAACCACCTGCCGGCTTAAATCGAGACGAGTATACCATTTGGGAAGAGCACAAGCAGAAGCCAGCGAGATTTCGAGTATTGAACATCCTCAAATCGTGGCTGGAGCAATATTGGATGGAGGCCGACGATGGCAATAGTCAAGCATTACTTGAACGAATGCTGGCTTTTGCGAACCGCACATATACCACGACAAAGATTCCGCTGGCAAAGGCTTTGACCACCATCATCGATCAGCGATTGAAAGGAGGAGAGGCGTTGTCCAAGAAGCTTGTGTTGACTCTCACTAATTCCGCCCCGGCTCCTATTCTACCCAAGAACATGAAGAAACTCAAATTTCTGGACATCGATCCTAAGGAATTTGCGCGGCAACTGACCATCATTGAATCGAAACTCTATGGCAAGATCAAGCCGGTAGAATGTCTGGCCAAGACATGGGAAAGGAAGAGCAAGTCGGACAGCAGCGATACTGCTCCCAATGTGCAAGCTCTCATTCTACACTCAAACCAGTTGACTAATTGGGTTTCTGCAATGATTTTGGCACAATCAGAGGTCAAGAAGAGAGTGGTTATCATCAAACATTTTGTGCTGATTGCCGAGGTGAGTTCGCCTGTTTTGACCATGTACCAGTACTAATGTGCTACACAGCAATGCCGCATATTGAACAATTTCTCGGCTGTAACAGCCATCATTTCAGCACTCGGCACTGCCCACATAGTCCGACTGAGTCGAACCTGGCAATCTGTCAACCCCAAGACAAACGCAATCCTCGAGTCCATGCGCAATCTGATAGCATCGTCGAAGAACTTTGCACTTTACCGCGAAACACTACGCCAGGCAACACCGCCGTGCATTCCCTTCTTGGGTGTCTATTTGACCGACTTGACGTTCATCGAGGATGGGATTCCGTCACTTACCAAGAACACAGAGTTGATCAATTTCGCCAAACGGACCAAGACTGCCGAAGTTATTAGAGACATTCAACAGTATCAGAATGTGCCTTATAGTCTCCATCCAGTTCCCGAATTGCAGGAGTGGATTTCCGAGAACATGAAGAATGCTGGTGACTCCCACGACGACATGTTCGCCCAGAGTCTCAAGGTTGAGCCACGCGAGCGAGAAGAAGAGAAAATTGCTCGGCTACTGTCCGAATCGGGATTCCTGTGAATTGAGCAATACACCAAGGCTGAATCCACTGTTACACTTTGCTTTTGTCCGGAACAAAGGTATGGTTTTCTCCGGGATGAGACAGCTTTGGCTATAGGGACGAGGTTAGCACCACGCCATGCAGCAGCAACTGGCATGCATGAGTGATGGGACACCCTCGTGGTGTGTGTTGCGTCCTGTGAGTTGGACGCCCGACGACATGAAATCAATCGGCGCATGGCCTGGGAATAATGTTGGCAAGCATATGGTGTTAGGACGAAGACATGTGGGATTGGATTTGGACGAGGAGATATGTGCCCACGTCAAGTTAACGAAGCTCTGCATGCTTGTGGGTATGGAAATCTGGCTGCATTGGGGATTCTGTTGTGCCTGTGAGAGTTGGAGTCTCTTTTCCTTGCCCCAGGACTGGCGGCGTCTTGTGGCTTTGCTGGAAGGGCGAGATTGGGGGTGCATGAACCAGTGATAGTCGGGATAATGGAGACCTGGAGAGGATCAATACAGAGGGCCATTCCCGTGGATTGGATATGGCTGGCTTTGTTTTTTTATTTTCTCTGTGTGCGCTCCAACTACTAGGTATCTCCATATCCCTCCGAAACGCGTGGATAGCTTTTCGTATAGATCAGATAACGCTCTATATAGCAAGCCTGTCGATATTCTCTTGCAAGGCTGCCGGCTCCTTTCCTGGATACGGCGGTTGATGGGCGTTTTTTGCCGATATAATAGCCAGATATCTACCTAGTACATGATACATCCACTCGTCGATACAGACAGACTGACAGGCCAGGCCATGTTCGTGCTTCTCCGCCTCGGCGACAACTCCGCACTCCTCACCACCAAACACCAAACACCACCTCCACCAACTACCAAATTCCAATGCATTTCTGACCCTCACTGACCCGCCATTTCCCTTACAATCTGACATCCCGAAGCCATTGTCCTTGTACATGCCTTCGCACTTTACTTCGACCTTCACAGCTCTTACACGCAGCTTCCTGCCCGCCGCCGCCGCGCGCAGACCTTGGACAACCAGTTCCCCGCACCGCTTCACCTCGCTCCCTGCGTCCCGACCACAGTTCAAGATCTCGGTACAGACGATACGCAGGATGTCATCCTCCGTCGCTGCCATGGGCAAACGCCTGTCGGGCAAGACCATCCTCGTCACGGGCGCCTCGTCCGGCATCGGCCGCAGCGTCGCGCAGGAGTTCGCCCGGACGTCGCCGCAGAACCTCAAGATCATCATCACCGCCCGCCGGGTCGAGACGCTCAAGCAAGTCGCCGCGGACATCAACAAGGAAGTCGGCGACGGCGTCAAGGTCTTGCCTGTCAAGTTGGACATTTCAAACCCGGCCGAGGTCGGCAGCTTTGTGGGAAACCTGCCCGAGGAGTTTAGGGATATCGATGTCCTGGTGAACAACGCGGGTCTGGTCAAGGGCGTGGATAAGGCGCCAGACATCAAAGCCGAGGATATGGAGGTCATGTTCGCCACGAATGTCACCGGCCTGATCAACATGACTCAGGCCGTCCTGCCCATCATGAAGGCGAAAAAGGGAGATAATGGAGAAGACGTCGGCGGTAGAGGGGACGTCATCATGATCGGCTCCATCGCAGGCAGGGAAGGTTACCCTGGCGGAAGTATCTACTGTGCGACCAAGGCCGCCGTGAGGACGTTCACAGACGCGCTGAGGAGGGAGTTGATTGCCACTCGGATACGAGTCATCGAGGTGGATCCAGGCCAGGTCGAGACTGTACGTCCCCCCCTTTTTCCTTATCCTTTCCTCCCCCAAAGTCCCCAGAAGGGCTCTCTTGATACGGAGACCAATGATACCTGACTGTCGCCATGAGCCTGCAGGAATTCTCCGTCGTCCGCTTCTACGGTGACAAGTCCAAAGCCGACGCAGTCTACAAGGGCGTGGAGCCCCTTACACCCGACGACATCGCAGAGATTGTTGTGTTTGCCGCCGGAAGGAGGGAAAATGTCGTGCTCGCGGACTCGTTGATCTTCCCGAACCATCAGGTCAGGCTCTACTCCCCCAACACGTTCAAGATATACTAATATGTGTGGGTCGTAGGCATCTGCAACAGTCATGCATAGAAAATCAACATAAGATAACAGACTACTCACCCCTTTTCCGTCCAGGCCGGTCACAGCGTCAGTGTTGTCGGCATGGAGGTAAGAAGGGGAAGAGCGTCCAGATGGGGGATCCCAAAAAGACACTTTTCCAATGTGTTCGAGAATCTGTTTCCGAACCCCAAGAGCCGTCACGGTAGGTAGTTAATTGAGGGGATATGGGGAGTCGATCCAGAACGCCTGCGGACTTGATGGCGCACAATGTACAGAATCTAAGAAATCATATAGACTGATACCATTTTCCAATGGAACAGGGAGAAGACGAAACAAAGTTTGTCTTTTACACTAGAGATAGAGAATATCCTGACCTGAGGGGGACGTGTGAAGGGACAAGTTTGTAGACTGGGCTTGTGTTCGCCTATATTGTTTTCTTTTTCGAACAGCTCGTCTGCATCCTTGCACATGGACGATGATCGTGCCTCCTCTCACAGGCCAAGCCACGATAGGCTGTAGGGCGCAAAAGAAAAGGCACAGTAGGAGCTATGTAAATCGTCCCAGCCAGCAGTCACCGTGGAGTCGTTTCCTTTTCCTTTTTTGAAGCACCAGACGAGGTCCAGATCCTAGTCGCTTATGAGGCTCAACGCACTCGAACAATTCTTGCCCTATCTGCTGGTTGTGTGATTATTGTTTCTTCCTCTGGACTGAAGAGCCTATCATTGTCCCCCACCTGTCATTGTGCAATAGATTTGCTGGAACTCTTGCCGCCTTTTGCGGAAGAACCGTCCTTGCGTTTCTTCAGGTGCTGGTGGTCAGCTCTCACTTGGGAGACTTTTTGACAATGTCAGTCTTCCAGGCCGTAGTTGGGGGAGTGCTTGACATACTTCTTCTGGGGCTAGATTCGAGGGCCTTTGTTGACGCATTATTGGGTGACTGGGGACGTGACAATTGCCGACGTTGGCGTTGGCGTTGGCGTTGGCGTTGGCGTCGGGTGGTTTTTCTGGATGGTCTGCGGCTGTGCTGCTGTTGCTGTTTGCTCTTTTCTTCCGTCTTTTTACATCCCTGGCCTTGGCCTCTGTTCTGGTTCTCCTGATCTCGCTGCTGGAATCCCAGCTCGACGTCGTTTCTCCCACTCTCATTGCTGGACATCGCCACCCCGAGGCTTTTGCGTCGCTGACGGTAGCTCGCACTTTGTTTCGGCTGCCTTGTCGTTTCGGGTGACCGCGACCGGCTCCGACATTCTTCTTTCTTGGGAATGCGAATGTGAGTTACTGGTTTGGGATCACCAGTCACTCCGAGAGCAGCCAGACGTTCTTCTTGCTCCTTAGACAGGCCAATCCCAGTCGCTTGATGTGGTGGAAAATTTTGATCCCCATCTTGATCGTCGGCTGCGGATGAGTTCGATTGGCGACGGTGGTAAGCTTCGGCCACGCTGTAGCGTGAAACGATGGCGTCCGCTTTGCGCTGGTAAAGCTCCTCAAATGCCACTATCGCTCCGTGAGTAGCAATGTCTGCAAAAGCCGGATCGTCCTTGACAGAGTGCCAGCGTTCGGTGTCGCGCACCGATTTGAAGTACGTGGCGTCTTTGGTATTGCGGAAATATTTCGAGACAATGACTGTTTGCTGTGATTCCATCCAGTCATTCTCTTCCATGGTTGCGCCGAAGGCTTGGATTCTTCGTTGGATCGGCGAGAGCTGTTTTACAGCCTCAAGGCTAAAATCATCGGCAAAGTTGAGCAATTGGAGTTCATCGTCCAAGGGGACATGGCCGGTCTCTGGGACATGGGAGACGGGTTGCCACAGGTGGGACGGATACTGAACAGGATGCATGGAAGATGCAGATACGGAACAGGTGACGCGAGGCGATGAGCTTGTCGCAAATTCTGGACCATCAGGGTCACTGCACTGCCATTGATTCCCAGAACATGAACTGCTAGACAAGTCGTAGCTCTGATCATATCGACATCCTGCTTCGAGGCGCATGACCTGTCCAGTGTACTGAACTCTTTGGCTTCGACAGGGAGTCCTTTTTTGGAAAACTGTCAACAGGTCGACTCGACCAAAGGAGGCGGGCGTCACTCACCAGCTACAACCAGCCTGGTAGCTGCCATACCCTTCGTAGGAGTTGATGTGGTTGCCTTCTTCACTGCGACTTTCTCTCAACACAGGGCTTCTGCCATTGCAGTAACTACCCGCGAGGCCGCTTGTGTTATTAACAGGCTCTGCCACCGCTTGATGCTGCCATGACAGTATCTTCTCGGGGGGATCGGGTCCCATCATGAGCCACGGGTGTGACAATGGGACAGCGACTGATGATTTCCTCCGCAAGACCAAGGCAAAGCGAAAAATAATATAACTAGCAAGCGGCAACGGATTTGGAGGGAAGAGCTTTGCAAGCTGAAGGAAAGGAAATCGAGAATCACCAACGAAGCGAGTGATGGGAGGGGAAGAAGTCGACTTGACAGTGCTTTGAGAGAAGTCTTGATCGTTGAGACGTAATAGGAAGTGAATGTCGTGGTGCATGGCAGGGAACAGAGAACAGAGAACAAAGAAGCAGAGGCAACCTCTGGCTTTCTATATTGTTGAAGCGGCCATCCACAGTGTACTGACGGAGGAACTTAGAGCTTGTGGAGACAAGTGCCACTTGCCATCCTGTGCTATACGCGAGAGAATTGACGCGCATGGGTTCTTGATCTACGAGGCGAAAGCTGCTTGTAACCGAGTTTTGACGGTTCATTGCAGGCTCCTTGGGGGTTGTGAACCAGCAGATGCCAGCGGCTGTGGAGACTTCGACCGAGAGAAAGGGCCGCATCTGTGGGAGTTATCAAGGTCAAGGTGCATAGGGACAATTGGGGATGGCCAGCGGTCAGTGCCTTGAGATACAGGATGAAGATGGTGGAAAGTGAAGTGGCAATGAAGTGAGCATATGAATTAGAAAGGAGAGTGTGGACAATTGCCCCTTTCAGAAAGCCGCGTGCCCGTTGCTGCTGCTGCTGCCGCCGCGGCGGCGGCGTCATCTTCACCCTACAACAACCTGGGTTCCTTGCAGCAACAAAAGCTGTACCAATTCCCTGGGCTCTTCCTTTCCCTCCACTCATGCCGCGTTCCTCATGTTCCATCACTCTGCAGCATTGCTAGCATTTCCCCGGAGTTGGGCATCATGATAGAGCGCAGCGACTCCTGCAACGTTTCAAAGAATTTGTCTTAAGCGCAGTCGCTTCAACCCTCCACTGCTTCCCACCCTGTGGCTGCAACAGTGGCAGGCCTGCATACCTTTTTGCAATGCCTGGTCTACCTGGTAGGTCTCCTGCTGTTCGTATAGACAGCACATCGCTGATGACGAAACGCTGCAGCCAGTATCGATCTCGATGAATGCATCGCGCAACTGTACAAGAAAAACCTTCTGGCCGAGTCCCTGATCGAGGCAATATGTGCAAAAGCAAAGGAGATGTTGATGAAGGAGAGCAATGTGGTCCACATATCGGCTCCTGTCACGGTCGTCGGCGACATCCATGGCCAATTCTTTGACATGCTGGAAATCTTCAAGATCGGTGGCTTTTGTCCAGATACCAATTACCTTTTCCTCGGTATGCGTGTCGCCTATGCAGTTCCATATCCTCTTTGCTAACCGGCCACGCAGGCGACTACGTAGACCGTGGTCTATTCAGCGTCGAGACGATTTCCCTTCTTGTTTGCTTAAAGTTAAGATACCCCCAGCGCGTCCATCTCATTCGAGGCAATCATGAATCACGAGGCGTCACGCAATCTTACGGCTTCTACACGGAGTGCGCACGAAAATACGGCAATGCAAATGTTTGGCACTATTTCACCGACATGTTCGATTTCCTTACCCTGAGCGTGGTCATCAACAACCAGATCTTCTGTGTTCACGGCGGCCTTTCTCCGTCCATTCACTCCATCGACCAAATCAAAATCATTGACAGATACCGAGAAATCCCCCACGAAGGACCCATGGCGGACTTGGTATGGTCAGACCCCGACCCGGAGCGAGATGAATTTTCGCTTTCGCCGAGAGGAGCTGGATATACCTTCGGGGGCGATGTGGTGAAGAAGTTCTTGCAAGTCAACAGCATGTCTCATATCCTTCGCGCCCATCAGCTGTGTCAGGAAGGCTATCAGGTCTTGTATGAAGACCGTCTGAGCACAGTCTGGAGTGCTCCGAACTATTGCTACCGTTGCGGGAATCTAGCGAGTGTTCTTGAAGTCAGTGATGCCGGCGACCGCTACTTCAATATCTTCGACGCGGCACCGGAGAATGATATACATCGAAACGAGCAGCAGCAGCAGCAGCAACAGACGCAGGGAAAAGATGGTCAAGGTTCTCACATTGAGTACTTTCTCTAGTGTTTGGATCATTTGGCTCGTTGGGTCATGTTGGAGTCTCCAATGCATCATGCACAGCACAAGCTCTCAAGCCAGTCGCAACGCATTCGTGGCCGATGTCGCTCTCAACTGCTGGGGGCTCGAAGGCACGGCCAGCAAGACGGCAGCTTCGGCTCAAAGCCGGATATGCTGGAAAAGAAGATTGGGCGCCCCGAAACGGACACCCCGATCACTTCCAGTCCTTGGCGATATCGAATGACCAGTCGAACTCGAGATGTGTACGGTTGTCGTCATCAGCAAACCTGGTACTTGCCTCGTAATGGCCACGAGCCAGCATGCCGGAAGGAGCCTCTTCTTCGGCGAAAACCTTCGTGTATGTGGGTGTGTTGGTGGTGTTGGGGGCAAAACTGCCAATCATCTCCTGGTCCTTGCTCACACGGATACCTTTTCGCTTGACAACTTGGATATACTTGAGACCAGAAAGCACCTCGTGGTGGACAGTGAAGACGGCCTTCATGCGGTACTTGGAGCCTTCCTTGATGGTGAAGGGGTGTTTGTTAAGAGTTTCGAGGGCTCCGGGTTGAGTTAGATCGATGATTATATCTGGTCGGCCTTCGACTTCCTTTGGCCTCTAGTCAGGCACCGTGAAAAAAGTGTGGATTTGGACAAGCTCACCAACGCAAGAGATTTAATGATGCATGTGCGAGGGTCGTTAGGGTCGCCAATTTGCGTGCCTCCGCCCAGGCCCAGTGATTCCTTGTATCGCTTCATGGCCTCGTCGTCCGCGTCTGAGGGGGATTGAGCAGGTTAGTGCATAGCCACAGAGTCAATTAAGAAGAGAACACAGGTCTCTGATGATGGCAACCGTCTCAAAGCCTTTTGTAATTTCCACACTCTTTGTCCTTCTTCTCTGCGTGATTATGACATGGCAGACACAAGCAACTCACCCAATTTCTGATATTCCTCCAACGTCTTCTTCTCCCCCACCTTGAACCCTGGTGTATGTTCGGCTTGGAGATCGTCCGCCATGTTCGTTGATATAAGACGATGTTGTCGATTCAAATTGTCCCGGTCACAGAAGTTGTTGTCGTTGAGTTCTTTGGAAGATTGTACGGCGAGTGGAAGAGAGTGTGGAGTGTTTGGAGGGGCAGCACATTTTGAAACCGTTTCAACTTTCAACGCTGACCTGAGCCTCAGCTGGAGGCTGGAGGCTGGAGCCAAAGGCGGTGGGCTTAGTGCTGCAGTGAGTGCAGTGAGTGCGGCGGGTGTGGCGGGTGTGGCGGTATGGCCGCAGAATATCACGCTAACTTGCAATTAGAAAAGCGCGTCGCGTTCACGTCACTTGCTCGCTGCTGCTCGAATGATTGATAAGTGTTAAAAGTGTTTCTCCGCGACTCACCCCATCCATCCGCTCCTCTGTCTGATTGTATTTCTCTCTTTGACGACAAGATCGTGAAGATGCCTGGACGCGTGGTTGACCAGCCCAAGAAGAGGGTTTTGATTGACACCACCAACACCCACAATGTCCTCAAATCCCCGCCGTCGGCGAAGAAGAGGAAACTCAACGGCAATGGTCCTCATGTCTCCTTCCACTCTTCGCAGCCCGGCTCGAATGGGTTCAAATCAAAGCTGGGCTCGTCCCAGCCGAAGAGCCAGTTCGAAACCGAAGTCCTCGAGAAGATGACACAGGACATTGCAGGCTTGAAGGAGAACAATTCGGAAAAAGACCAGCAGTGGGAGAGACCGAGTCTGGACGACTTCAACCCAGACTCCGACCCATTACGATTCCAGCAGATTGAGATCGAGGAAGGCACCTTGCCGGGGGGGAAGATTGCCCTCAAGATGTTCGGTGTATCAGAGGTTGGTTGACCACTTTGTTGAACCATCATTCGCTAACTACCACGCAGACTGGCCACTCCATCCTGCTCCATGTCACTGACTTCCTCCATTACCTCTATGTGGCAGCTCCCGTCAATTTTCAACGCTCAGACGTCGAAGGCTACAAAGCATACCTCGAAACCCAACTGGCACAGCATCAACCCATCATCCATTCCGTTCAGATGGTGCTTCGCGAAAACCTGTTTGGGTTCCAAGGCAATCAAAAGAGCCCCTATCTCAAGATTACAGTGACAGACCCCAAGTTTATCAACCGATTGCGGACCTCAATAGAGGATGGACATGCCAACTACAAAGGAATGTGGAAGGGCGTCGAAAGCAAAATTTTGACCTTCGACAACATTCAATATGTTCTTCGCTTTATGATTGATACCGGTGTCACTGGAATGTCGTGGGTTGAGGTCCCTCCGCAGAAGTACCACGTCCTCCCTCAGCATGAGCGGCAATCTAATTGCCAGATCGAGGCATTCTGTCACTACCGGGATCTGATCGCACATGGACACGACGGCGAATGGGCGAAAATGGCACCACTCCGAATCTTGTCCTTCGACATTGAATGCGCTGGTCGTAAAGGCGTCTTTCCCGAAGCCAATCAAGATCCCGTTATTCAAATTGCAAACGTGGTTACAAAATATGGCGAGTCGAAACCTTTTATCCGAAATGTCTTTGTGCTGGACACGTGCAGCCTGATTGTGAATACAAAGATCTATGAACATAAATCCGAGTCCGACATGCTCATGGCATGGAGAGACTTCCTAGAGGAAGTCGACCCGGATGTCATCATTGGCTACAATATTGCCAACTTTGACTTCCCCTACCTCCTTGACAGAGCAAAGCACCTCAAACTGACGAAATTTCCTTACTGGTCCCGGCTCAAGAGTGTGGCATCCCACGCTAAAGACACCAACTTCTCCAGCAAACAAATGGGTAATCGTGATACGAAAGCCACAAACACCAATGGACGAATTCAACTGGATCTGCTGCAGCTCGTTCAACGAGATCATCAACTTCGCAGCTACACTTTGAACTCTGTCTGTGCTCATTTCTTGGGCGAGCAGAAGGAGGACGTCCATCACACTATGATCACAGAACTATACAATGGGACTCCGGATTCGAGGAGACGATTGGCCGTCTACTGTCTGAAGGATGCCTACCTTCCACAACGGCTAATGGACAAACTTATGTGCCTCGTCAACTACACGGAAATGGCTAGAGTCACGGGGGTTCCTTTCAACTACCTTCTCGCTCGAGGGCAACAGGTGAAATTTATCAGCCAACTTTTCCGGAAGGCTTTAGAGCAGCAACTGGTCATCCCGAATCTGCGAAATGAAAGCACGGACGAGCAGTACGAAGGTGCCACGGTCATCGAGCCCATTCGAGGGTATTATGATGTACCGGTTGCAACTTTGGATTTTGCTTCCTTGTATCCTTCTATCATCCAGGCCCACAATTTGTGTTACACCACGCTGCTGAACAAGAGCATCATTGAGAAACTCAACCTCAAAAAGGACGAAGACTATATTCTCACCCCCAATGGAGATCTCTTCTGCACTGCCAAAGTTCGGAAAGGACTTCTTACTCAAATTCTGGAAGAGTTGCTTGGTGCACGAAAGCGAGCCAAAAAGGAACTTGCTGTGGAGACAGACCCATTCAAGAAGGCCGTGCTCAATGGCCGTCAACTTGCTCTCAAAGTGTCTGCAAATTCCGTCTACGGTATCACAGGTGCCACTGTTGGGAAATTGCCCTGTCTCGCTATTGCCTCCAGTACCACAGCTTATGGCCGTCAAATGATTGAAAAGACAAAGCACGAGGTCGAACAAAAGTACACAATGGCAAATGGCTACTCCCATGACGCCCAGGTCATCTACGGTGATACTGATTCAGTAATGGTCAAGTTTGGTGAGAAAGATCTTGCGAAGACCATGGAACTTGGAGAGGAAGCCGCCAACTTTGTCTCTGCCAAATTCATCAAACCAATCAAATTGGAATTCGAAAAAGTCTACTTCCCCTACTTGCTGATCAACAAGAAGCGATACGCAGGACTGTATTGGACGAATGCAGAGAAGCATGACAAGATGGACAGCAAAGGCATTGAGACTGTCCGTCGAGACAATTGTCGTCTTGTCCAAGTCGTCATTGAGACGGTCCTCAAGAAGATCTTGATTGATCGTGACCTAGAGGGCGCACAGGACTATGTCAAGGAGACCATTGCTAATCTTCTGCAAAACAAGATCGATCTTAGCATGCTGGTGATTACGAAGGCACTCAGCAAAAGCGACTACACTGCCAAACAAGCGCACGTGGAACTAGCCGAGCGGATGAAGAAACGTGACGCAGGCTCAGCCCCAGCACTGGGCGACCGCGTTGCGTATGTCATGGTGAAAGGCGCCAGCGGATCGAAGAATTACGAGAACTCAGAAGACCCGATATATGTGCTCGAAAACAATGTGCCCATCGACACAAAATATTATCTGGATAATCAACTCGCCAATCCTCTGGCAAGAATCTTCGAGCCTATCCTCGGTGAACGACGCGCTAATTCTCTGCTTGCGGGCGACCATACACGGTCCATCTCCGTTGCTGCCCCTACGCTCGGCGGACTGATGAAATTCGCCAAAAAGACGCAGACATGCATGGGCTGCAAGAAGCCTCTTGTCAACGCCCAAGAGTCCAAGGGCGCGGTGTGCGAAAACTGCCGTCCCCGAATAGGCGAGTTATACACCAAACAAATCAAAAAGGTTGGCGAGCTGGAAGTCAGGTTTGCGAGACTGTGGACGCAGTGCCAACGGTGCCAGGGGAGTATGCACTCCGAGGTGCTTTGCTCGAGCAGGGATTGTCCGATCTTCTATATGAGGATGAAAGCGAGAAAGGAGGTGGAGGAGTCAGGAAAGGAGCTGGCAAGATTCGATGCCGATGTGGGTGCAATTTGGTAGAGACAGGCGTGCTTGATGGAAGGTGCAGGAATTGGGGCGACATGTTCTGCTGGCCACTGGCGTTTACTGCTGTTGATTGGAATGAAAAGCCCTTTTCTCTGCACAAAGCTGCAGTCCCGTTGTTGGAGCGAACAGAAATACCGCCCGTATCCAGTGTTCCTGCTAGTCAGTATACTGCAGGGCATCTGAGACCAGTGTCTGCAGTTCTGGGCCACAATGCATTTAGAATCAGCATTTGACAGTACGTACAAGTACCTAGTAGTAATGGATGGATGCTTCCCTGCCTATTGCGTCGGAAGCATTAATTGATACAAGCACAGACATACACTGCGTTCTAGGGCATCGAGACGGGAGACAATATTATAGGACGACGCTTGGACTTATCATCTTAAGCACTGGAAAGACTCGTTTGATGGGGACTTGTGAGATGTATGTGAGCTCCGGTAGAGTCTGCGGTGAGTTCCAACCGATACTCGGTGCAGTGTTCAGTATAAACGCAGCCTTCAAAGCTGAATCCACTACAAACCCACTCCACTCATGTTCAGAGGTCAGGGTCATCATCAACCGACTGTAACCTGGACAAAGTACTCGTTCCCTCAAACTCATCCTGGTTCTGGTGCCTGGAATCGGCCTCCTCCGACATGACATCCCAATCAATCCCAGCCAATTCATCAGGTGTAAACCCGTGATTCGCTTTAAGAGCCTCTCTGCGTACCTGCATCGCCACAATCGCCACGCCTAGCGCGTTCCATACATCTTGATCTCTCTGGCTGAAATCCAATTCGGCAATGATGCGGAGTCGGTCGGGGTTGACGCTCGTCTTCACGCCGTCTCCTCGAAGTGAATGTCCGGTGAAGAGAGGTGAAGCTGTTTGCTTTGTTTGACTCTCCGATGTAGACGTCGGGGAGGAGCTGAGTGTGACAACGACAAGGACCGATGAGATAATCACGAAACCGATGAGGGTAGGTGACACCGCGTCATCGTCAACTACCCGGGTTTCCGCCGGGTTGCAGAGGCCTGGGCTACTGGTCTCGATGCTTGGATGAATATTATGAGCTCTTTGATGTCGCTGCGAAAGCCTTTGTAGCTTGTTCGCAATCTCCTCAAGAGTTTGTAGCGTGGATCGACCTTTCTTCCTTGCGACGACAACGTGGACTGGAATGTAGTTGGTCTTTGATGCTGGGCGAAGTCCGACGTCCGTCAAAGCCCAGTAGAGATACCTTTTCACGGACTGCTCGAGGATCCTTTCTCTTGATATTCCCGGACTGACGTGGGTTCTGTCTCGAATGTCATGACCAGCCTCGAAGAGTCGACGGAGAGCGTGGCTCGCCCTGAACTGATTGTCTCGGATGTTTTGGATGAGTGGCGGGTCTACCGAGTTCTCGTGGGCAAAAACACTGATGGGTAATGTGTCAAAGTCGATCATCCAGTTCTGAGGAAGGAGGGCTTCGAAACCCCGGTAGGCGAGGTGGAAAAATAACTCGCGTTCTGTCTGGGACCAGAGCCCTGAGTTGGCAGGTAAAGTCACCGCAGCAGCATGGCGTCTCGCTTCCTCCATCGCGTCGGCATCTAATGAATCCCCCTTTCGCCGTGCCAATGCAGATGACACGAACGAGATGGAATCATCTTCATAGATTGTCATATGTGAGTCCTGCACGGCATTAGTGTCGACACGCCGTGTGAGCACAGGCGTCGTCCGATTGCGAGGAGTTGCTGGAGGCGGCATCAAGGTCCGGTCCAGCTCCGCCTTCGTCCTGTTCCCTTTGCTGAACACGGAAGGGCTCTGATCCAAATCCATCTCATTTGGGTACGGTATGAAAGCGTCCCGGTCCCTGCTTAACGCGCGTTTCTTGGTAGTCGGCCCCGAGTGATGCTCTTCTGTAGCCTTCCTTTTGCCCTTGCCGTAATCGACAGAGTCATAGGATCCTGCACGCATTTCAGGACTCGGGGTATAGCCTGGGTCATCTCGTTGGGCTGGGGTTTGGGGGTTGTCAGAACGGGACAGAGCAGCCCTTGGCGAACTCAGCAGACCCGAAAGGTATCGGAAGGGAGAAGCAAAGGCTGATCTGGCCATGATCGCTAAGGAGCGCTGTCGAAGATTTCGAAGGACGTTGTGAAGGTCGTGTGAGATAGAGAGGGAGCGCGACAATGAGCTGGCGGTGAGGAGCAGCTACCTAGTGACCAGAACCGAAATGAATCGAGTGGTGGATGTTGTCTGCTAGCCGAAGGCCTGTAGAGGACGGACGCCAGGGCGGATGAGTCGCCGCAGCCCAAACATGGAGGGCATGACTGAAGAGGAAGAGTCTGTTGCGATGGCCGTTTGCCGGACGCGGCGACCTAGGATCAGCCTGGGCTTTGTTCTTTGGTGTGAAGTGGTAGCAGCGTATCTGCGTACCTAGTATCTGCTTGCATGAAAGTTGGAAACAGGCAACTGGACGGTTTCAGGTTGACGACGTTTGGCATGCGTGAGTGTGATTGGTTGGTCGAGACACGCTGGGCGGGTCACGGGATGTAGCCTCGCCGTATCAGGACTAGCGTATCTCAGAGGTGAGACGCAGTCACGTGTCAGCCTGATTCCTTTTTGGGAACCCGCTGTGCCTGTTGTCCATACCATAGAGGTACCTTGGTAATTAACCTCACTCACTTTCTGTCAAGCTGCTAAAACATTGCCTACATGGACGCAGCTGAGCATGATCTTGATGCAAAGCTCTACAAGGCTTCAGGCACCCTCCTTACCGAATTCCAACAGAACCTCCCTCTGCTGTTAAAACACAGCGGGACAAATCCCCCAAGACGCCGTCTTCGAGTCCTCGACTCGAAATGCGAGAAGCTATGTCGACTGGTCTGCCTCCATAATTGTGTAGGTCCTTGATCGGATAGCTAACTCTCTATCAGCTTGACCGTTTTCAGGAATGGCCTCAATTGCTTGACCCATATCTTTCCACACTGATCCAGCTTCTGACCAATGCCTTTATTGGCTACCTCGCAGAGTCCAGTGATCAGTATGGCCCAACGCAACGGCGCGGTGCAGCTGGCGTCTCTCCTCTGCCCCGAGCGATATGCAAGATCCTGTACTCTTTCTGCAAGGTCAGGGGCTACAAAGTCATTGTTCGCTTGCTCAATAATGAGCCTAGATACTTGGCTCCCATGCTGTCTGCTTTCACAGCTTGGAATACACCCTCCAAGGGCATGACCTGGGAAGAGCGATACATCATGCTTCTATGGCTTTCTCATCTGATGCTTGCGCCCTTCGAGCTGGCCACTATGTCTGTCAGCAACACGGTCACCGCCCTTCCTGGTGACCTTGGTAACCTTCCTGGCATCGCCGGCGATGTCATTTCAATTGCCTTCGAACAATTGGAAAGCTCGGGCAAGGAGCGCGAGGCTGCACGTGTGCTGCTGGTGCGATTGAGCTTACGGAGAGACATGCAAGCCCATAATCTGCCCGAGAAGCTTGTGCACTATGCCTCCCAAAAGCTACTTCATGATCCTGATATTGCCAGCTTGAGTCCCTACAAAGCTTTGGGCCTGTTGTCGCTTCTTTACGGCATCACAAACTCAGGCTCGGATAGTGAAGTTTCTTCTTATCTTGAGAACGTCTTCACTTCTATATTGCAGATTGCCACGGCTGAAAGCAGCCACTTTGCAGCCATCAGAGATTCCGCCCCTGCGCGGAAATGGATTTTGAAAATTTTGCGGGCCGTTTTGCTGCATGCGATCTCCTTGGCTTCGAAGCATCCTTCTCTGCAACGAAAGAGCCTGAACACCGTGCTTGAGGAGAGTATACAATATTTCCTCGATGCCCTCAGCGACAAAGATACGCCAGTCCGAATGGCTGCGGCCAAGGCGTTGAGTGTCGTGACCCTAAGGCTAGATTCTGACATGTCGTCACAAGTCGTGGAAGCCGTCTTGGGGTGTCTCGAAGAAAACGTGCTGTTGGAAGATCCTCACAGTCATAAGCTCATGGCGATAACCGACAGAACTATCGCTGACCCCGAAAGGATGAAGAGAGTCATAACTGCAGTCGACCCATTGAGATGGCATGGTCTGATGCTAACCCTCTCGCACTTACTGTTCCGCCGGTCTCCTCCGCCTCAAATGCTCTCAGAGATCATCCGGGCCTTGCTCCTGGGATTGGACTTTGAACAGAGGTCCAACGTTGGGACTTCAATTGGGGTCAGCGTGCGGGATGCCGCATGCTTTGGTCTCTGGGGTCTGGCCCGAAAATACAGCACTTCAGATTTGGACCCCGTTCCATTCTTGGACTATGTTGAACCAAGCGAGACAGAGTGCCAGAGTGTCCTACAGTTGATAGCCGTCAGACTGACCCTCTCGGCCTGCCTCGATCCTTCAGGTAACATTCGCCGAGGGTCATCAGCGGCACTACAAGAGCTAATCGGTCGGCATCCCGATACAATCACCAATGGTATTTCGGTGGTCCAAGTTGTTGACTACCATGCTGTTGCACGGCTCTCCCGAGCTATGATTGAGGTCGCCTCAGAGGCCGCTGCTCTTGGTGGTGTCTATCACAGAGCCCTACTGGAGGCTCTGAGAGAATGGCGAGGTGTACGTGCTGCCGATGTCAATCAGCGTCGCTGGGCTGCTTCGACCATTCAATTTCTCACAGAATCTCTTCCCGCGTCGGAAATCTCTTCCTTCGCGGAAGGCATCATTCGTCAACTTCTCAATTTAAAGCCAGTCAACATGGGCAGTACTGCAGCAGCCAGGCACGGACTGCTCCTCGGGTTCGCCTCTGCAGTTGGCTCTCTTACAAAGCTTGAGCCTGAGACAGCATTGCGTTGGCTTGAGAGGGACGGGAATAAGGCCCTTGAGTTGAAGATGTTAACCGGGAAGATTGAGGGCCGCATAACATCGGATATCGAACTTGTGATGGAAGGAATCGCTACGCTCATTTCTGAAATCAGCAAATGCTGCGCAATGACAAAACCAACCCCAGCGCCTGTGCTGCAATCATGGATTTCCGCAGCTGCTGGAGTTCTCGATCATTGCACAACAGCAGCGACGAGGGAAATTGCTGTCCAAACGAGTGCTGAAGCATTCGTGGAGCTGTTCAAGGTCCTCCCACTCTCCGCGGATGGCACAATGATTGAAGGGTGGCTCGAAGGTAAACGACAAACATCTGCAGCTTCTACAAGCAAAGGGCGCCTCAAGACGCTCAGTTTGATCTACGGATATTTGGCTCAGATAGGGTTTGATCAAGGAACTCGTCAAAAAATCATGTCGTACACGATGGATATCGTCCAGGGACCATACAAAATCGAGACAAGAGTTGATGCCATGGAGGCTCTGGGCGTCATACTGGCCAGCGAAATCCCGAAGATCAACACAGAGATGACAAGCCGACTATACACAGTTTTCCAATGTGGTTTGACGGACTACACCAATGACCAGCGAGGGGATATCGGTTCAACTCTTCGACTGCAGACACTCGAGACTGTCGACATCTATCGGACCCAACTTGGCTCTCGCGAAGAAGCTAGCACGATCTCCAAAGACGTGTTGCCACTTGTTGTGAAGTTGGCAGCAGAGAAGCTAGCCAATGTCCGGTTCCGCGCGTGGAAATGCCTGGAAAGCCGTTGGAGAACGGATAGGTCCTTTCCACCCCTTCAGAATACTTTCCACTATTCCACCGACGTCTCATCCGTCACATACTTCCAGCAACTGATGGAACTAATATGCATATCCTGGGCGCAAAGAGCTCTCATCCTTGGACTTGTTTCATCGGCAACGGCCGGCGCAGAAGACCTTTGTCGTGCTGCCAGTAATGCGTTTGCCCTGCACGTGCAGTCTGTCGACGCGAAGACAAAGGCAACGCTTGTTGAGACAGTTTCGATCGTCGTTGTTGAAGAGCTTGCGCTAAAGGCTCAAGAAGATGACCGCCAGGTTCTCCCCTTGCTTGACTTTCTCTGTTTCATCATCGATCAGAATCTATACGCTCTCGACTCGAGCAACCGTTCCGATAACACTAATTTGGATTTGTGGACTGTGATGCAAAAAGTCCACGGCCCTGGGTCAAGCCTCCAGAGGATTGAAGCTTCTCTGAATGTCTACTCGAGGATGTTGGGTATCGATGCTTATCGTGCCAGGGCGCTGGATAAATTGACCCGACAGCTGCTCCATCGCTGGCCAAAGGTATCTTCCATCTCCTCCTCTGTGGTCCACGAGTTGACTAACGTGTAAGATTCGCAATATTGCGGCCGACTTTCTGTACGTTGACTACCCCAGCCAGAAACTGGCCTTTTGCGATTGGAACGATCCGGTGAGCAAAATAAAGCCCATCGTCCTCGAAATCCGAAAACAGGTTGGTGCAGCCGGAGTGGGCGCCACCAGGTCAGAAGCCTGAAGATGTCGGAATGGGTGAGCTGGCAAATTGCCATAGCAACTAGTTATCCAATCCACGCGTCTTCATGCATCGAGCAACGGCATCTTTGACTGATTTTTCACTGTACTGCTCCCAAATATCGTACAAACTGATCAATTCCTGGGTGCCCTCAATCATTTGTTCAATATTGATGCCGGACTCGACCAAGAATTTCATGGTATTCTGTATCTTCTCATTCTCTTTGCTGAAACTTACTGCCTTTTCTTTGTCTGCCGACTGCTGCAAAGCTGGGTCGTTCTGACTGAGAGACGGTGTTTTCCCATTGAGATTGTTGCTGCTTTGAGCGGCTATCTGGTTGGACATCTGCAGATTGCCCAGGACGTTACTGAAAGGGGTGGACAGGCTCTGGCGACCGCCGACTCCAAGAGACGAAAAGTGGCTGGACTCCGGGTTTGAAAGGGCCTCGTGGGGCAAAGGACGTAGCGTGCCGGCAGCCTTGACAGAGGGCCAAAATACCACAGCAAGAAACATTGCAATAACGGCAATAAGATGTGGAGGACACGTCAGTGGTAGATCGGTCATGTAGCTGTCGTTGATGATGGACCAAGCCAGGCCAAGTTCATCATTGGTCAACTTGAGCTCTTGATTCTCCTTTAACGCGATCAAGGAGCGGTAGGGGTGCCAGACAATTAGTTGTGAGCGCATCTCTGAGATGAGGCAGAATTCCATCTCCCCAAGCCTCGATACATCGCCCGGTACGAATTCGGGCCACGCCTGGCGCGCTTCAGCCGCGACAAGGCGGATGTGATGGGGTGACTCCTCGGTTTTAGAGGCAAGGTAGAAAGCTGTTGCGACAAGCAGGTAGAGGTTGACGTGTTGCATCGGGTTGGTAAGGAAATAGCGCTGCATGTAAACCATGGCAGTGGCAACGCATTGCTGGCGGAATTGCAGCCTCTTGCCCAGCTGTAAGATTTTGTCTCTCAGGAAGATGAACATCAGTCTTCTGTCAGGATAGGGCCATTGCTCAATGACTTTGAAGTTCTGTTTCTCCAGCTCATCGCGGATCTCGAGCAACTTTTCAGGGGTGAATGTCCAGAACTTGCGTTGGGTCGAGACCCAGTAGTTAGCCGCCATGCTCGACGACGGTGTTGAGTGCCATGAACCTCGTCAAGGACCGACACTGCGTTAATTTTCGCGGCAAAAATCTACCAGAGTATGCGGGAGGTTCTTGTCACCATTATCCTTGGCTTATATTGGTATTTCGCAAGCTTAGCAGAAGGTCAGAGGTTGGAAAGAACGTTTAGTTTAGCAGTTGAGGTTGAGAGGTGGCTTGGCAAGGCTGAACGAGGCTGGCCAGTGGCCATCACACACGCCTTAGGCGCTTGGGGGCGAGGGGGGGGCAAAGGGGGGCTTCTCGGGCGGCGGGCCTTTGGTGGTTCAGGCTTAAAGTTCCGTCGTCAGTGGCGCTGGTGGTGGTGCTAGCTACAGAGCCAGTTAAGAAGAACCCCACAGCACGTCACCCTCCCGAGTCTTCATGCACACCTCAGCAATCAATCCCTTCGCCAGCTGCCCAGCTTGTTTTGTTTCCTGCCCTGCAAACAGAGCTTCAAGTTCTTCTTCACTCTCCTGTTCTTTGATTTCTCAGTCGGGCTGAGTCATTACCGATCCTTTACCTGATCTCTCAGACGTTCCTCCCACATTGCCAACCACTCAACGAGCCACCCTTCGAAGCTTCGCCTGGTGAAGAGAAGGACACAATCATGCTCCCTCACAGATAGTCCTTCTTATCATTTCCACCAACGGATGTAGCATGAACGGAGAGTCGTATGAACGCCGCGATGAGCGGATTCAAGAGCTATGGCGCAACCTTGACACTCGAAATGAGGGTCAGCTGGACCTGTCGGCCCTCAAGAAAGGCTTGCGCAAAATCGACCATCCTCTGAAAAACGCCGATGCCCTGCTCACCGATGTCCTCAAAGCAGTCGATACGTCGGGTGATGGACGCATACAATATAACGAGTTCAGGGTGTTTGTGGAACATGCTGAACGCGAACTCTGGCAACTTTTCGAAAGTATAGATAGAGATCACAGTGGCGCGCTGGATAAAGCAGAGCTTCGTGCCGCATTTAGCAGAGCGGGCTTGACAATAAGCAATGCGAAGCTGGACCAGTTCTTTGACGAGGTGGATGCCAACCATGACGGGGAAATTTCCTTTGAAGAATGGAGGTATGCACATGCATCTCTCTGGCCGTGGTCCAACAGCCTTTAACAGAATGGCGCAGAAACTTTCTCCTCTTCTTGCCTGCGAGCGCACCCACTCTCGGATCCCTTATATCATATTACTCGGCGACAGCAAATGTCAACCAAGAGGGTGATGTCCACATCAATGACACCCTTCAAGGATTTGGTAAGGACTATTTGACCCCTTTACTCGGCAGCTACATTCCAGCCGCGACTGATCATCGGACGACCTTGCGTTGCTCTACACTGCTTTGACTTTTCTGGCATACGCAGTGCCTAGTTCACCCACACTCAGTCGCGACGGGTTTATAGTGGCTTAGCGCAGAATTTTCGTTCATCGTCTCTGACCTCATTGACGATGCTGACAGAAATCCTCATCCCACTAGGCTATTTTATAGCAGGTGGCTTAGCAGGCATGATCTCGCGAACGGCCACTGCACCACTCGACCGACTCAAAGTCTACCTAATTGCACAAACAAATCCCAAAAAGGCGGCGGTAGAAGCGGCCAAAAAAGGGGCACCCCTTGAGGTGATTAAAAACTTTGCCCGGCCGTTGGTCGACGCATGTAAGGCTCTGTGGCGAGCTGGGGGAATGCGAAGCCTGTTCGCTGGGAACGGACTCAATGTCGTCAAGGTCATGCCGGAGTCTGCAATCAAATTTGGTGCATACGAGGCGGCCAAGAAGATGTTTGCGGAGCTCGAGGGTTCGGATCCAAAGCACCTATACCCGACGTCTCAGTTCTTAGCGGGCGGCATCGGTGGTGCAGTTGCTCAATGCGTGGTTTACCCTCTCGATACTTTGAAATTGTAAGTGACGACTTTGCCGTTGCTATCATTTGCATGGACTAACAAGAGACAGCCGCATGCAATGCGAGACGGTCGAGGGCGGCTTACATGGAAACGCCTTGATCGCTCAAACGGCGCGGAAAATGTGGAAACAGGGCGGACTCATGCCGTATTATCGAGGATTGGGCATGGGTCTGGCGGGTATGTTCCCTTACAGCGCCATTGACCTATTCATCTTTGAAAACTGCAAGCATTTTGTCCTGGCACGGAAAGCCAAGAGGAACCGCTGCCACGAGGAGGATGTCGACATGAGCAACCTTCTCACAGGCATTATTGGAGCGACCTCGGGGGCAATCAGCGCCACGGCTGTCTACCCCATCAACCTATTACGGACGAGGTTACAAGCCCAAGGCACAGTGTTGCACCCACCTACGTACAAGGGCATTGTCGATGTCACGATCAGGACGGTCCAGGGAGAAGGAGTGAAAGGATTGTTCAAAGGGGTGACGCCGAATCTGTTGAAGGTAGCGCCGGCAGTCAGCATCAGCTACATTGTCTACGAGAACAGTAAGCACATGATGGGCCTGAGATAGACAACCCCAAGCAACGAATATTATGATACTATGTTGAAGGTAGACTTAATGAAGAAACCCCAGTTTCAGGGGGTTCGAGGATGAGAAGACTGCTCCGCATGATTGATATTTGCCCTAGACAGGATATCAGAGGCCGCACTCATCTAACTGCATGAGCCTCGGAGTGATTCGCCCTTCTCCACGATACGGCGGATCAACTTGGTTCCGAGGCTGCGACAGGATCCTACACAATCCCTGGAATGCTATATTTTGTCATTTTCTCGGGTGGTGATGTTATGCACAGTCTTGAGCAGTAATTGAAAAGAGAGATGCTTTATGAATCTGCAATTGTGACTGTTCCTTGTGATGCTGATAATCTAAGAGTCATTCCAGGCCGCAAAGACACACGCTCCATGACATCGCGCAAGACGACGCCCCTGTCGAAACACTCTTCCATCATTGTCCATGACCTCTACGCCGAGTGATGGAGACCCTCTTCAGTCGCCCGACTATCCGTCCTCGCCCTCGATCCCAACCCTCGAGGTTCACAGGACAAGACCACCCGCGAGGAATGAATCACCCGAGACATCCACTACTAGCCTCCCTATCCGCACCTCGAGCCCTCCCGCCCTAGGTTCCCGAACGAGCACTCTTTCTAGCGTCCTATCACGCTCTAGTTCTCCCAATGGAAGGTTGTCGTTGTCAATATCGAGATTTGGGAGGTCGCGAGCCAACAGCCCCCTCGGGAATCCATCAGAAACATATGATGACACACGATCATTGATCGTCCGAGCATTTTCTCCCACTGTCGCTATCTATGCATCGCCGGAGGTGGACGAACTCGCTGCTCGCAAAGGCTTGAGGAGTGGGTTTGTCGGATTGATTCGCCCGTTCGGCGACAAGATCAGTGGAAAGGTGGTGGTGCGAGACAGCACAGGCGCCAGCCGGACATGGGAAGACTTTGGTGTGCATTTTACAGATCTCGGCGAATTGGTTCGAGATGGCACATCGTCACACTCTGCGTCCAACTCGATGGACAAGCTGGAAGAGTTGATGGAACATTTTGTGGGAGATGGCTTCGATCAGACCGAAGATGTCCTGGCACGGGGAGAGACCTCTCCTTTTTATCGGCTGTTTCTGGCCCGGCTTCTGTCCTCTCAAACAATGAGCCCGCATGAATCATTTCGCCATCCGGTTGGCGCGGTGATAGCCATCAGTTCCTCCACGAAACAACCCATCGAGACTTTGCGCAATCTCTATCAGCAAACCGCGTCGGGTTCGCGGGCTGTACCAGGCTACGTCAATCCAGAATACCTCAGATATTATGTGCTTGTCCACGATGAGGACCGAGATGACTTCAGCAAGTCATCTGCCCTCTTTGATCAGATGAAGCGACACTTTGGCCTCCACTGCCATCTTCTCAGGCTGAGGTCTGCGCCTTGCACACAGACGGACGATGACACCGAAGAACTCCCCACCAGCGAATGGCTGTCGCCCTCGGAACAACTGGCGTTCTTGCACGACACTGCAGATCTAATTGATCTCAACACCTCTACATCTCCTTACATCTTTTCCTCGGATGCGACCGCCCTGCGCGCATTCGTCCGCGAACTGATTGCACAATCAATCATTTATCATATGGAGCAAAGGATCGCTTTATGGAATGATCAAATCGCCTCACGTCGTCGAGGTATCTCTGGGCGGTTCATGTCGCTTTCGAAGAGATGGACTGGGATTGGGAGCTCTTCTCGGAGCTCATCGTCTACCACCAACGTCGGAGCCAGCGGCAATTACGATAGCCTGCAGGGAACATACCGTTTTGATGCTCCCGAGAGTCTATTGCGAAAGCTTGCCGACTACGCGTTCATGTTGAGAGATTACAAACTGGCGGCATCAACCTATGAGCTGCTTCGAGGTGACTACTCGAATGATAAAGCTTGGGAGCATTTGGCCGGCGCGAACGAAATGTGCTGTGTTGCTACTCTCCTGAACCCTCTCACAAGCAGTGGTAGTTCCAAATTCAAAATTGAGAACTTCGACAATATGCTCGAAACTGCAAGCTATTCATATTTGACCCGGTGTTCGAAGCCGGCCCTTGCGTTGCGCTCTATCTTGCTTGGGGTCGAGCTCTTGAAAGTGCGAGGTCGAGCAGCGGGCGAGCTCGCGGCGAAGTGGGCAGTCCGCAGCCTCGAACTGGGTTTGGTCGGTAGCATCGGACACGTCTTGGTCAGTGAGCGAGTGGCATCTTCTTTCGCAGACCGGATCGGCATCGGCAACACGAGTTGGGGCATGCGTAAAAGAAAAGCTGCGCTATGGAGTATCATGGCTGCGGATGAATGGATGAAACTCGGCCGAGCAGAGATCGCTGCTGAAAGGCTTGATGAAGCACAAGAGCTCTACGGTGAAACGAAAAACACCGACTCACATAAGCAGTTTCATGAATTGGCCGAATATTTGGAACAACTGAGGCTGGCCGTCAGAATGAAGCTTGGGGAGGCAAGAAGAAGAGGCTTCAGTGGAGCGACGAGACAGATTGAACTGGAGGGCCCAGTCGACGACCAACCGGATGTGGAAGACGAAACGGTGGAAGAAATGAATGCTCTGGAAAAGGCCGATAGCAAGGGCAACAGGAAAAGTTTCTTAGGAAGCGGTGTTGGAACAGGAGTGAGCCTGCTGGAGCCCGTCACGCCGTTGAGCCCGGCGCGGCTGAACAGAGCCGATACATTTCGGGGAGACGATGATTTCGAATGAGCATTCCCAGCTAGGGGGGTAGCCAAGCGTGCCCATCCAGACCTTTGCAATATGATATGACCAGTCGGACTACTGAGCGTCGAGAAAACGGACCAGCAACTGGTCTCGACACGACGAACTCATACAATATGGGAGAAAGCCATGATCCGGGGACTTCGAAGAACGAGCAACAAAACTTTCAAATACGATGGCATGTTGATCGTATCCCCTACGAGATATGCTCACGGGATTTGTTCGTCGTTTCTCCTGCCTCCGATCTTCAACTTCTGTTCGCGCACCATCTGACCAACGGAAGTCAGCATGTCGTGGTGTTTCGACCAGAGCGTAAAGACTGATCCTTTGTGTCTCCCAGCAGGATCCGAGCTGCTAGGCTTTCCCAGGGAATGACATTCTGTCGAGTCCAACTACTGAAGAAGTGTGATTGAGACAAATACGACGACACTGCACTTGTCCTATTACACACGCCCGGACGGCTCTTGCCAGAGAACTTGTTGGGATTCGCTCCCTCGGGTTGGACTCTCACACTCTGTTAGCAAGGCGCCTTTCAACATGGATGCGGCTATTCCACCCGAGTACGGTTCTGTGAGCAGTATTCGAGCAACGGCAACAGGTCGTGATGATAATGCTGCAGATGCGTTGCATGCAGCCGGCTGGGATCGAGGCCTCTTGACCGCATCAGAGGCTGGAACAGAGGGAGTCGATTAGCAGAAGAGTGTGTGTGGGCAGACGACTGTATGGACAATGCAAATGGTGGCGGACATTTGGCAGTGCCGCACACATTCTAGATTCTCTCTGTCGCTCTCTTTGGGCCTGTTGCATTGTCCATCGTGCCCATGCCGGGCCAGTAAATACGAGCAAACATGGGTAGCCCGGACATTCCATGCGCAGGTGCGGAGTATCTAGCCAGTCACCCAGTGCTCGCCCATCTCGCCCATCTCTCGCCCTGGTCGAACGCGGCGGAGTGGCTTGCCCAGCCATCACACCACAATGCGCTATCCCTGCGTTCTTTGCGTTGAGATGGTTTACGAGCGTCGCATCGAAGGAAGATGCTGGGGTGACCTCCGTGCTCTCCGCATTGACCCCCCGACCTATCTACTGTGCTCTACTATGGTTGGCACTTGTATTTAACTTATAATCCGCAGACTCCGCGCCTCAGCCGTTGCCTCTTCTGGAGCGGTTTTGAGGCAAATGTAAAGTCTATCTCATCTTCACTCCCTGCTCTATCCTGTAAGAGGCAGCCTCGCGCGAAAGTATATTCACTCCGAGATCATGCTTAGACCTCTGCTCCCAAAAGGTCCGTCTGATACACCAACGTTGTCACCGGCGTTGGCTCAGATCGGGCAGCCCGAGGCGAAAGAGCCACGTCGGCGCAGAGCCGAGGGCAACGTTTCTTTGGTAAGAGGAAGAAGAGGAACAAATGAGAAGCATTGGGGCACCCCTTCCCTCGCAAGTGAAAAGACGTGGACAAGGGACCAAGCTGACAGACCGGTCCTGGATACCACAGGCCTGTGGCCGTTGTCGAACCAAGAGAAGACGAGTATGTCTTCTCACCGCGCCCAACTCCTTCATCAGCTCCTCGTTTTGTCGTCGCTAATAATGTTGTCTGCAGTGTGACGGACAGAGTCCGTGCAGAGCGTGTCTCTCCGCCGGCGCACACTGCGTTTACTATGGCGGCGATGCACGACGGCGCGAGTTCAGGCTGGTTGAGAACCAGAGCCTGCAAGACAGGATCGACGAAATGCAGGCCGTGTTGGATGCTTTGAAGTTTGGATCCCGTCAGTATTTTCGTCCCGCTACCTTCCCAGGCAGAGTCCTCCCGTTTCCGCGTAGTATACATCAACTGACACCTGTAATGTAGGCGAGGAAGCCAACCAGACGCTTGAGCATCTCCGCTCGACAGCGCAAAATGCTCCTCAGGCGGATGCTGGCGCCGACGACGACAACGACCCCGGCGACTTTGAGCAGGGACTCCCACGGTTGGAGGAATCCAGTCTTGAGATGATGTTGCTGGACACAGGAGGCCGCCAGAAATGCAAGGCGGCCTCGAGCACTACCACTACTACAACCGACGTGCCAGGATGGATCCCTGCCAGTTTCAGCCCAAAGACGCTGCCCTCGGAGCAGATGGTCCGCATGGGATCGACCTTCTACTTTGAAGTCATCTCGGGTCTGTTCTATGTTACCGCCTCGGAGAACTTTGATTCCCTGTTGGACGCCGTGTATCGCGCCGAGGCTGAGCCAGAGATGACAGACATTGCAGAAATCTGTGCCGTTGCCTCGGTTGGGGCGCACTTCCATCCTGACGGCGTGCAGGACGAGTTGAAGGACGCACTGTTCAGGACCGCCATCCAGAACATCAACGAGCTTATTGAAGTGAGCGGTGTCCGGGCAATTGGGGTGCTCGCCTGTCTCTCCATCTACGGTCTGCTCGAGAAACGCAGGAGTACTCGCGGCTTGATTCACCTGGGCTTGCAACTCGCTCGATGGGAACAGCAGGAAGTTGGTGGCTCCCCGAGTCTCCTCCTGATTAGAAAGAAACTCCACCGGACCATGGTCTTCTTGGAGTGGTAAGTCCTTCATCTGGGGAGCGAAAGCGAGTTGAAACGTTGACGACGAATAGTTGGCTATCAACCAGCTTGGGCTACTATCCTGGTGAGTTTCGTGTCTCCAAGGTCAAGCTGTCTCTTCATAGCATGTATTATTTTAACCGTCCGGCAGAATTGTCAGATGTCGAGGTCGAGCCTCTGCTTCGTCCCCTGGATGAGAACGACATGAGTGATTTGACTCAAACAAAAATGTGTCAGGTTGGCTGGCTCAAGGCCCGTGTTGTTAGAGCAGTCTTCACACGACCATTTCCTGGCTTTCCAGCGATCGAATCGCTTATGGTTGACTTGAATACCTGGCCCCAGCAGCTCCCTCTACATATGACCCTTAAGTCACTGATCGAAAACAAAGACAACACTCCTCATCCCCTGACTGCTGCTCATAACGGGGCTCTCTTCCTAGCACATGCGATGTACCTTGGAGCGGAAATCTTTCTCTATCGGCCCATTTTGATTGCGATGGCGGATCAAAAGGCAGGGCGGAGTTGGCCGCTCCCAAGTATCACAGCTGAGCAGGCAGCAAGGTGTTATACAAGATGTGTTGAAGCCGCGCGCACAATTGCACGTCTCTTTAGCCTGCTCAGAATAGGGACTTCGGAGACTATGATGCACAATCGATGTTGGCTAACGAAGTAGGTCTTGAGCCAAGCCTGGTGCATTCTCACGCTGACATAGGAGCCAGTTTCGAAATATTTACAGCGTGCTCGGTCCTGCTGTATGATCTTGCAGAGAGATCACTTTCACCATTGCAGCAGGAGACGGAGGTCCAAGCCGAGCTTCAACGCGCTGGAGAGTGCCTCACAATGCTGAAAGCATCAGCATGTGCAGACCGAGTGTCTCAGAGATTGCATGACACACTGAACGAAACATATCAGAAGGTAAAGATGCTTAACGACAAGCCATCCGAAAGGACTCAGGTCCAGAATGGGGATGAAACAGATCGCAGCGGTCGTTGTGGATATGCCAACGGCAAAGAATCCCTGGCCGTTGCTCAAGAGGCCCTAAAGGCCATGACAAACATTTTGAAGGATCCATTCGGTCATGGAGACAAAGAGGGATTGATTCTCGATTTTTCCATCATGGGAGCAGACACGGTTGACTGGTTCTCTTCGTGCGAGACTTGATAGCGAGCACAGGGCCAGACATTACGGGATGATCTGGAGCTGCAACGTAGTCTGTATCTGTGCTCTTGAGAACTTCTTATAGCGACTGTTGCCTGATGGCTTTTTGTTCAATAGCAAGCCTCAGGTTTTGTGAGTTAGTGATAGATGCTGGCCAGACGCATTGGTAACCCAGAGGTACTGAATACTTGTAGTACTCGATAGTGTGGACGACTCGGAGTCGGCACGCGACTGCCACTTTACGCGTAGTGACGAAGGCAAAAACACGCAACACGCTAAGCCACTGGCTGCCACTGTGAGTCTGTGACCGCGCCATCCATTCCGACCATCTCTTCATTGTCCTCACGCCCATTGCAGAGCTGCTACTTGTGCCTCGTCTTGCTCTCGGACAACAGCAACATCCTAGCGGGCACTCGCCTATTGAGACCATGGCGGCAGATCGCGATGACTTCACAGACAGCACAGACTGGCTTCAAACTCCCCTCGCCGCCCTCGCGCCCCTCGACTCCTCGCTGCGATGTCAAGTGTGCAAGGACTACTTCACAACTCCGATGATGACCAGCTGCTCCCATACCTTCTGTAGCCTTTGTATACGAAGATGTCTTTCTCAGGAAGGAAGATGCCCGGCGTGTCGAGAGGCGGATCAGGAAATCAAGTTGCGGAGAAACTGGGCCGTCGAAGAAATGGTTGCTCATTTCACTGCGTCGCGCAAAGGTCTCCTTGCTTTTGCGACGGCGAGTTTGGTGAAGGAAAGAGAGCGGGATGATGACAACGAGTCTCAGAGACCGAAGAAGAGGCGGAAAGTGGCACCAGACCCGCTAAGCAACGGTATTGAAAGACGAAGTACACGAAGTCAGAGTAGGAGAATTGCCTCGGATGCCGCCAGTCAACAGAGCCTGGCCTCGACCCAGGAAGTCATAGATGACAGTGAGGAGGAGGGAAGTGTTTACGAAGACCCGGACAGCCACAAGAGCCCACACTTCCTCAACGGTAATGGCAATCCTGAGCCGCAGGATGGCCTCGTTCAGTGTCCCTGTTGCCACCAGCGAATGAAAGAAGCAGCCATAAATTCGCATCTCGATAAATGCATACAAGGCGACAGCCACACCCCAGTCGACGACGTTGGATCCTCGTCTTCTCCTGCTCCACCATCAAATTCCAAACATGTTGCACCACCAGGCACCATCGCTTATGCACAGAGAAAGCCCTCCAAACAACAGGAGCGGCTGCCGTTCATCAACTACTCCCTTCTCAGCGACAACGCGTTGCGGAGAAAGTTACGAGACCTGGGTATTCCTGATTGGGGCTCCAAAGATCTTATGCGCAGACGCCACACCGAGTGGGTGAATCTGTGGAACGCCAATTGCGATTCCACTCACCCTGTCACGAAAAGAGAATTGCTCCGAGAGTTGAAGATCTGGGAGGATACCCTAGGACGACAGCTGGAGAAGTCGTCAAATACGGGGTTTATGGCAAAGGATTTTGACAGAGAGCGCCATGTGAAGACCCAGAAAAGCAATTTCGACGATCTGATACGGCAGGCCAGGGCGAGGAAAGCGAAAGGATCGGAGGCACAAACGTCATCTACAGTAGAGGACCCAACACCAGAGCCCGTTCCACAAGATCTAGCAGAGACCACGGCTCCCATGGATCTTCCTGGGGTTGGCCCAGCACCTTGGATGGGCCCAAATGACGCTGAAGCAACGCCAGGTCTTGAGAATACAGTCCAAATACAAGGACAAATACAGGCCGAAGCCAAACAGGCTACAGCCGACGGTCGATCCCAGGAGACTGCGATAAATATCCCATCACCCCCATCATTTGCGAATGCATCAGAACCACACTGGGAGCTCCAGACTTCGGGGAAGCCTCAAGGGAGGTACTTTGTATGAGTGCAACCTCGAAGGTTGGGAGGTTGGGGGTGTATATAGCAGTGGAACTCAATGCATTGGTTGGTCTGGTCAAAAACAGTGAGATCACAAATGGTCTTGAGGTCCGTATCACTTTAGCAATGCCAGATAACCGAAAGGACTTGATGACATGGACAGTCCTCTGGCCAAGAGATATCGACAAAGCAAAGAAGCACCGAGCGTTTGAGTCTTCTTTGAAGCAATTCTCTTTGACTCTACCTTCCAATCCACTATCCCTGAATATACCATCCTCCGGAGTCGAACTAGCTAGGATGCTTGTTGAGCAATTTTCTCTGTATGTCGCTGTTGGTGTTGTCCTTGCGCGCCCGCAGGTGCCTCTGTGTTAGTGTGCTCGTCAATATCCAGTCTCTGTAACTTCTCTATGCTGGTCGATAGGGCCTGTTCCGACTCTCTGTCTTCGGCATGTTCGCCTTGTTGCATTTCCAATTCGGGTTTCCTCTCCCTCTCCCTTTCCTTGCGCAGCTGCTCCAGCGCATCCAGCTCCTGTAATTTCTGCCTGGTCTTGTCCTCCTCGACCTTTTTGGTTCTTTCGCGCTCCTCTCTCTCCATGGCCGCCAACTCTTCGTCCACTTCCTCCTCATCCAGCACCGCCTTCTGATCCACCGGCTCCGCCATCACGCTGGAGACTTCGTCGACTTTGCTGACTTCCTCCCTCAAGCTTTCAAGCACGTCCTCGACGCGCTCGACGCCCCCGATCCGCTTGTTCAGCGTCTTGAGCACCGACGCGGACGACTCCATCACGGCCAGGATCTCCACTTGGTCCACGGCCGTCTCGATCTTGGTGTAAATCTCTTCAAGCTGATGTAACGTGTCCAGACGCTGCTGGAGGGCCCGTTCGGCGAGTTTCTTTGAGCGCAAGGCCGAGAGGGCGCTGGGTTTGTTGCCGGATTTCACGGCCGCAGAGGCTTGAGATTGTAGTGCGACGATGCGAGTTGATAAAGTTGTGGTCTTTTGGGAAAGGTCTTCGATGAGCGATTTCAGGGATGCGATCGAGCGATCTTCCTGTGTTATCGGCTCCGGAGCGGTGGTAGAGGAAGGCGGTTTGAACTTTACGGTGCTGCCGTCGTAGGACAGGACTTGTTTGTCGCGGGACAGGTAGCGGAGCAGCACCTCCAAGTCTTGATTTGACAGTGACCCTGGCCCTGTTATCATCTCGCCGCCGGCCTGGTTGAGGACACTGTTGACGTCTCTCAGAAACATTTCCCGTGTCATGACCCTGTCAGTCATAGTCTGTGATCTTGTTCCCTCCCCCGCAGCGGATAATCTCGTCCAGACTTCCTCCAACGCCGGGACCAGCGCGAGCTTTCCTGCCTTTAACCTGCTACCACTTAACTCCCACCCACTACTCCACGACAACCCGGCTTTTTGTAGGCTCCAACGCAGGACCGCCCACGGACTCGGGATCCAGCTTCTGGAGTATATGCTCCTCTCGGAAGTTATAAAATCTTGCAGATCAATCATCTTGCCCTGCCTTACGCACTCGTCCAGGACACTTCCAAGCCCACTAGGCTTGCCATATGTAGGACTTGCCAGCGCATTGAGTAGTTCGTCATTCGTTTGCAGGATCAAATGATGCTCGCCACCGGGGATTTGGCCGGCGACTGCGGCGTGAATCAGGGCCGACGACCACGCGTCGACGTTGGCGGTGTAGCCTTCGGGATTGGAGGTGCGCTGGACGTTAAGGTCGGAGTATAACGAGGGAAGTCGTGTTCTGTCACATGAGCAACTGCAGCGTCAGCAATGTCAAGAGCGATAAGTGGCCCAGCCCCGTTTGGTTGGAAAGAAATATCACGGAGGGGGAGAGGCACACACTTGCGAAATGAAGGTTCATGCGCGAGCAGCCAGTCGAGGAGAGGTGACATGGCTGGAATCCTATTCCCCCCTTTTTCGAGGACAAGGGGGAGGAATAGAACCCTCTCACAAAGGGTTGGGGGAACCAAGGTTTGAGGATACTGTTGAGGAATCGCCTAAGGAGACGAACGAGAACTGACGATCCTCTGAGTGTTTGTTCTTTATTTGGTAAGATACGTCACTGCAAGGCTGCGCCCTCCGGCGAGGCTGAGTCGTGACAAGGCTGTGGCTTGCTCAGGAGCTGGTGAGCTCTGCAGCAAATAACACTGCTTCCGAGCACGGTGAATACCTCTCCCTCGATGCCGTACTTGCTATTCTAGAATTAGTTTATAGAAAATTAAGCCTAAGTTCTCTTTTAACCCAGAGCGAGCTTTTCAATTCATCTCAAGTACTTAGTCTTTTGGGAACCAGAGAGCAAAACATATCCAGATCTCTAATTCCTGCCAAGCCGGGACTTGCACCTCATAACCTCATGCAACCAGAGCTGTACATCAAAAATATACCTCTTCATCGAATCCCAGATTTCGAGAAGAGCGCTTAGAAGTGACAGGCCCGCCCACACCCTCATTTCTCATGCCGCTCCCCATTGAACCGGCTCCGTTCGCACTCATATTCATTCCTAACCGCAAGCCCATACCTGGCCCCATTAAATTGTTCATTCCATGCGTTCCGTTCGTGGTCAAGCCATTGATATCCGTGCCGGTTGTTGTTGGATACGTGTCTCCGTTGTACCCATATCCATATCCATTCTTGGTTCCCACGCCACCCGTGTTGGCTGCTCCTCCCATCGAATCATACGAGTATTGTAGCCCGCTGTGGGACGGTGAGTTGCCATTCGTATTGTCATTAGTACTTCCTGATTCTGGCGTGTCGAAGAAGCTCAGATCTAGTGTTCCCCAGTCGGGCGGCTCGGATCCCCAGTTCTCGAAGCCCATCGCCAATTGATTCTGATCTTTGAAGAACCAGTCTTGCGTTTCTTCAATCAGACTTTCCACGCCACCAAACAGTCTAGCAGCATTTTGCTCGCCACGAGCGCCTGCGTTGCTCGAGGACGTCGCAGCTGCATTAGCTGCAATTCGGGCTTGGTGTGCGTTCCACGCATCTTGTTGCGCTTTGGTCAGGTAGGTTGAAGGCCGGACTCGGTGAGAGTCTCGCGAAAGATCGGCGGCAGACTGTGGGGGGAGAGATAGCCCTCCTGACGTGCGTCGAGAATCAATTGTTTCTGCTGGTGAGGCGGCCATGGCCGCTGAGAGTCCGCCTGCATACTGAGACATTGAACCCTGACGCAGAGCCTGCGACTGCCGTTGCTGTTGAACATTCTTCGCCATCAAGTCAGGCACAGGCTGAGATGCGATTTGCTGAGCGATGTTTGCTAGAGATTCTGGCGATACCGGCGAAGGTGCACTCCCTGTGAGTCCCCACTTAGCTCTAATCCTCGTATATACCATTTCTGCCTCCTCAGGCATTTCAATGCTCCACCTGTCGGCGCATAGATGCAGAACTCTAAGAGTTCGACGGGCGGCTGTCCAAAATTCTCCCATTTCCTCGAGGTGTTTGACACCATGAATGATATCTCTCCGAGCATTCTTGTCTGGTAGATTCAGCAGATGAATCGTACAAGCTGAATGTACAATATAGATTGCGATGTTGCATATCTGCCGAAGGCCGTGTGTCCGCTTGTAGAGCCGGAAAAGCTTCGAGATGGCTGCGGCTCCCTGTGTACAATACTTTCTTGGAGACACATGTGCTGGAAGTGGTGAGGTCGTTCGAGTGTACTTCAGGAACGGCCGATAAAGGTGGATATATAAGAGTTGGAAAAACATACTGTCTCTAGTCAGTACGACTCGGGGATGCCTTCGAACTTCAGAGACTTACTGCATCAGCAGGACTTGAGGAAGTTGCCCCTCTTTGGGTTCCAGTTCAGCTGGTAATCCTTGCTTCCACGCTTCCAGCCTAGTATGAAGGTCACTCAGACGTTTGAGTTCTGTTTGTCTCGGGGGAGGTTTGTCCAGCAGCTGCGGGTTATAAAATGATGTCAGGAGATCACTGGATATTTCTGCCAGTTTGGACAGTTGTAACGCAACAGCTCTGGTGCGCGCCGGTTGCGCATGGGCCTGAATGATGCCCGAGTCCGTGTATGGCGACCACATTTCACTTTCTTCTGATGGGAAGACGTCGGGCTTCTTTACTGTGATATTGGGCATTTGAAGTTGAGGTTGCCGTCCGAGGTAGTTGGACCAGCACCTGTAACCAATTAGCAAAGGAATGAATCGGAGCAAAAGATTCTCACTTGTCGAAGAGGAAACAACCCCAGAATGTGATTCGTCGTGCATCGATATCCTCATCCGTCAAACGTGACATTTCATTAATAGGCACCGTATCCACATTCAATCCGAGATCACAAGCCATTCGGAAACTCATGCCACTGTATACCCAGCCCTTGCTTTCATGGCCGCAGCCGGCTTCCCTCACGGACATTAAAGCTAGAGCCTGGACCGTGCAGAGTTTCGCATTGGCAAACTCGTCGTTCTCGTAGAGAAGCCTTTTAGCTTCTGCAAAGAAGTGGTCACCAGTGGTCCCAGAATCCGCTGGCTCTGCTCTTGCTGCAGGTCGGGATGAGAAGTGGCAACCAAGCGCTAGCATGACGTTGACAAGCAGACGGGAGCAGTACTGTGATGATGTTCCAGACAGAAAATCTCGGTAGAAAAGTTCCTTGGCCAGGGTCGTGAAAAAGGCGTAGTGCCAGCAAAAGTACATATTCATAAAATGGAGGATAGCTTCTTTGTCCTGGGTGACAGTCGTCCATGAGAGAACGGCCTCTTCGTGAGGCCGTACCACGACCCTCTGGAAAGTTGGTGAGTTTTGTGTACCCCGATGATCATATTCCTCGGGAAGCCAGATCAGGTTCGACGTTCCTCCAATGAATTTGACGGATCCATCCAGCATCAGGTCGCCCATTTTCCCAGAGAGCTCAGCTTCGAATTTGGGTATGCCAAGTTCACCCTCATACACTGGGGAGTCGTCAGGGCCCTCGATAAGGCCTTTCTCCTGAGCGTCTATCGCAGCCGCAAGTTCCTCCAGGTTGTCGGTTGTCCGTATCTGGCGGACTAAATCCATGACATCCTCCTCTTCAGCATTGAGAATAGCTTGTATGAGTATCTGGAGGGTAGAGTTCTTGGTCTTGGTAGCATCCACATCCTTTTTGTAAACCCCTTTGCGCCGGTGGTCGGTGTGCGGGGCATATTCACATTCAGTCAAGTAAACTGATGCACAAGCAGCACATTTGGGCAAGTTGCCATCACACTTGCTCTTCCTTTTACGACAAGCTATGCAAGCCGTGCTCACGCATCGCCTTTTCGCCGCAGCACCACCAAGATCCTTCTCTTTGCTCTTGTTTTTGCCTTTGGCCGACGACTGCGCGGAGGTGTCTGCGTGCTCTGAGATATCCCTGATGGGACTCGGTTGATGGAATTGTTCCGCTTTGATATCCTCTTCCATCATTGTATGTTGTAAGGAGCAGTAGTTTCACGTATCTGTCGTTATTGCGACATGTGGGCTGGTCGTATGAGGCCGACGCAGGAACATCCTCAGGCAGTGGAAAGGTTCTGCAGGAAGGGTGAAGAGAAATGTAGACGTCGCAACTATGAGCTGACGCGATGCGAGGCTTGTTTCGCTTTCTCCACGAAATAGAAATGGGTCGACCAGGTCAAGAGCGTTGGATGTGTCGCTCGGGGAGGGCAGTGGTGGGATGGCGACCGTTAGGAGGCAATCTTGGACCGTGGGCTTAGAGCCTGTGCACACCGTATGAGTAAGCTTTCGAGAAGTGGTGTGTCTGTATCCTAAGACGACTGTGACTCAATGCTCCCGATACTCGGTACAATGAGAATTTTGATGAGGCTATCATGAGAAGAAGATCTGACGACAGCGGGTACCCCCACTCACCCACCACTCGCCCACATGTAGGGCGGGCTGGGGACCGTTCAAGGCTGTCTGATTAATCAGTGGCACCCTTATCTGGAGGCACCCAGGAGGGACGGGATGGGCTCCCTAGGTGGTTGGCGGCCGGTTCGGTTCAATCGCCTGGGCACTGGGTACCATAGGTACCTACCTGGTAGGTAGGTGGTGCTGGCTTCTCCAGGATTACCTACCTAGGTAGTCAGCCCCGCGAGTCCCCAATAACGCTCCCTACCTAAATGGGTATCCACCAGCGATCCTTGCCGATTCCCGAATCCCGAGAAAATTCTTCTCCATCGGCAAATCGGTAGAACTCTGGCCGCTATCTCGTTGAGAAGGCTGAGAAGGCTGAGACGTGAGTCGACGAGGCTGCGACACGTGACGATCCTCTTTCTCTAAAACTTCGGCCGCACTACTAGGTGCGAACTCCAGCTTCCAATGAGTTAGAGCACCTTCTATCCATCTCTCATCTGCTAGTTGCCTCTCAGCATCGGCTGCTTAGTTGAATTGATGCCGCACACATCGGCATCGCGAAGCCTGCTGGGGTTCGCCAGAAGATTCAACCAGCTTAATGTCGCTGATCCATTGACAGTAAGAAATCTTCAAAATTATGGCATGGACTGTTGATTAACCCATTCGTAGCAATGCCTTGCACCGAGGCTGAGCTGTCGGACATTTGCATCCCAATCTCATCCACCTGTTATCGAGCTCACCGGCAATGTCGGATCAAATCGTGACACCTCTCCGGTTCAAAGTCCTCTCATTACGACGTCGCCCACGCCAGGCTTGTCAACTTCTCCATCCTCCGCAGAGCTCCATGCTATAGACCACCCGGTCCTAGCAACCCTGTATTCGTGGCCTTACATCGAACCTACTCGCTATGCTCTGTATGGGTCACGGTACCTTGACGCCCCCTTGCGCAAAGACCTTCTCCACCGCGCGGTCGTCTATGAAGCGGACGCGACACGCCAGGGCACGGCGAGCACAAAATGGCGTTTCGAAGTTCACGGATCGAACCGCAAGCTGTACCAGCAAAAAGGCACAGGTCGCGCTCGCGTAAGAGATAAAAAGTCCCCAATCAGAAGAGGAGGTGGTGTCGCCTTCGGCCCGAAACCGAGAGATTTCTCGACCGAATTGCAAAGGAAGGTTTACCATCAAGCGTTCCGGATTGCATTGAGCTATCGATTTCGGAGAAACGAGTTGATCATCCTGAATAACAAAATCAATCTACCGGGAGAAAACAGCGCCCGGTTTCTCAATAACATTTTCGAAGCCAATTGCTGGGGTCAGGGACACGGCCGGAGCCTCCTTGTGACAAGCACGCTAGAGTCGGCTGGAGCACGGATCTTTGAAGAAATGGAATCGATTGGCGAGCACGGCGACCTTAAAGACATTGAGGACGTGGATGTCAAAGACCTCCTTACGAGCGGGCGGGTAGTGATTGAGAGATCTGCCTTGCTGAGCTTGTTGTGTAAGGAACAGACATTCAAGGAGAATGGAACGGTGTTCACTTTTGAGAAATCCTTGAAGGATGTGAAGCTTGCGAATAAGCTTCAGTTACCTGAAAAGGTTGTACAATATTTGTGAGACTAGCCCTTCAATCTATTCAGATTTGGTCAAGGATAATGTTTTATAATGACTTTGTACTCTATGGACAACGCCGTTGAGCATTTAGGCGCGTAGATCACACCACACGGCCTCAAGTATGTAAAAGCTACTCAACGGACCTGGCATGGGCGAATAAACATCTCGACACCCACCTTGGTAACTACAACGGAAGGAGGCGAGGCTGAGGACCCCGACGTGAATGATCTAGCAACACATCGTTCTGAAAGCGGATCAGCCCGGCCCTGGATTTATTCGAAATGTCAGCGGCAGAGAAAACTCCCCCGAGCTCATGTGCGACTCACCACGGGCGTGACAGTTTTATAACCACTCACCCTACCTCTCACCCTCGCACTCACCTACCTTACCTTTATACTTACCCTTCACTCTGAACCTGATCTATAATATGTAGCGCCGATTAGAACCCGAAATTGGCCGCGCCCCGCCTATATCGCCTCCAACGCCTCTTCTACTTTCGACATCTGTCTCGTCCCCTCGGTCGGAGAGTCCCTCTATCCTCTCAAAGGAATATGAAAACCCCTTCCACCCCTTTAGGGTTGCCAGCTTTCCTCCTCCAGCACAAGATCTTTCCAGTCCCGCGATCTTACCTTCCTCCTCCTAATAGGCCTCCCACCCCTAAATTATAGACCCTAATCCTTCCACTACCGCGATGACCGAGCTGAGCTAGCAGAACTTGACTACGGACGGACTACTACTTACTCGTACTAAAGCTAACAGATAATAGAGAGGAGTATATAAAGAGGCCGACGAGATCCGTAGCCGAGATAAATGTGTCTCGAAGACGAAGAAGAACCAAGATAATACCTTCTGACGCTATCTTCTATAAGAGCTGACCTTTCCTTCTTTGTCACTATATACCTTTTATCAAGGCCTGCCAAGCCTTCCTTGGGATCCACTACCTAGTTACCTAGCGAGTAGGTAGTCAATCCTGGGAAATGTCAAAAGAGCACGCCGTAGTCCTATACACTAACCATGCAACAGTTTATTGAAAGACCATGACTAGCCAGAGGTTCGAAATCTTTTCACAGGTGTTAATAACTAGACAGTGACGGTAGACCGAAGCAAAGTCTAAGGAAAACAGCTTCTCAAATGAATGCCACCTTGTTCAGTTTCTCAGTAAGGCTGCTTCGTTGACTGACTTGCCTTGGTACGCAACTACGCAGTCCGCACGACCATTGTTTTACCCATTCATTCGATAGCGCCATCCAGCGGCAACACTGACCACAGTCAAGCCTCTGGCAGCCTAGGCGGCCTTCTCGATAATAGGAAGAAGCAGATGTGACGACGTGGGCCCGCCTGTATATATTGTCGTCTTACCCCCAAAGACACTTGGTGGACGATCCTCTGGCAGGTTGTGTAGCCACGGGCCGGACCCTCTGGACACCCACGCTTCGTTCGGCGTGTCTGGTGGTAATGATCGCTCAAAGTCTTTTCCACTGATTTGCAAAGCCAAGCGATAATTGGCTGGCAAGAGGATGTGAGTAGGCCAAATCTCGACGTCCAGCTCATAGACCTGCCCGGGTTCCAAGGGCTGGAGTTCATCGTGGGTATGATACGGGCGGTAGGGCAGAGATTTCTGAAGATCCAACTTGCGGTGAGATGCTCGAAGCCAGCCCTGTGCCAATGGTGTATGCGGGTCGACGGTCCCTTTGAAATCTACCTCTTTGCCTTCGGGGTCGAATGCTTGTAGCGTGAGGAATAAGTCGCAATCTATCGTTGAGGACGATACAAAGACTTTTGCCATAAGTGGTCCCGTGATCTCGATATCTCGTCCCATAGGCGAAGAATAAAAGGTCAACGGCTCTTGAAGGGCTTCAAAGTCCGCACTTGAAGCCACCTGGGGAGCCTCCAACGCCATGTTCAGTGATCCATCAGTCACCTCCAAGTACATCCTGGTCCATTTGGTGTCCGGCAAAGGCCAACTTGATTCCATTCGAACCTCAAAGTTGCCTGTCTTGTCACTGTCTGGACGCCTGAGACGCAGCAGAACTGGTGGTTCTTTGGCCCACCCATTGTCCTCTCCTTTGAGGAAGTGATCGAGGAAGCGTTTCTGTAAAGCCATGCCTTGGTCGAGGTAAAACCACTCCTCATGGCGTCCGGGATGACATTCGAGCCATTTTTGCTTGGAGGCTGCCTGCGTGAAGGCTTCGAAATTCCCGCGCGGATGCAATCCATACCCAGCCCAATTTGCAGCGCTGAGGAATGGAACGGTGACCTTGTCCCAGATCGCTGAACGATCTCTATACCAGTCTCCGTCAAGAGGCCGGGAGAGGATATCCTGGACAGGGTCTGTACGGTTGCGCTGGAGCTCGTCTTCTGAAAGAGATTCTGGCCCACTGGCACGCTCATTCATCCAGGGGTCAAGGATCGTCTTAGGATTTCCATGCTGAACTGAGATAACCTGCTTAGGATACCACGCTTCCAGGAACCCATTGGATTCAATGCCGCCATGACGAGCCCAATCGCGATAGAAATCGGCGGCACCTTCCCACGGTATCATGGCAGTTAGATGTGGTGGCTGTAGAGACGCCACTAACCATTGCGCGATGGCGTAGTATGAAATCCCGTTGAGGCCAACCTTGCCCGTACTCCAGGGCTGGGTAGCGGCCCATTCGATCGCGTCGTAGTAGTCTTTGATCTCTCGAGGAGAGAACATATCGATTTTCCCGGGAGAGCGGCCGGCGCCCCGGGAATCGACGCGCACACAGGCGTAGCCCCAGGGAACCCAGGTTTCCGGATCAACAGTCTCCCAGTTCATATACTCCCGCGAGGAGCCAGGGAGGATATCTGGATATGTCGACACCAACCAATCCCACTGTGGCTTGAAGCCGACTCTGTAGGGGACGCCTTTGCCATATGGGCCAAGGGTCATAATAACCGGATGAGGACCTCCCGTTTTGGGACGATAGACATCAGCACGCAGACACAGGCCGTCGTCACAAGGGACCAGCACATCGCGTTCGATTATCATTTGCGCGGCCATCTTCACATTCGTCTGCTTTTTGGCATGCCCACAGAGCCAAAGGAGTGCGACTCGCGCCACACTGTCTTTATACCTGTCGCCAACCTCACATCACCTTGCCTAGGCATCTCGTACTGCTGATAAAGCTACATTACCCCGCGAAATACTCGGGAATGCCTCCGGACAGCAACTTCGAGAGTAAGTTCGTACAACAGCAAGTTCGGTTAAAGTTCGGTAGAGTTTTCCACCACTGTAATTGGCTGGCATTTAACTAGAGACGTTTTTAATACTAGTATTAACTATATAGTAGGCGGCGGCGAGGTAGCGACAATGAGGCTAAATTACGAGTGTGATTGGGCAGAATAGATAACTAGCCAACTAGATAATTAAGCGAACTTACTGTTGTACGAACTTACTGTCGAAGTTGCAGTTGTACGAAGTTGCTGTCGAAGTTGCAGTCGGGAGGCATTCCCGAATACTTCGACCTCACACCTCCGAGGCACAAGCCTGTGGGTTAGAAGCCGAAAGCCGTGTTGAATGGTTGCATGGGAGCCCTAGGGAATGCTGAGCCTCGTCGGCGGGAATATTTTATGAACGATGTTGTTGTCCGCAAGCTCCGTATCTTCTCCGGCATAAAACCGCCATGACGGCAAGCCACCTCCACCATTTGTACGAATTTCGGCTTCAGACGATCCACAACTGGCATTGCCGTGCTTTGAGGCCTAGCAACGAGGTGTAGATCCTAATATCCACCGAGGCTCTTGGTTGCACGAGCTGTACCTGATCCTGAAGGACCGTCTTCATGTTACCATTTAACCTTATGCCGATAGAAATACTGTCCTCTTCAAAGAGGGTGGTAACAAATTCCCACACCAGAAGTCACTGCGAGACAATCCCATATCGGCCTCTGGAGCTACAAAAACACGATCTCAAGCCTCGACAGTCATGGCCGCAACAGAAACCACGCAGGCGTTCTTCACCAAGCTCTTTGCTGCGATTTCACAAGAAGGGTTGGGCCCCATCCTGCTGAACGCTCTCCACGAAAACGTCAAATGGACAGCGACCGGCCAATCGCCACTGTCGGGCGTGTACGAGGTCAAGAACGCGTACCAGGAAGACTGCCTTGGAAAAATTCGTGGCAGGCTTGAATACTCTCCCAAACCGCAAGTAAACAACATCATAGCCGACAGGGAGTGGACGGCAGTCTACTTCCATTCGCACGGCGCCAGAAGTGCAAAAGGCGTGGACTTTGGAATGGAGTACTGTTGGTGGCTGAAGGTGCAGGATGACAAGATTGTAGAAGTCATTGGGTTCTTTGACCAGAAGCAAGTGTACGACCTTTTCCACGAGTAGGGGTTTTCAAAGTGGAATATCTGATCACAAGCAGAGAGACCATGATCGATAGTAACAGACTGACCCTTTCTGCAGATCATCTGAATTGCGCGATCTCTTGATGCGGAAGATCTGTGCTAATTTGTGGTCTGAGACGGTGATCGGCGTCGACAAGAAGCGCCTGAATATATCTCTCCGCAGCTCACTATCGTGTGGCTTTGGAAGGAATGCGTTCATCGAGGACGCGGTCATAGGTCTCGTGTCAACTCCCCGGCTGTCCAGCTGATCCTTAACATCACACGTAGTATCTCGGAGGTCTCGAAGTTTTCGTCTCGATTTCGAATGACCGATGGCCTAGCTGAAAAAGACCGAGGAGATGGTCTGTATCTAAGGGTTTGAGATATTTGAACAGAGTGGGAACGACCACTTCGACGCCTGTGATTGAACGTTAGGCTATTGAGCACATCCAAAGTAATCACCCATCGAGATTGCACCACCATATAAAAGTGTCTTCAATCCAGTCAAACTGCCATACAGTGCAACACTGTCGGTGTGGAATGGTTCGATGCTTTTCATAGGACTGTGACTATCGCATCTTTGGAGAGAAGTGGTGGTTTCGCGGGGGTACGGCAGAATTCCATGAAGTTAACGTGAGGAGTGAAGAGCAAGGTATTGACAGCATCCACAACAGCTACGCGGTGACCCTACATACAATTAAAGACATCCATCTCGCGAATGACACTGCGAGTGTATTCGGCGCGTAAAAGTATCTTTGTCTCATCCGTAAAGTCGGCGCCTATTGCGCTGTTACTACCCTATATCTCACCGAGATCTCGGACACTGTATTTGAAGCTTCTTGTTTCGCTAAATGAAGCCTTACAAAAGAAATATACCTGTAGGTAAAGGAATTCGGAGTTGCGAACTACCTCGACTGCTACAGGCTTGGCGCTATACTTGCGTGAATAAGAATACAAAAGTCAAAAAGTTATTTTAACTCTTAGCAGTCATCTCCATGGAGAGGAGATGAAAACTGCAAAAATGAAGAGAGTGGGATTCGAACCCACGCGGGTTGCCCCATCAGGAAACGTAATGTCAAGACTTTAGAGCCTTAACCTGACGCCATAACCAACTCGGCCATCTCTCCGTTGGTCTGTTTGAGTACAAAGTACATCACAGGACGATTGTTGAAGGGAATTTTCTGATTTTAATATAAGTAGCATCTGCTTCTACCTGTCGCTTACGTGAGTGTAAGTGCCAAGTCACGCGCTAGGTGTAACTAAGCCTAGCGCGCCACTTGGCATTGAAGATAACCAGTTAAGGCGCGAGATTACCTGCTCCGCAGGACTTTAATCTACATTTCTACCTGGAAAGGGTACGGGCGATCTCTCACCCGGCTCGGGTGAGCCCGAGGGGAGTACAGGGCGGCGTCACCCTCACGCCGAATGGGGGTTGACGTGGGGTCAGACTTTCCTCGTCTTGGCACGAATTTTCTGTGACTTGGATGCCCTTGCGGAAGGGCCTGCGGTAGCCACATATGTTCTGCACCCTCATCTAGGTGTTCGAGGACAATATCGCTAACGGTGTTTTGAGCGCGCTTCTGGACCGTCCCTCAGAATGGCGATCCAAAAGAAGCACGGCAAAGGACGGCTTGGTATGCTCTCCGCCACCGATCTAGACTTACATGTTGGACAATAGGCTGACTTCCTCCCAGACAAATGGTATAAGCTCGCCAAAGAGAAAGGATACCGAGCCCGAGCGGCCTTCAAGTTGATTCAATTGAACAAGAAGTATGGATTTCTGGAAAAGAGCCGGGTGCTGCTGGATCTCTGCGCCGCACCGGGATCCTGGTGTCAAGTTGCTGCCGAGACGATGCCTGCGCAAAGTCTGATTGTCGGTGTCGATCTGGCTCCCATTAAGCCCATCCCCCGCGTCATCTCCTTTCAGAGCGATATTACTACGGACAAATGTCGAGCGACTATTCGACAGCACTTGAAGCACATGAAAGCGGACACGGTTTTGCATGATGGGGCCCCCAACGTTGGTGTGGCGTGGGTACAAGATGCTTTCTCACAAGCGGAACTGGTTCTGCAGTCAATGAAGTTGGCAACAGAGTTCCTGAAAGAAGGCGGCACTTTTGTCACAAAGGTCTTCAGGTCGAAGGACTACAACGCGCTGCTTTGGGTGTTCAAACAACTATTTTCATCGGTCGAGGCTACCAAACCGCCTTCTTCCAGAAACGTGTCAGCAGAAATCTTTGTCGTATGCAGAGGGTTCAGGGCACCAAAGAGACTGGATCCCAAATTTTTGGACCCGAAACATGTTTTTGCGGAGTTGCAGGAACCCACACCGAACAACGAAGCCAAGGTTTTCAATCCCGAAAAGAAGAAGCGGAAACGAGAAGGTTACGAAGAAGGCGATTGGACACAACATAAAGAAGTTCCCGTCAGCGATTTCATTCACACTTCCGACCCGATCGCGATTCTAGGCTCCGTCAACACACTCAGTTTCGAGCAGCCACCCAACGGCGATCTTGCATTAGCCACAATAAGTCGGCTACCCGAGACGACGGCCGAAATTCGACAATGTTGCGCAGACTTGAAAGTGCTAGGAAAGAAGGAATTCCGGACATTACTTCGATGGCGGCTGAAAGTCCGCGACCAGTTTGGCCTGTCAAGCAAAGCCAAAAAGCAGGAGCAGGAAACACAGCTCAAACAGCAGGAAGGAGAGGAGGTGGCACATGTCGAGTCGATGGAAGACGATCTCAAACTTCAAGAAGAACTGCAGAGACTGAAGGATCAAGACTCTAAGGAAAAGAGGAAGGAGCGGCGGAAAGAAAACGAGAGGAAACGCAAAGAGATCGTCCGGATGCAGATGCACATGACTGCGCCGTATGACATTGCATTGGAGCAGAGTGGCCCGGGAGATGAAGGGTCTATGTTCAGCCTCAAAGCGGCTGATAGGGCTCAGGATTCTGTTCGGAGTGCCACCGAAGAAATGGTGGATGAGGAAGATCCGGACTCGGAAGCCCCAGAGGATGGTTCTGAGAGTGATGAGGATGAGGCCGGCGACAGGCTTGAAAGGGAACTCGACTTAATGTACGAAACTTATCAGCAAAGGAGGGAGGAAGCAGACGCGAAGGCGCGAGCAAAGCGAGCAAGGAAGGAGAAAGAAACCGATGAATGGGACGGTCTATCCGATGACGCAGATACCCCTGGCGATATTGCGACTGACGCGGGCTCTGATGACGAGCAAGACGGCTACCCTCTAAAACAAATTCCGAAGAGTGAGGGTCTTTCCACCAAAGCGGCCATGTTCTTTGATCAGGAAATTTTCCAGGACTTGGGCCTCGATGATGAACAAGAAGACTTGGACAAGGATAGCGCGATTGAGATGGACGATGATGATTCTACAGATCACACAAACTCCGTCGCCGCAAAAGCTTACACATCGAAAGAGCAGCGAGACAAACCTCTCAAGTCAGCATTGAAGAAACAACGCCCGTCGCTTCAGTCAGCAGACGTTGAATCGGAACCCGACGCTGATACTATCGTCAAAACCACTGCCTCCTCTAACACCAACCCTCCACGGCCCGAAGATCCGTTAACACCGTCCGGCCACTTGGATGTCGATATAATCACCGCCGAAGCCATGACCCTCGCGCACTCTCTCGCGACCAAGCAAACCACCTCCAAAGACCTGATCGACGACAATTTCAACAAATACACCTTCCGCGACACCGACGGTCTCCCGGACTGGTTTTTGGATGACGAAGACCGACACTCTCGCCCTATCAGACCCATCACGGCCGCGGCCGCGGCCGCCATCAAGGAAAAGATGCGCGCGTTGAACGCCCGGCCGATCAAGAAGGTTCTGGAAGCGAAAGGGCGGAAGAAGATGAAAGCCGCTCAACGATTGGAGAAGCTGCGCAAGAAATCGGCGCTATTGCTCGAAGACGAAGGGGTAAGTGAAAAGGACAAGGCCTCGACCATTGCGAGAATGATGGCTCGGGCAGCCAAAAAGGGCAGACCGAAGGAGAAGGTCAAGCTGGTCGTGGCGAGGGGTGCGAATAGGGGTGTCGCCGGCCGCCCCAGGGGCGTCAAGGGCAAATACAAGATTGTGGACGCGCGGCTGAAGAAGGATGTGAGGGCTGAGAAGAGGCTGAAGAAGAAGTTGAAGTAGCGCCCCTTGGCCATCGATCGATCCATTTTATTGCACACAGAAACCACACGTGTCGGCTTCCTGTCATGATTGTATGGTTTTTGATCTGGGATGTGGTCTTTGCAATACTTTATCGTGACTGCTACGTCCCTATTCAGTATGGCTCAGCCTGCTTCCCTTTTATCACAGTTCGCCTGTTTGGCAGGTTTATTAGACGGCCCCATCGCGTGCATACCCACTCTGCATGTAATACTAGATCGTCTCTATGCCCCCAAAAGTACGGGGAATGCGCCAGCCAAAAAAGGGACCGACCCCGTCAAAAAACGCTCACTCGCTGTATATAGTACATGACGGCCCTTTCTAGGTTCCCTTTTTCCAACCATCCCGGCAGTGTCCTTCCAATGTGCAGCCAGGGTCCGCGTCATGCTCTGTACCAATTGGCGAATAATCCTGAAGGCCGCGACGCGGTACGGTCTTCAGCACTGGTAACACGCTGGTCGAGCGATCAGTGCATTCTGTTTCTCCAGATTCCACTTTGCACCGCCGTCAGTGGCGGAGATTATGCTCCGCACATCGGCTGATTGACCGCATTTCTTCTGCGGTGGGCGAGACCGAATCTGGTTTGTGGGAAGTGAGTCAATACAATGTGACTGACGATGTCTCCGGGCCAAGGACCATCACCACCCTCCAAACCCCCAGCGGCTTTCGTCCTCTTCACCCCCATCGAATTTGTCCAACTCACTACCATCGCCGGAGTAACCAATAAAGTCGCGATTGTCGTCAATCAAACGTCCATACTCCAGAAGTAACCTGAACATGTACACCTCGATATCCTCTCGTCTGAGCACCTTGTTTGCCCATTCGCGTCCCTGTTTGGCGAGGGTCTGGGCCTCTCTGTCATGCCTGGCAATGAAGACGCGCGGATTCGGATCTTCGCCTTCCTCGGCATGCTGTTTATAGGGTTTGCCATATCCAATAAAGTATGTCAGAACTCCGTAGATGTCGTCGTATCGGTTGTCCACCGGAACAAAATGTCGCCATGCTAGTAGGCGGCTATCGTGCCATTCGCGGAAGATAGTAGCTTTGAGCCCGAGACTCTTGCTCTGGAGGAAGGCGTGCCATCGGCCAGAGAATGAATGTCCATCGACGTCGATCAAGTATCTCGATTTAAACTGCGCAGTGAGCGGGACTTGTGGCTTCCAAGAGAAAACGCTGTCGTAGAATGAACAATTCGGGAGACAGGACATTGGTTCAGTAAAACCGATATCGCTATGGCGATCAGCAAACTGCGATGGCTTGAATCGATCATAAAGCTCGTAGGTAGTGTTCACCTTGCCCGGTCCATCGTCCTTTTCGGTTAGAGCTTTGACCTCTTTCCCGGTCATGAGCAAATGCGTGCCGTTCAAAAGCTGAACAAGCCTTTGTCGATGCATTCTCTCCCAGTTATCCTCCAGCTGGACACCGCCAGAAGTGACGCCGCGCCAAATGGTGTTATCGAGCTTGTCTCGCCAATCAAGATCTTCCTCTCCATTGTAGTCATATCGGTCATCATGCTGATAGTACATGTTTGCTGGGAAGAGAATGTCGTTGTTGACGCTAACCTTGCATTCGCCGAAGATGGGTACCAGCTTTTGAGAGGCGATGATGCTGCTTGCTGAATACAACATGCCGTGTAAATCTTGGATAGTCGGACCCACTGTGCACAAGTCGGTCGAGAGATTAAAATTCTTCACAAATCCAAGCGTGGGCTCTTTGTACAGAGAATCTGCCTCCGCGACAGTCATATCCGCCCGTGCGGGGGATTCTGGAGGACAGCCTTTGGCTGCGAGGTTCATGTACTGCTGACCGGCAGCAAATATCCAGTCTTCACTCAGCCTGGTGGAGTGGTCGAGTTCCTTGTCTTCGATGCTCATATCCAGGAGCTCCGGTTGATCCTTTGTGAAGCTATCCGTGACCTCGGGCGCCATGACGCGAGTGAGGTACTCCTTCTGCAGTAACTCTTGCATATCTTCCCAAGGCACGACCAGTCGGGGTTGATCCAATCTGTTCATGGGAATGTCCATGTCCGGAAGGAATTGTATGCATTTCTCGATAACTTTCTCCATGGTTTCGGATCTCCAGCTTGGGTTGTCCACCCTGACCACCTTGTGGTTGCGGATATGAATGACCGATACACCAAAATCGGGGTTCTCCCACATATGGGCTGCGTGAATGCGGATCACGGACGCATTGATTGCCCAGAAGGGCCGGAGGTCGTCCATGATTTGTTCAAAATCATCGATATTGAAAACGTTCCTCTTTCGTGCGAACTTGTACCATTCTTTAAACCCTGGAGGGGGATGTCTGCCATATTTGCTTCTGTATTTTTCCACTGTCTGCCTAAATGTTGTTGAAATTCCTGTCTCGTAGTTCCGCCACTGCTCATCGGCCTCTTGCATCAACTGCGCAATGGGATGTAAATCGAAGTGCTCGACAGGTTGAGTGGGTTTTGGGGTGGGTTTCTCAGGGTCGAATTCGTGTTCCGGCTCAGACTCAGGCTCAGGCTCAGGCTCAGGTTCGAGTGTAGGAGAAGGATCGGGACCCAAGTCCCATATCGTGTCTGGATCGGGCGCTGAAGGGGGTAGTTTATGCTCGGTAGGATTCAAATGGCCTGGGATAGGTATGTGGGAGGCGACATCCTGGAGGTCGCCACTAGACGGTGAAAGGCCGTGAAACACAATGTAGAAGGCCAATATACTGGCGATGAGCAAGATGATGCGTCGCTTGTTCAACTCGATAGGGCCCATTGTGCCCGGAGTAGGGTGGTTGATGGGGATTGTGTTCCGCAAAACAAATCCCTACGTAGTCATGACTTTGGGTAAGTGACGAGATATACGATGCAAATCCAACGTATAGGTTATGCCACCCGGCTGCCACAGTCTCACCGAGTCATTATTGAAGGAAGGTTTGAAGTCCAACTCAAGCGATGATTCTTCAGGAGGCCGTGGTACAGGGACCGTTGCGTATATTGCAGGGGCTCCGCATGTGGCGGGTGAGAATTTCTTAAGACGATTCTCATTGGCGGGCTACTCGGTACTGTGAACAGCTTGGGACTCGGCCCCCAAAAGGCTACATTCCTTCTGTCGCTTCTCACATCTCTTCTGGCATAACTATGGTCAACCAGGCCAATATATAGACGACGCTCTGAATGGAGAAGAAGAATTGCCAACGCGGCACACGTCCAGATGTCCCCCCCAGCTGCTACCAGGCTGCGACGACCAAAGACACTTCAGGAGAAATGTCAACCATATTACCCTTCAGAACTCGATCCATCAGCCTATCCTATGCTGATACTCACATGGAGACTCGGCACCGTTGACCTCGTTGTGAAAGGATCTTGCTTCATGCGTTCATATACGTAGGGTAGCTAAGTACCTAGGTACCAGGTAGGTATGTGTGAAGCCTTGCCAAGGCACAATAAGGGGAGTCAGCCTTGCCAACACTAGCAAATTCGACTTTTGCCAATCTGCTCTTCACCAGTACAGAGCCAGAGTCAGGAGGAGAAAGCATTCCATATTTAGGAAGCCTGGATGTACTCGCCAAGTTGCAGCGATGCAAGATCCGAAAAGATAACGTGCGAAGAAGTGCCGGCAGAAAGCGGGATCTCCTCTTCCAGCATCAGCCTCAGAAACCTTGACACTTGGCCAGAACGCCATCAGTGCCATCCAGGCCGACAAGCTCTTCACTGGTGGGGGCCAATTTGCTCAAGGGCAAGTACAAGCATCTTGTGGTCTACTCAATCACCAATACCCATCTTCACCCGTATCCTCGGATAAAAGTAAAGTCCAGGGCTCACCCCCGCATTTTATGCCCCAGTTTTGCTGACACGAGACATCATTCATGATTGGCCTTTCGACGACGACCCTCCATGCTGTGTCAGGATAGCGGTGGGTGGCCCTGGTGGCCCTGCAGGCGGACGTCAAGTGCACGATGTCAACGATGCCAACTAGCTGGGTGGGAGCTACGCTACCTCGGCAGGCAAAGTTACGTCTTCTGAAGCCGTATTAATGTCTGTTGTTGCCAGTTCTATCCATCTCAGCCCGTCGTTATAGTCGTCCAGTGGAAAGCCCTCCCTCAACCTATTCCGATCATGGATATCCTCACGTATCTCCAATCCCCGCAGAGTTATCTTTGGGCAGCGCTGTTGGGTGTTGTCCTTCATTTGACGCTGTTTCGCTATGGTGAATGGGACTGGTCTGCGCCAGCTTTGATCTCGTCCTTTTTCACCACGCAATTAATTCTCCTGGGATTTTTGACTGCCTACGCACCATCATGGAAGGCAATTCTACTGGCAGTGCTCCATGTGTCGGCTCTAGGGACTTGCCTTCTCGCGGGCACTTCCGCTAGCATCTTGATATATCGTGGATTCTTTCATCGACTCTCCAGATTTCCTGGCCCCTTTTGGGCACGGTTATCTGCCATGTATCCGACATCACTTTCCGTCAGGTCCAAATTGCATCTTTATGAAGAGGTTCAAGCCCTGCACAGACAATATGGGGATTTTGTGAGACTTGGTAGCGGCTGGCTGCCCAACAATGCAAAAGAAAGTTGAAGAACTGACCCTTCATCAGGACCGATGGAATTGTCCATCGCTGATCCGCGGGCCGTTCAAGCAGTCAATTCAGCACAGACTCCCTGCACGAAAGGACCCTGGTACAATGGAATGCGACCACGGGTGGCCTTACAAAACAGCCGAGACAAGCAAGAGCATTCACAGCGAAGGAAAGTCTGGGATCGGGGATTCGGTGCTAAAAGTAATTTCTGCTGGAACCACTTCGAACAACCTGGTTCGTTTCCGGCTGACGTGCGGAAAACTTAGGTCTTCGCGATTACGAGCCTCGAGTAGTGTCATACACCACCGGCTTGATGAATGCTATTGAGGCTCAAAAGGGCAAGCCACTGAATGTCACCGACTGGTTCAACTTTTACAGCTTCGATGTCATGGGCGACCTCGCCTTCGGAAAATCGTTCGATATGGTCAAGAATGGCGTCAAACATTACTTCATGAACTCCCTCAAGACCAACATGACCATGGCAGGCTACTTTAAGCACATTGTCTGGATTGCACCGATCTTCAGGTCGACACCGATCCTTAATTTCGAGCACAAGAGATTCTGGAAGTTTGTCAATAGCCAAGTGGATGAGAGAATGAAGGTGAGTCTTTTTTTATGTCGAGCAGAGAGGGAATTTTGTTCTCTGACTGAGCTGCAATCAGATGAAACCAGATAAGCCGGACGTGTTCTCTTATCTGCTTGAAGAATATGAAAAACAAGAGCCCAAGACGGCTCAAGGCTTAATGAATCTTCAGGCTGATGCCTATTTGATTGTCGTTGCTGGAAGGTAACTACAGACTTCCCTTTTAAAGTGCAAAGCAAATATGGTTATTAAGACTGTATATCTAACTGAGCACACTTTCAGCGATACCACCGCCGCGACCCTGACGAGCCTCTTCTTTCATCTAGCTACGGAACCCCATTTGCTGACCGAGCTTCGGAAACACGTGGATCCGCTGTTCGAGGCCGGGGAAGTCGATTCTGTCGCCCTATCGAAGAGCAAGCATTTGGATGCCGTCATCAACGAGGCTTTGCGTCTTCATCCTCCCGTGCCTTCAGGCGTCCAGCGGTTGACTCCCCCCGAAGGCATGATCATCGGTGAAACATTTGTTCCTGGGAACACAATTGTATATGTTCCATTCTACACTCTGTTTAGAGGTAAACACTCCCATCCCGATGCACAATCCCCCAACACAGGATTGCAGAGAAACTCACTCCAATGCTTGTACTTAGACGAGCGAAATTTCAGAAGACCAGAGGAATTCATCCCTGAGCGATGGACCACAAACCCCGAATTGACCGTGGATGCTTCGGTCTTTGTCCCCTTCTCCTATGGTAAGTGTCCACCACAGTGACGCTAAAGGATAGCCATCCGCCTCTTTTGTTGAAAGGAGCGCAAAGATCCTGTTGGATGCCACAGTGAGCTGACAAGACGCTGTTCACTACACAGGCCCGTATAGCTGTATCGGCAAACAGCTCGCCTTGATGGAGCTTCGATATGTCACAGCTTACATAGTGCATCAGTACGACTTCACTCTGGCCCAGGGGGAGGATCCAGCCAAGTTCACTCGCGATATGACTGATGGATTTACTCTTGCCTGCCCACCTCTGAGTCTTGTCTTCACCGAAAGGAAAACAGCTTGAGGCTTTGGGAATCCAGATGATAAGACCACAATTACGTGTATTTGAAGGGCTCTGTTCTATGCCATTTTCCGGCGTCCACTCTCTTTGATCTCTCTTTCACGTAGCGGCCGTCCTAAACGCTGATACGGTTATTCCCGGGCTAAATACGCCAAGGGTATGGAGTTACAGCATCAGGGGTTTAAAGCCTTCCGGCCTATAAGTGTTACCAATAGCAACACATCCCGGCTTCTCCTGAGTCAACATGCCTCAGTCAGAGATGGCCCAAAATGGACCTGATTCCAAAGCCTGATTCCGTGCACCTGTCTACTCGGTCCCTTACCTCGGCCTCGGTAGCTAGTGGTATTGACAGAGAACCCCGCAAATAGGGATATCCTAGGCAAATCCCGTTGCAATGGGATCAAATGCTTACAAGGTCGTGACCCCGCCTGACCCCCAAGGCCAGGCTCTCGCGGAGGGTGACATCTAAAAGCCTCTGAGGACCCCCCGGCGAGGTTGGATGCATTAAACCACCTTCATCTTCCGCAATCATGGTTGCCGCACACTTTGAACTGTCGCCTCAGTGGCTCTCCAAGGCCCTGGGCTTCGACGTGGTCGGTGCTAAGTCTAGCCGGATTGGAACGGGCCAAATTGGCGAGGTGCACCGTATTGAGCTCGAGTATGGCTCCAAGACACGAGCAGGGCCTGCTTCAGTGGTGGCAAAAATGGCCTCCCTTGACGGAGACTGCAAATCCTTCGGCATCGACTCTGGTCTGTACGAGCGAGAAGTCCGTTTTTACAAGGAGGTTGCCCCGCTTCTGACGACCGGGCCGATCCCAACTGTTTACAGGGTGGAACGGGATGAGGCGTCGGGAGAATTCGTCATCCTGATGAGCGACAACGCTGGGAGGGTCGGCAGTGACATCAATGGGGCAACGTTGGAAGAGGCCAAGTTGGCCATGTCGGAGCTCGGTAGACTTCACGGGTTGATTTTGAACCATGTACCCTTGGAAAATCATGGATGGATGAAGAGGACGAGGGCGTGGTCGTCGGAAGAGCACATGTTGGGATACTGGAAACTGTTTCAGGAGCGATATGGAGATCGCCTCAAGCCAGAACACCGCGAGATTGGCCAGAAATTCATCGACAGCTTCGAGGCGTACCATGCCACCCTCGACGCAACTTCAGCCCCTACGGGCCTCGTCCATGGAGACTATCGCCTTGACAACATCCTGTTCAGAGACACCGCAGACCTGCCATTGACGTTGGTGGATTGGCAGACATGCTATTGGGGACCTATCCTTCACGACCCTTCCTACTTCTTGGGGCTCGCTGTGACGCCCGAGTTCCGCCGCGAGCACGGAGAGGAACTCTTGAAGATATATCACCAGGCGCTTTCCGCGAGCTCTCCGTGCCCGATCAGCATCCATGAATGCAAAGCGGGTGTCCAGATGCACAGTTTTACTGGAATGCGTCAAGCCATCACCGCGGCGAGTCTCGTGGAAAGAACAACCAGAGGAGACGATCTGTTCCTGACCATGTTCGAACGCAGCTGTGAGCACGTCATTGACACGAAGGCGCTCGAGGTGTTGCCGCCACCGGTACCTATCCCACATCTAGAGCCCGAAGCCGCAGACGACGAGATGCACCCGTTCAGCGACCACCCGCTTCATAACGAAAGCTGGTATTTCGACGTGGTTGACCTTGAGCAGCAGGTCGGGGCGTGGGTGAGACTCGGCGTCATTCCCAACCAGAGCGGTTCGTGGTACCATGCTTTGATTTGTGGCCCACACATACCCACGGTAGGAGTGATCGATTTCGAGGCTCCCCATCCAGGAAAGGACCTTGTAGTTCATGGCGCAGAATATACGGCCACACACGAAGCCGAAGTGCCTCTCCAGAAATATCGCATCACTGTCAAAGGAAAAGGGGTGGCATTCGACGATCCAGCGGCAATCTTACAATACGCAACCGGGCGCCCCGTGGATGTTCAGATGGATCTCCTTTTCGAAACAGACGGACACCCTTACAAATGGCGCCGGGCAACCAGATACGAGATCCCCTGCAAGGTCACTGGGACGTTCTCGTGGGACGACCAGTCATTCACCTTCACCAAGGCTAGAGGCCAACGGGATCATTCCTGGGGGCCTCGCGACTGGTGGGCCGCAGACTGGGTGTGGACTGCATTCCACTTTGACGACGGGACTCACAGCCACCTTGTGCATGCCAAAGCCAGAGGAGGTGGAGGGGACCATCCTCACCTTGGGGTAGGATATGTCCAGAAAGAAGGAGAGCCGCTGGTTGAGATGACCGATGTCAAAGCAGCAGCTGAAATGGCAGCAAATGGTCTGGGCGGGCCAACCACCATCACAATGGCTCCGCTTCCACTCACCTTCTATGTGAAACCTATTGGACACGCCCCTCTCTGCCTGGTGGCCAAGGATGGGAGGGTTGCAAAGTTTCCTCGCTCTTGGGCCGAAATCACCACCAATGACGGCCGCAAAGGGGCCGGCTGGCTGGAGTGGAACATCAACGAGTGAATAGAAGTGAATGTTAGTCCTTCGGTTGGGCGTAGCTCGAGAAGCAGGTGACAATTTGACCAGATTCCTTCCTCTGCTGTAAAGTATGAGCTATACGATATTTTTATCCAGTCACGCTTCATCTCCTGAGAAAAGCTGCCTTTTCATTGACAGTAGTTACCGCTCACCCACAAGTATGTGGTGATCTAGCTCTAGATAGATCAGATGTCACGGTATCAGCGAAAAGGGCTCCATGTAATATCCAGCCAGCACACGAGCGAGAGGCGGTCACAATGACCAAGTTGGTGGTTAAGCCGTTTCATGAAAAGTGATTGAATCTCAAGGAGAAGGGAGAGGCTGGAACAAGCGTGTGAAACAATCGCCTTTGCGAATCAAAAGTACGAGCCGACCTACCTGCAGGTGTGCAAGATGTAGGCCTGTTGGTTCTAGAGGTGGATATGATTTGTCCATGCTCAAGATGTTGTTGGAGATCCCACAATAGGTTCGGAGCCCCTTACGAGGCTGAACAAGGCTGAGTCTGATTAGGGGAGAATGGCGCAAGGACAAAGAAAATTTTGTTGATCAAGATCTAACCAGATTCCTTTTCACTGCCGAGTCAATTGGGAAGAAATCGAAAGCTTTCTCATCGACTTTAATCGAAACGTTGGGGCCCCACGAGGCCCCGGAGTTGTCGTATACTTTACTTATCAATTTGTATTGGGTCTGCAATTGCCACGAATCAATCAAGCGCCGGTTACAGTCCTTATAACATTGATTTGCCTTGAGATCCTGACAAGTGTGACGGAAAAGATGTGAGACTCAAATAACCTGTTTTTGGGAACAGTAAAGATGCATGTCAAACGAGTCGAATTCTCCCTGCTCTAGCTTGCGGTACTTCAAAGCTCGTGGCTCGGTTTTGCTGTATTGTTGTGCACAAAGGCACGATGGTTATATTGTTGGGGAGTCTCGTAATTGACTTCAAACTCGGGACAACCATATAAAGATGTGTTGGCTCGCAAGTCGGTGTTGATACAATAATATGCCGTAATCTTCCTGCACCCTTAGAAATTCATAGTCTGCGATTCGGACATGGTCTCTCTGGAAAATTCTCCCACTTTACCAAGGACATATTTTTCGCAGAGGCGGCTCGCCCCGAGGGCATGAGTGATCCAGTTGGCCCTTAGACACAGAGGAAACCTATGTCAATGGGTAGAAAATCTTGGGGGAAAAACAGCTGAAACCACCAGACATGGTAGCACGCACGGAGCAGAAGCTGGAAACATGAGGTTGCCAGACAATCAGCTCAGCTGTCTGTTCCCTCACGACTCTCATCTCTATTGTTAAAGTTCATCGAGTTAGAAAGGATGAGCTGGCAGAACGCGAGAGTGAAATGCTCTTGGGGCGGAATCTTGGCAACGTGTGCTTGGCATCCGTAAACGGCAACTCTACCTGCGCGGTTGGTATCTCCTAGAGCTTTCAATCGACTCTCCACTGTCGAAAGATCTTGAAGAACAAGGTCATTCCCTACCAGACAAATGCCGCCTCGACTAAGCCTGCGGCTCTCGCCCTCGTCGACGGTACTGTGTACCGACACCGTCAAAATAAAATCCGCAACCACAAACTCATCCATTCCAGCGTTCCTCGTCCCTTTCCTTCAAACTCAGGCCCAAACGCTTCCACAATGCCGCCGACATGCCTCAATCCTAACCTCCCTCTCCGACCGGCCTGGCGCCTATAACAAGAAGATCCGCCGCGGACGAGGTCCAGCGTCGGGAAAAGGAGGCAAGTCCGGTCGCGGGTCTGATGGGCAGAAACAGCGTGGCAAGGTGCCCGCCGGATTCAATGGTGGTCAAACACCCGAGCATATCGTGCATGGGAAATATGGGTTCAAGAATCTGTAAGGTCTACTGCCCTGGGCCCTTTTTGAATAATGGAGGAGGATTTAGACTGATGTCATGGCCTGCGCCTGCCAGATTTGCCAATGAAATGTCCCCCATCAACCTGGACAAGATTCAATCCTGGATCGACCAAGGCCGCCTCGACCCTTCCCGTCCGATCACCCTCAAAGAGCTCTGCTCGTCGCGCGTACTGGGTCGCATCAAAGACGGCGTGAAACTGCTCGGAACTGGGGCTTCGGAGCTCAAAACACCCATCCACATCGTCGTCTCGAGGGCGTCGCAATCCGCCATTTCCGCGGTCGAAGCTCTGGGCGGAACGGTGACGACGCGCTTCTACACCGCGCAAGCGATACGCCGCATCAAGAACAGCCAGACTCATCCCTTCCTCTCCCTGCGCTGGGATCCCTCGGCCCTGAACAATCCCAACTTGGCCGTTGAAGGGTCTGAGCTCCCTCAAAACCGCGCCAGAGGAATGGGCTTCCCGTACAGACTACCCGATCCAAGCTCACGGAAAGAGCTAGAGTATTACAGGGACGCGAATCATCGCGGTTATCTGAGTCACATGGTCAAAGAGGGCGAGAGCGCCAGTCTGTATTTCAAGCCACCAATCAGTGAAGAGGAGCTGAAGGCCCTGAAAAGAGAGAGTGCACGGGGTGGCAGGGCCGCCAAGAGGAAGGAAGGAGATAAGTTGTGGTAAAAGAGCGGGCGAGATATATGTATTATACACTGGATTCTTCCTTTTTTTTCCCAGTCGCCTGGGCTCTGCTTGTCGAGCCGGAAAGAAGATTAGGACAGAAAACACAGGATTGGACTTTGTATAAAGCGGAATGGCATCTCAAAACACGTATCTTGTAGGTTTGAGGGAACAGCTGGCAAGCGAACTACCGCCAGACCTTTGTGGTCATTAGGTGGTTTTCAGTGTCTCTTTGAAATCTCAATGGAGCGTCCGGTCTCCTAGATCAGGATCCGATCTTGCCGGTACGAGGCGCGCAACAGCTGAGATGTTTCGGCGTAGAAAGATAAACAGGTTACCATACAGTGCTCGGCCCCCCACAAAGGAGGCTTTCTATAAGTTAAACAGTGGTCGTTTTCTCGGTCCGCGCCCAAAAAGGGCATTGGGAGACAAGCATTAATACCGTCCCAAAATCCCCGTTGTCCAGAAGCAACACGGCAGCAGCGCATACAATCCTGTGTTGCTTCACGAAAGCCCAAATGACTCTTCCTCAAGCTTGGAGCCTTTGTCTGAACTTGCCTATTCTCTCGACACGTCTCTGCCGAAGAACTTGGCCTTGGCCCAGTCAAAGCCGACAAGGATACGGTTGCGGGCTAGCAAGTCAGAAACTGTCAGCGGAAAACCCATCTACGTGCGGGAAGACGACCAGGAAAGGGACGGGCAATGTAATACTCACTGCTAAAGCACATGCTCAAATAGGCGCTCTTCCAGAACAGGTACGTCATAGTACCTCCACTTGCGATGTTCCCGCTGAACCAAGACACGTCGGCAACCGCTTTCTCAGCACCAATGTATGCAAGTGATCCTTGATGCGAATAGCTGAATGGGCCGATCTGCTTGATGCGACGGAGCTGGCGCTGGCGCTGGTTGATTTCCTCCAGGATGACTTTACGTTCGTCCGGATTCGCCGTAGCCTGCTTGGCGGACAATTCGCGTAGTTCGGCCTCAATGGCGTCTGTCTTGGCCATGGTGTTGAACAGACGAGCAAGAAAAGCCCCTTCTTGGGCAGCGACTTGGGCGGTGGGTGCGTAGTTGGCCACGGCGCAGTCTCCGACAGCCCAGATGTTTTCGGTGCCATTGACCACGAGGTATTCATTGACTTCGAGACCGCGGCGGGCTTTGGCTTGAGCAGGGATTTGAGACATGAGATCCTTGACCACGGGACGCAGAGCATTACCAGTGGCCCAGACAAGCAGTCCGTAAGGAATCTTCTCCAGGGCTTTCGAACCGTCTGGGTTCTGGACCTCGGCCTCAATGTACTTGTTGGTAACGTTCTTGACCATGGTCTTGGTGCGGATCTGGATATGCTCTTCCTTGAAGGATGACTCGGTGTATTCGATCAGCTGCTTACTGAACATGGGGAGTACATTGGGCAAAGCTTCGACCAAAGTCACATGGAAATCGTCCTTGATCTGAGGGACCCATTTCTGCAAGTCTTCCATAAAGAAATCCTGCAGTTCACCAGCGAACTCGACACCGGTTGGACCGCCACCGACGACTACCATGTGGAGAAGACGCTTGACCTCTTCGGGGCTCTGATCCTTGAAAGTTGCGGTTTCGACACAGTCCATGATTTGTTTGCGGATCTTTTGAGCATCACCGACTTCCTTCAGAAAACAGGCATGTTCACGAACACCGGGGATTCCGAAGGTGGCATTTTCTGCTCCGACGCCCACGACAAGCAGGTCGAAGGGAATCTCTGTCTCCATCGTGTCGCCCTTGATTTCCGAGTCGTCCTTGGCATAGATAATCTTCTTCTCGTAGTCGATCTTTGTGCATTCGGCTTCATAGTACTTGACCTTTGCCTTCTTGTGTCGGAGAATGTTCCGGATGGGCTCCATGATGGACCGATGTTCAATGGTGCCGGTGGTACATGAGGGCAGCAGAGGGGTGAAGAGGAAGTAGTTACGAGGCGAGACGACGACGACATTGTAGTTTTCTGTGTCCAAGTTTTTGAGCAGGGAGACGGAACCCCAACCGGTACCTGAGCATGTCAGCATTTGAGTATCAGCTATTGCGGGAGGTAGCATGCGCACCGAGGATGACGAGGGTCTTTTTATTTGGATCAGGGTCAAACTGCTCTTTTGGGTTGCGGCCTTCATAGATCTGCCACGAGACATATCCCAGCCCGGCGAGAACGGAGAGATAGGTCAAGCGCCATGTCCAAAGGAAGAACCGGAAGCGCTTCTTCGGTTTGGGTTCTGGGGAAAGCTCGACTTTGGGAGCATCGGCATAGTGGCGACGGAAGGATTGCTGGATAAGTGGCCGGGGCACCAAGGAGGACGGTCTGGAGGCGATTGGAAGTGGGAAAGCTGAGCGGCGACACGTTGAGAAAGCTCGCATGGACAAAGACCTGGGTGACGCCATTGGCAAGCCGGGCATCATGCGCAGGGAGAGTTTGCTCGCCATGGTGGCCGCAATGGTCGAGGTGTTGGGGAGGCGATCAAGGCAAGATCATGAAGCCCATCAGGAAATCTGACCAAGACAAGGAGAGAAAAGAAGAAGGAAAAAGGACTAACGGAGGCTTTTGAAGGTACGACGAGGGCGGATGTTGAATGAAGGTTGTAGAGAAAAAGATTAGAGAGGCCAGAGATTAATCTTTTGGAGAAAAAAATCCCATGGCACGTCAGGGTTTGGGGCGATTGGGGGTAGCAGGACTAGCAGGACCTAGCGAGCCAGCTTGTAGCTTGTAGCTGATACGAGGAGCAGTTGATTTGTTAGGAGGATTTTACTACGAGGTATTGCGAGGAGCTCCATGGCGGCGATTGTGGTTGGAGTGGGCCTGAGGCGCATTCTTGCTTTTTGGCGAGCAAAGCTGCAGGCTGATGATGATAAGCGTGGCATCATTCTCGCGACCAGGTACCTGGCGAGCCGGCCGTGGAGCACTAACAGCAGACTTCCTAGGTACCTAGGTACCCAGGTAGGCATCAGATAGCTACTAGCGATGTCCGCGAGGCCTAAAGATTCTTATTCCTATTCCGGCCCTACAAGCTGCGAGTTCTCTATCAACCCCTCCCTCATTCGTGAAGAAAAGGTACTTAGCTATAGGCACAGTAGATTAAAATCATTCGACAGAGCAATAGTCTTCACACTACTGGCCCTGGGAATACCTTAACTCCTCTTCTTCAACCCCCACGTCTTCCTGCGTTCAATCAGAAGGTGGCTTCTTCACTCTCCGCTCCGCCATACCTCCTGGGGCCTTACGAGTCCTCCATCCCGCCGGCATAGATGGGCAATGGGTCGGAAAATCCTTACATAATACGGAGTGCTCTTCCATACCAGCGACCTTTGTTGCTGCCCGTCTATCCCTACGCCCACTCGGCGGAAGGGAATAAATAACAATAGAACGTACTCTTCCTAGGTGGATACGCCCAGTTAACCCTTCACACACTCACCCTGATCGGCTCGTGCCCGAAAAGGGCCAATGCCTTCTCCCCGCCTCCCTTGCTCCGAAACCCCTTTGATTGTCCTCTTCAGCCTTGCCTCCCCATTGAGCATCTCCATTGCAAGCAGCCCACCTTTGGTCCAGGGTCGTGTCTACGAAGGGAAGGAAGATGAAAATCGGTCTCTCGACTGGACAAGTATAATAACTCAATCACAAAGTCCCTCAATTTCGCCCACCAGACACCGGTCCAGCATTCGGTACGGAGTAGTCAGGACCATCCGTGATCTGGGAAGAAGAATGTCGGGGCAAAATCTCAATATGCTTGCTGGGCTGCTTCTGCCGCTATCAATAACTCCACCTCACAGCTGGTCCATTGCTGGTTTGCTGGGTCAGCCTTTCCTCAGGCAAAAATGGGATGCATCCTGACAATGCTTGGATCGTCTCGGGCTGCGACATAACTCCGATCAAGGCCTGGGCTATCCAAGGCCACAGATTCGAAATGGGCACATCCGTCAATTTTGGACACTCGACTCGACAACGTGTCTAACTGGTGCAGACTGTCATTTTTGGCGTCGTGGAGTGACGCATCACCGGCTCCTGCGCGTGAAAGGGGTGCGTTTGCCCCATCTCGTGCCAGGCGGTCGTCTATTCCCTCCTCGTTGGTTTACCCTGAACAGCACCAAACATCAACTCAACTTTCGCTAGGCTTCTCCTGCTCCGATTTCTTCTCTGACAAGATCTTCTCAGCTTCGGTCTGACCCTCCGGCGTATACTCTGGGCCCGTTTCCTGGTCTTCTTCTTCCTGTTCCTGGATCACTGTCTGCCTCAACTCTTCCGAGTCTTGATCAGATATTTGTCCTTCCTGAGCCAGTCCGGAATGCCGCCGTGCTTCTCCCACGAGCATCTCCACCTCGCTGATCGCGAGTTTATCCTTGGTCGTCTCGGTCTCCACCCCAATATCCATCTTGGTATTTTGTTGTAGCTTCTGCGGATCGAAGCGAACAACCATAACAGACAGGTTGTCGGTCGAGAAACGGGCCAACGCATGATCCACCAACATCTTCGAGGCAGCTTGAGGGTCGTGAACATTGCGGACCAAGTCCACTGCCTCCTGGTCTGAGCAGACATCCCATAACTATTGCGTATTAGCATGGCATGCATTCCCACGGAATTGGACCCATCATGAACTTACTCCATCACAGGCCAAGATCAAAAACTCGTCTTGGTCAGGCTGAATCACAGTCTCAGTCGTATAAGGATGCCCGGTTACCAAGTCTTTCAAATATGAATCGCCCAACGCTCGCGTCACGGCTAGCACCCCGTTGACCCGGTTATTCAGTATCAATCCTCCGGCTTTCGATATCCTTCGTCCCTCATTTTCGTCCATTCCCTTGTGATCGTACGACAAACGAAGCGCTTTCCCGTTACGGCACAAAACAATCCGGGCGTCACCAACATTAGCGGTGTACAGCACTCTCTGTCGCGTAGCTTTTTGCTTAGCTTCTTGAATCGCTGCTGCCGCCGCTTCAGCCGTTGAGTTGGACCGCGGCGTAGAGTCTTTTCCATCTTTCGGTGGCTCGTTGTTTTTCTCGTTCTTCTCTGCCTCTTTCGCCGCTGCTGCGGCCAACGACGCAATGGCCTGAGACCCCGTGGCGGAATGGTTGGTAGGCACGCGGTCTTCCCACCGCAGCACTGCTGTGATTGCTGTACACCCACTGTTTTTCAGTGGCAATTTCTCTAATTGATTGTCGGCCGTGGTGTATGTCTGATCAAGCAGCTCTGGGACGGGCGTATTGGGATACTTGCGCATTAATTCTTCCAGAATGACGTGCAGTTTCTTCCCACACCACTCGGCTGCAAAGGTGCCCGCATGCCCGTCAAAAATAGCAAAGTAGCCATTGTCGGTCTCCACCACATGTTGGGCAGAATTGGACGGGATGGTGCTGAGGCTGTTCCGATCTTCTCTGGAGGTTTTCTTGGATAATGAGTTTTCGGAAGAGAGCACAGGTGCTGGTGTGCCGAGAAAGTTGTAAAGATATGAGTGAGTGTCTTCCATGGTGCGGCGACATTTCTTGTTCTTGTCTTCAGTCACACCGACCAAAAAGGACGAATTCGGCGTAGGTTGTGACTCGCCGGCCGAGTTATTCAGCGAGCCTTGTGGCACACTCAGCGCCGCATCGGTTTTGGACAGTCTCTGCATGGGTGTTTGAGGCCCGTCCTTGTCACCATGAATTAACGAGTTTTTAGCCTGGGTAAAGATCTCTTTGGCTTTGGAGCTGCTGCTCCTCCGCTTCTTGGATTCGGCTGTAGGCGACGCGGAGGCTTCCTCTGTTGGCTTTCGAGCCTCGGATTTGGGGCTCAAGTCGTTGGTCTTGACTGTGATGCTGCCACCTGGGGAAGTGGGGCCATTGTGGTTGCTGTCAGTGCTGATTCGAGAGGGTATGCTCTCAGAATCTGCATCCTTCTCCTTCTTGCCTCCAAAGACGCGATTGAGAAAGCCTCCCGAGGAGGATCTCCGATCGGTTGTGCCCGCCAGCTTGAAAGAGACAGGAATGCGCTAGAGGCCTCGGACCGGATATCAAGAGCGCCTCGAGCGAACGTGCTTAAGGAAACGAAGGTTTGGGAGCTTGAAAATAGGTTAGGAGAGAGGGTGTTCAAGTCGAGTTTTGGTCTCTGCCTGAGGGCTAGGAATACGAGGTAGTTTGAGGATGAACGAAGAGGCGTGAATGGTTGGCGAGTGCCGGTTCGACAAGTGCAGACGAGCAGTGTGTCGGTATTGGAGTTGGGGTCTTGGAGGTTATTGTTGAGATGTATTTTTGTAGAGACACGACTCGATCAAGACGGGGGGGTTTGACTCGAGGCAATGGAAGGCCGGGTCACGAGCGTGGCAAGTTGATCGGACGAGTCGCCGCAAGAGGAGCGGGAGAAGATGAGGTCAGAGGTCGGTAGTGATGGCGCTGGCCTGAGAGAGGATGGTAGGGACGGAGGGGAGCGAGGGAGCGCGCTGCAGTAATTTATTGGTTCAAAGAATGAGGATGAGAATATGGAGGTGGCAGTGCGGCGCGCGCAGTCCAGCGGGAGAAGACAATGTAGGTAAGGGAATGATGAAATTTGGGCTTTGCGATACTGGTTGTGCCGTGGTGAACGACGGATGAGAGATGAGGGGGTGTGGCTTGCTTTTTCGGTTGTGCCTTTGGTGTGCCTTTGGTGTGCTTTGCCTGCTTGTTCTTTCCACCTCAAGCTCTTCTCAATCGGATCTCTGGTTGCTTGCGCTGTGCTGGAAGTTTGTGGGGGAGGGGAAGAGCAAAGGTGGGCGAGGACCAGAGAGGCTGCCCGTGCCGCTCCAACGATGGACCACATCATCAGACGTCAGTCAGGTAATTTCTCCTTCGCCCCAGGGGCCAAGGTGCACGCCCATGCCAGCTAACCAATTACCTAGGTACCTACTTCCGCAGCCCAGAGCCAATCCAGTTAGGTATCGAGGTAGCGAGAGAGGTGCCTGGGTACCTAGGTAGGTATGCCTAGCTGCAGTCGCGTGGGTACCAAGCGAAAGCCCTCCTGCCTGCCAGTCCGGGTGTCCGCTGGGTGCCCGGTGTATTCGTCTGCGTACCTACCTAGGTAGGTACTGTCCGCGTAGGTACATAAATTTGTATACTGAGTAAGGTATCTACCTAGTAGGTACACAGCCGTGCTCTCAGGAACAGGGACAAAAAAAATATGCACAGCCCAGGCATCCATCCTCCCTCCTTCTACTATTATTCTCATTATTCATGCTCTTCGCCCCCCGGAACACCTCCACCACCGACACCGACACCGTCACCGACACCGTCACCGGCGTCACGAGCGGCACCCCGCCTGTTTCTGGTACTAGATGGCACCATTGCCAAGTGAGCCAGTCAATCTTTGTTAGGCGCCCGCTCACTGGCAGTGACTGGCTACCTACCCTCGCTACCTGTCGAGCTGTCAAGCTGGGCCCCTTGGACCATGTTGTATGGTCAGTGGCGACACTCATTCGGCCGAACATCTCGGGCAGCCGTTGTTCAGCTGTTGTGCGCAGTGCATGCTACTGATTAGGAGGCGGGCAGGCAGAGGTAATTACAGGAGTGCGACCCGTCAATATTCGCTATGAATCGATCTGTGTGGTGTAGCCCAATAATATGGCTTGCTTCCACATGGCCACGAGTTACAACTTCTCCGTAACATCCCAACGGCTTACAAACATTGAACGAGGCGCACCGTTAATTCCGATGCCGAACAGCGAGCCCATACCTGACCACGGGTCCTTGAATATGCGGGCCTTATTCTTGATTGTTCAATACTCGAATCGGACTGCGCGGGTCTTGCTCTCCAGGAGGGACGAGCTGCTTTTCTGCCCATCACAGTCGGCGACATGGGAAGTTTCAGGTGTACCGAGTACTCGGTACTGTCCGACAATCGTTTCCCGAGCCCCAGATTTTGCATCCTCAGACTCCCAATTCGCTTTCCCTGCCATTATCAAGTGCGCTCATGTGCTAGCAGAAATGGAAGTGGCTGTTCAGCGCAGATCTAGCGCAGAAACTCATCTTCTCGTTGCTGGTCGCAAGAAAGGAAATACTCAGCACGTTCCTCCAAAAGATGTTATCCGAATTTTCAACGACGCGAAGCACATAGGTATCAATGGTCACACGAGACTCGAGTCACAAGCATTGATCTCAAAGCCTACTTCTTCATTGCTTTCTCCGGACTGTTCCGTTGTTAGCCTCAGAAACATGTAACGGAGGATCTCGCATGCTCGTCCAATTCGAGCAGGATTTTGAGGGAACTTACTTCTTCTGTAGCAGCAGGCACCACTTTCTCCACTCACTCGCCGCTTTCTTGAACACCGTCTTCAAATCCTCCTTGACTTCTTGCATTTCCCAATGTTCATCCTCCCAATTCCTCTCCTCGGTGTCTCGACTAGGAGTCCATCCTATCGCCTCCAATACATCGCTTTCAGTAGGAGAATGTTCATAGTGCGGGAACAGCTTGGAATCAGCCTTGTGGCATTCCGCATCGAGGTACTTGCGAAGGATTTCGAGCCGCTGAGAGTGTGTGAATGTGAGTTTCAACTTGCTTGATTCGTCTTCATGGCCGGGAGACGACTGAGTTGAGCTCGTCAACCGCTTCGTCACGGTTCTTGCGGTCTTTGCGCCACGGAAACTCGCATAGGCCCAGACTGTATCGATCTCGCCCAGCCCGCCGAACGGCCAGATGAATGTAGCAAGGATATCAATCCCGTAAGCCACCGGCATAAGCCCGGTCGCGATGATGGTATCTCTCTGCGCCTTGGATTTTGTCCGCAGCATTGTGTTGACGAATTCCTCGCGCATCTGTTGGTCGGTGAGGTTCATAGTGGGTGGATAAACGAGTACCATTTCCTCGACTGCTACCGTCTTGTGCGTTTCAGGGCCTTCGTGGTCTCTCTCATCGTCGGAATGCGTCTGTTGAGGCCCAGGAGATACACGGCCCAGGAAGTCCAAGTTCGAAGATGTTGTTTTATGGATGGCCCAATCGATCCCGCGTGTTGCTTTAGATTTGACACCCTTCCAGCTGGCGGTTTTGGCGGTGCTGGTCTTTGAGGAGCGGACCTCTTCTTGCCATTTCCGCTGGACCTTGTGCAACTTGCCTTCCTTCTCGCCTTCAGCTGGCTTTTGCAGTGGAGGTGGTGGCGGCGTGTAGATCATAAAACGGGCTGGGATGGTTTCTGGATTGACATTGGCAAGCACTGGGCGTGGGAACGGGACCAAGTATCCTATCAGTTTATGAGGATCGCGGATGTAGTGGACCAGGTTATTTGGATCATCGTCAGCGGTGAATGTTTGTTTGTAGCGCTGGGGCGGTGGTTGGAATTGCTGGTGTTGTTGGCCGGGAGCATAAGCGGCCGGGTTGTAGACGGGCGGCTGTGGATAAGGAGTCGTTTGAGCTTCAACATCAAAGTTTCCCTGGACGTTGGGTCTTTGCGGGAGAGGGGGACCCGGGGGATCATAGCCCGGTGCCGTGGTTTCATGCGGTCGCGGCGGCTGGGGCGGAGGAGGTGGGTAACCAGAAGGCTGTTCCTGTGGGTGGTATACAAAAGCTGGATGATTCACGTCCACAGGTTGTTGTTGTTGTTGTTGTGGTTGTCCGGAATAGTAGTTGGGCTGCTGCGAGGGGTCTGCCATTGCGCTCTGATGCCACCCTTGAAGGGCTGTTCTCTGATGTCCTCTCAGTGAGGATAAGTACGGATCGAGCAGTAGATATAGGGAAGACTGTGTAATGATATGGTCACGTCGTAACCACTAAACATATTGGGGGACAAATAAGCCACAGATCAACGACACGAGTGATGGTGGTGATATGGTGATGATCGGCAGGTGAACGTATACCAGGATGACGTCAACGTCGAGTCTGCTGCCGGCTGCCGCCAGCCGCCACTAGATGCCACTAGCTCCACTAAGCTCCGCTAAGCTTCTCTTGGCCTCACTACGTGACCCGGTAGGTACCTACCTACCTAGGTACCTAGGTAGGTACCTAGTACTAGTAGTAAGGTATCCTGGCGGTACCTAGGTAGGCACTATAGGCACCTCTAAGGTACCCAAGGTAGCGTCTCGCATCCCGCTGCTTCCGACTCGGAGGCGGCAGGCCAAGGCAGCCGCGATTCATGCTCCGTCACGCCTCACATCAGCCTCCCATCAGCCACGATAAGTCGTCGTGGACTAGGCAGACATGAAACCAGGATCAGGGAAATGCAGTGAAGAAACGCCTCATATTATCGCTGTTTTTACCGCGAAAAGGGTGAAAGCTGGATTTGTACAAGACAACAATCAAGGGGAGACCAAGTGGAGAAAGTCCAGCATCGCTCATGCACATGCCCATCATAGTCGTAACCCACCACCACCGTATACGAAGCACGTCTCTCTTCTGCATCGTGGCCCCGTTTCCTTATTATACCCTCTCTGAGAACTGCAAGCACAGAGTGAGTAGGCGGTTACAGGACATAACCACCCACCGCACCGGGCGGACCCCCTTCGAGATCAATTCCTGCCACTCGCCTCCTTGCCTCATCACTCTCCCGCACGAGATTCCCAAAGTATTTTCGCGCGACCTCACTCTCTTTCTTCGTCTTCGTCACGTCTTCTTTCCTCTGTCTCAGTTCTTCCACGTTGTGGGCGAGGTCTGCTGTTAATTGTTGCGCAGGGTAGCGAAGGACGCGACGGACCTCGGAGGCGATTCGATGAGCGTTGCTGTGCGTGTAATCCATTTGAGCTAGAGTCGCAGAGAGTTTCTGAGCAAGACGTGGAGGCAGGGTTTGCGGGATAGTTGAGAGAATGTAGGCCACTGCCAAAATTGCTGCAAGGACGGGTTAGTTGAAGTTCAAGGGCTTGCAAGGAGACAACAGGACTCACCGGCAGCAATGGCGCCTGGTACAATCAACCTCCTCAGATTCCGGCTTCCTAGAACTTTGGCAGCGCCGAATGCTCCATCAACCCACCCGACACCACCAACTGCCCGGGTGCCTAACGTCCCAGCAACAGTGAGCGCGAGCCCCGTACCTACCGTCTTCTCTTGTCGCTCCCACAATCCAGCAACATCAAAGAAATCCCACACATCGACGTCTGTATCCACAGACCGCACCAGGGCATCCTTGCGGCGCTGGAACATCTTGTCTGCCGCGAAGTTCAGGCTCTCATAGCTATCGCCCACATGCAACAAGCCAAGTGACTTGATGGTGTTGACCCCCTGCACAGTCCTGGCCCGGCCGTAGTTCTCACAGCTGGCGACTGCAGCGGAAATTTGATCAAGCATGGCCACGCGCAAGTCTTCTGCATATTGGAATGCAGAGAATATCCCAGGGTATTCGATGCCGTGGTTTTGATGGCCAACATTTGCAATAGTGCTGGACAGAGTTGATCGGGTGTAGTTGTACACCTCAGTTGATGTAGAATCGATTCCTTTTTCGACTTGTTCCGAAACGACGGAACGCTGTTTCTGCTTCTCTTCAAATTCCGGTTCGATCTCCGAAAGTTCTTTGGACACACGGTCAAGCTCTGATTGTGCAACGTCGCGATTCACCGTGGCGAGAACATTCATGTCGCCCAAGCAGTTCATTAGATAGGTCTTTGCAGGCGCAAGTTTCGAGCGTGCTCTCTTTTCCAAGACAAACCGCCGGAGTGCACTCTCGAGGACTTCAAAGTCTCGTATCTTTTCCTTGTCTTTCCCTTTGCCCTTGTCTGAACCGTCATCATCATCTCCGGGAGGATCCGATCCACCGCCGCCGCCGCTATCGACTCTATCGGTCAACAGCGAAGGCACCATAGGGATGGCATTGCTGGATACGAAATGGACCAATTCTTGGGCTTCTTTGAATGTCTGTGGACTCAGTTTAGCCAGCTGGTCTAGAATCATCTTCTGACATCTTTCTTTGTCTCGGATGTTGTCAAATCCATTGACCACCATGAAGATATAGGCTTTTTCATGTGCTGCTTGCCAAATGAATTCCTTAGCAGAGAGAGTGAAGTGATTTGCCGCTGATACCACAAAGACAACCACGTCAATTTCCTCTTGTCGGGCAAACACAGCTGTAGTCTTGACAGAGTCTGAGTTCAAGCCCGGGGCATCAATCAGCGCGATGTCAACGACGCCGTTATTCAGCAGCGACTGGTCAATCGTCCTAATATCTTTGACATAGACCTTGCACTGCATATATCGGTCGTTGTCAACGACAATTTTCTCCAATTCTTGTAAGGAATAAGAGTCGTAGGTGCTTTCATCATTTCGGTCATAGACAGAATCTTTGTGAACAGCATGGACTTCTTCGATGCCACCATTCTCCTTTGCATCCAGTACTTCACAGAAAATACTGGTACAGGGTTGCTGATCTTCAGGCAGAATCTTGCGGCGCAGGAGGGCATTGCAGAAGGTCGACTTGCCCGCATTTAGATCACCAGTGACCAACACCTTGCTCGATGTATCCTCGATTCGGTCTCGCAGCGCCAACAAATGCCGCACGCTCTGACTTATTTTGCCATCCAGTAGTGAGGCGATCGACTTCTTTTCCAGAGAATGCACGAGTTCCGTTTGAGACAGCGCACCGACTTTGAGGTCGAGTTTAAGGATGGAGAACTCCTGCGCGATTTGTGGTGTGATTAGTCGTGGTTCAGGCGTCCGCCTTTGTTGAGCCTGCGAACTTGACTCTCCCGACGTATCTTCTCCCAGTGAAGTGCCAGCTCTTTTCAAAGCTCCTGGCCGATCTTGTGCTGCCTTTTTGAGAAACATCTGCCGTGACAAATCTGCCGCCTCCCTCGTTGACTGGACTTCTCGCAGAGCTGGTCTGGCCAATTGCTTTTCTTTCTCGTCTTTCTGAACAGAGGGATAGTGTGCAGGCCATTGAGAATTCATCTCCTTTAATTGCTTCAGCAGTTCGACGGTTTGCGAGATTGCTTTTGCGAGTGCGACGCGATTTTGATTGTAATAAAGTTGATGCACATGACTGGCGAGCGATCGTTTCTCTGTTTCGGACATTCTGGGGGGCTGTCCGTTGATTTGGGGAGTATGGGCAGGTGTCGGTCTGTCTCTGAGAAATTCGTCCTCCCATGCGCGCATCTCGCCACCAGACTGTTGCACGTCGTTTGCCATGCTGCCATAGCCGGAGTCATGCTCTAGTTGTTCCATAAGAGCTGCGGCATGAGACGGCTGTGACCCATTGCCTACAGTCATGTACTCGGGTCGGTACGAAGGTGGGTGGATAGGGTTTGGCGATGTCATTTCGTCCTGGTCCTCTGAGGTATTGAGATGGGGATCTAGGGAGGCGCGCGATGACCCTTCGGCGGGTTCGTCGGTGTGGCTCATTTTGAAGGTGGTCTGCAGCAGCCCCTAATCGACCTTTTCAAACTTCATCGGATCTATAGGGTCATCCAGGTCCATGATAATGTCTGTGGCTGAATCTGCGAAGAGTAATGTATGGATGTTCCTGTCTGCCATGGAGAAAAGGCAAAAGCCGCAGTTTGAAGTTGATCGGAGGAAAAGCTCCGACATTCTTCCGGCCGGCAGCGTCAGTGGCTGCTGCGCCGATGTTCCAGTTCACACCTTCCATAAACCGCAGCCTCGACTACAGGTGCGACAAACTCCATGACACTGGTCCTTTGATTACAGCCTTGTACTGAGTCGACTGTAAACAATCTTGCCCTTATCCTCTGGTCGATCTCTCAACATCTCACCATGAATGTGAGTCTGCCATCTCTCCGTCTACGTCCGCCTCTACCCCACTAACCACCCGGTATCAGATCATAGAATGGGCATTCGGCAAGCGTATGACTCCAGCCGAGAGGCTACGCAAACACCAACGCGCTTTGGAGAAGACTCAGCGTGAGCTCGATCGTGAACGTGTAAAGCTTGAGAATCAAGAGAAGAAGCTCGTGGCAGATATCAAGAAGAGTGCAAAGAATGGGCAGATTGGAGCCTGCAAGATCCAAGCAAAGGATCTGGTCAGGACTAGGAGGTATATTCAGAAGTTCTATCAGATGAGGACCCAGCTGCAAGCGATCAGTTTGAGGATACAGGTAGACTACCCCAGGTTCTTATACAGTGGGAGTGTCTACTGATCAAGGCTTTGCATGTGACAGACTGTCCGAAGCAATGAACAAATGATGCAGTCCATGAAAGGAGCTACCATGCTACTCGGAAGCATGAATCGCCAAATGAACTTACCTGCTCTACAGCGGATCGCCATGGAGTTTGAACGCGAGAACGATATCATGGATCAGCGCCAGGAGATGATGGACGATGCCATTGACGATGTCACCGGGCTGGAGGACGAAGAGGAAGGGGAAGAAGTGGTGAATCAGGTGCTGGATGAAATCGGGGTCGACTTGAACAATGCGGTAAGCCCGAGTCCACGCGCGTCGAATGCTGGAGACTAATTCTTTGTTGCAGCTCGGTGAAACGCCGACTGGTATACAGAAGGCGGCAGTACCGGAAGGTCGTGTTGCTCAAGCAATAGGTGGCGGAGGCGAGGATGACGACTTGCAAGCTCGTTTGGATAGTCTACGGAAGTAGGACTGAGAGCAGGGTTATCTGTGAAGGAGGTTTGCATGTTGAGCACGGCGCCAGGCGTCAGAGTAGACGGGATACGTCTTGGTTTATTTCTATTTCTTTATTGCGACTCAATCTTTACAATCACGATTAAATGTCCTCCGGGAGGCTTTACAACAGATCCATTCATGTTCTCGACCGGGATATCTTAAGGGGCCAAATGTTGCATTACAAAAGGCTGCATATCGAGAAAAATTGCAGCATCCGGAGGCTAAAGCTTCTGTTGCAGAAGAGTCAGATTCCGCCCTTTGCTTTAGAATTGTATCTCATGATCAATAGACTCAGGAGCTTGATCAACGAGCTCCACAGACAAACCCTTCGCAAACTGTCAAAGTATAGTTTCTGGTTCCTTCCACCATCTCACCTCGCGAACTCACCATCCCCCAAAGTAACATCGGCTGCCAGCGCCGAGGCTCCAACCCTGTAAATAGTACACTCAATGATCGCTTTGTAAGACAACTCTATTGTTACAATCCAGGCCAAAGTGGCTGAAGTATATCATGTGCTTGCATCTTTCTCAATCGGTCAGCTCCACTGTGATGGGTAGACCTAGAGGCGCCCCCACGTTGCTGTATGCTCCTTGTATATTTCCTAGTTTTCTAATCAGTCTATCCATAAACTTGACAAACCGATAAAGGTGGGTATCAAAGCTAAGACCTTGTGGTGACGCACGTACCAGGAGGGTAATAGTTGCAAACCGTGAAATACTGTGTGAAGTCGGCACCCGACACCTCGTTGGGGCAAAACTGCGTCGCGCAGCCTACTTGTTGAGTGTCTTTCCACACAATCTGTGAGAAATGGCCCCATGAGTCGAAGTTGCTTGTATCCACATTGTCCACACCGTAGGGGAGTGGGTAGTTCGGCATCTCCGTGTTGTACATGTCATTACCAATCATGACCGGTACCTGCGAAGAGGTGTATCCAGCGCCGATGTTCTGACCGTAACCGCCACCGCCAGCTGTGCTGCAATGGGTTACATGACTTAGCACGTGTCGACTCAACGGCGTGATGGAAAAGTAAAAGGAGGAGGATGCAATTACTTACGTGTTGTGGCCATATACACAGCTGGCGGCGATCTCGGCGGCAATCGTCGCTAGATTGTCTGACCAGGTCAAGTTGGCTGCAGTGTGGTTGACACGGTGGATGTTGTGAGCTTCAAGAATGGAATCATTGTAGGACAAAGAGCGCACATCATCCGTCACAACTGGCCCCTGCGCACTTGTGCTCGTAGAGATAGGTGCAGACGAGGAGAGCAGAGTAGTGCTGGAAGAGGACGAAGTGGTTGCTGAGGAAATTGTCGACGTAATTGTCGACGAGGTCGTGACAGATGTAGAAGAGGTACCTGATGTGACTGAGGAAGAGCTAGTTGTGGAACTGCCACTGTTAAACACAGTTGTGCTCCCGGTTGTAGTTTCAGTACTACTGCTAGAAACGCTCCCCGAAGACGACGTGCCCGCAGACAGGCTGGAAGTTGCTGAAATGCTGGTTGTGGAGGTAGAGGTGAAAGAGCTACTGGTGGTACTCGAAGAGATCGTGGTGCTTCCCCCAATGGGACCAACACCATTGCTACTGGAGCTGGACGTTGTTGCAGTACCGAGGCTAGTGGTGGTAGTGCTGCTAATTCCCGCGCCGCTTGAGCTGGTCAGTGTGTTAGTGGAGGCTGAGGTGAATGAAGCGCTTGATGTCGTAGAGTTTCCGGTGCTGCTACCGAAAGTGCCTGTCGTTGAGCTAGAGGTACCGGTTGACCCTGAAGATGTAGAGCTTCCAATTGGGCTAATGCCGCCGCCGCCGGTGGCGGATGAGGAAGAGGTTGAGCGGACAGAAGTGCTAGACGACCAATGGGGGTTAGTCGGATTGCCATAGCTTGTTGCAGTCGATGTTGTGGAACTGCCAATGGGGCCAGCGCCGAATGACGAACTGGAGGTTCTTGAAGTCGACGTCTCGGTGGAAAGGGAAGACTCCTTAGTGTGATGAGGCTCGAGCCAATCACCCCATGGCTCATTCTCTGCATTGGTTGGAGCAGGGCCGTAGATGGTCGTAAACTTTGTCTGAGTTCGTGTCAACGTACCGGCGTCTTCTCCGGGCGGGAGCTTCCAGTCTATCCAGGCTAGATCATCGGTGGGTTGAGGGCCTGTCCAGATCGTTGTTGTCAATCCAGGACCATGACCTCCGCGAGTAGGCTCCAGTTCTAGGACGATGCCGGTCTTGGTCGTTATTGTTCCTGCGGTGCTGTAGACTGCCACTATCGGACCTGCCTTGGCCGGAAACATTCCAGCTGCAGCAGGGAAAAGGGGCCCAAACGGCCCAAACGGCGGCGGTGCCTCTGGAAAATCAGGGAAGTCTTGCCCTCGGACAACGGGTGTGACTCTCACTTCTCCATTGCAAGGACAGGACTGAATTGTCCTTGTAGCTGTTTCAGTCACAGTAACATCTCTCAACCGATCCATCCAGGAGCCCAGCGCCCGGCCACTCGCGGCTAGCACAACAAGTATCGTTGTTGGGGACTTCATAGTGAGAAATAATGGTTAATGGTACTGACAGCGTAGCGGATGACCTTCGGCGAGTTCAGGCTTGAGAAGTGGCCAAAAACTAACGACCGCGCAAGGGAAACGAATATGATGAGGGCGAGGAAGGAAGAGAAAAGCGAGTTGTGAGAGAATCGAAAACTCATTGCGGCATTCGAGAGGTTTATGTGTCTCAATCTTCTCTTCAAGCGCAAGTGGAAACTGGCGCATTGTGATGCGAGCGCCTTGTTCAACAATGCATTCAATGCCAGTCTTCCGGTGGGTGAGTCGAAAGAGATTAGACAGCTGATATGGACTGCTGTCATAGCAACTGCCCAAGTTCCATATGCAAATGAGCTCGGGCTTGTCCGTCCAGAGCTCTTGGACAGAACGGAATGTAGCAAGAACATGGATAGAATCGAAGAACAGGTCGTCCAGGGAACCATACTCCGAACCCGGCAGAGAACAGGTTCTTAACCGATGACAGAAACGGTGCCGAAGAGGTGTGAGCGTGGTATTTATCATTGGGCATCAGGACATGCTCATACAGAAGAGTTACAAAAGGGGTTTCGGGTCAAGGAAAGGGAGGATTCCAGGCGTTTGGGTGTGGACAGAGGCTTACTGTCTGGTACAACTTGAATGCTTGAATCGAGGCCCACGTACGATCCCCAATATTCCCAGGACAAGTCGAGGACGTGACACATGAAAGGAGAGATTGCAGACGAGTGGATAGAGGATGTGGAGGGGGTGTGGAACAACAGACTTGGTGGTGTGGACGAGGCTGTCAAAAACGTCAAAGGCCTCGGTATTAAATTTGTATAGAGCGCACATTGTCTCCAATGTCACCTGTACGGACAAATGGGCTTGCAGGTCAAAATACCAGGAGTTGTCCATGGTGATGTGCCTCGAAGCAGATCTCGAGGTGAAACCGGAATGTGCAGGTCTCATCTGCGCATTTGCAATTGGGCGAGGCCTGCAGACTCTGTAGTGTTGGAACGGACCGTCTTGACAACATTTTCCTGTCGATGTGGCATCAGCGTCTGCAATCTGTTCATAATTTTGTGTGAGGAAGTCTTTTGACATGCGTTGTTGTAAACTCAGGGGCAGCTCAAAGAAGACGATAGCAAGGAAAATCCTCGGATAATTGATACTCCACAAGGCCGTTGAAATCACCATCGGTCATTGGCTGCAGGCTAACTTCACCCGCGAAATGCAGGTGATGCCCAATTCTGCAGTGCAAACACGCATCCAGAACCTGGCATAGATGGATAGCGCTCCTGGCATATCTCTTTCGATGTAGTCTTGCACAGCTTCTCACGAACCAAACCCTCGACAGCGTTTCATCAGCGATGTGTCGCGCCAGCACTGGAAGCAATGGCTGATTCTGGAGATGATTCCGTCGTCAACTCAAGAGTCCAAGGCCGGCCATTCCTATACCCCTGGGTTAGTGGGATTTGCCTATCTTTTGGCTTTAGCTCACACTGCACATAGAATCGCCGCCTGCGCCATCTACATGGAATCTCCTTGCGCAATCTCCATGTAACCCCGAGCAGTCCTAAACGACAGGGCAAGACGACGACTGACGATGACGCTCCCTACAATCTTGTCAGCCCAGCAAAGCGCGCGCTGCACGAAGAGTCTAATCCGTCGCATCTCATCCACTCGCGCTCATTCACAAACCTCCCCACTGTGATCGACGAGGCTGCAATTGCCGGTGGTCCCCAGAGGGCTGCCACCTCCTTCGAGAGAAATGAGAAAGGGCAAATCAGGCCTGGCGGCGCGAGACTTCGCAGAAGAAGCACTCTACATTGGGCTACGACCAGTCCGCGTGTACGTCAGTCGACGCTGGAAGATATGGTGGCCAAGCGCCTGGCCGACACTTGGGTCTCGGTACATTGTGCAGGCATTTCCGAACCTGTATACATCAGCGAGGTCATAGAAAGATCCATGAATCCGAGCTTTGCATTTTTCGACTTGGAGAACAGCGGGCCGAGGATTTCAAGATCAGATGAGTGTACCATTCGAGTTTGGGCCCGACCTTCCAAGACAGCAGACTACTGCCTGCTTGTTGAATTGGACTTGAATCTACGATCTTTGCAATTCATTGGACGAAGCCTGGAGAACTTCCACCACCCCTTGCCTCAAAACTGCGTCTTGCTGCATTTATCTGATGGAATCTACACGAGCTTCACAGACTTGCCCGCCGAGCCCCATCCTCCAGTCGAGCATTCAATTGATCATAGAGCCGGCAATAGCAAACCGGGCTCTACATTCGAGGCCCTGATGCAGCTTGCGAACCTGGACGAGTGTATTCAAGATGCTATCAAGGTACGCTCACAGCTTGAGGAGGACATCAACAACATCCTTACACAGGCACACGTTCTCACGGCCGAGGAGGAGGCGGAACCCGGGATTGACGACGAGAATCCTCAGGCAAGGACGGCCTTGGCAGCAGAGCAAAGGCAACTTCGACAATTGAAGAAAAGGCGAGACGAGTTGCAGGAATCTTTGGAACAGCAGAGGCACGCTCTTGCATTGGGGCGAGAGGCCGAGATCGAATCCAGGACGATAGTACAAGAAAGAGCAAGGGAGTGCAAGGAGCTCGAAGCTCAACTCAAACAGATTGGAGCAGACTCCAGCGGTCAGGTTAGACGGATATGCGAGTCGCTCCTTGCTATTTTCCCCATTGAGCCACTCAAGAATCGGACGCTTCAGTTCACAATCCGCGCCATCCACCTCCCCAACTCGGTTTACAACGACACAAACCGAGACGAGATTGCTGCAGCCCTTGGCTTCACTGCCCAGCTGGTGCTCCAGTTGGCACTTTATCTGTCGGTCCATCTACCATATCCAATCGAACCATACGGGTCGGCGTCCTACATTACTGATCCGATATCCATTGGGCTCAGCCAACGAAGATACCCACTGCATCCGACAACCGTCCCTTACAAGTTTGAATATGGGGTCTTCTTATTGAATAAGGATATTGAGTTTCTGATGAACCGGCAGGGTCTGAGGGTTCTTGATATCCGGCACACACTTCCGAACCTCAAGTACCTGCTTTATGTGTTGACCGCAGGTACCGGTGAGATGCCCTCGCGGAAAGCTGGCGGTGTTAGAGGACTGATGGGAGGTCGCATAACACCAGACATACTGCGCCGAGCTAGCGAAGACAGTGTCCGGAGTCTGCCGGCACCGCTGAAACAAGAATCCAACGACATGAAGACAATGGTTGGCAGTAGAGAAAAGGATACTGATCCCTTTGTGACAACATCCCCTGCAGTGGGTCTGCCTTACCGACAAGGCTTCTCGGGCACAAGGAATAGATGATAAAAGTCGGATCAAACTTCTGGCATGAATAGCAGCACAACGAATTGATCCGTCTCTAGGTGTCTCTGGCAAGGTTCCTGGTTCTCATACCCTAGGTATGCTCCGATGTTGTGCCTCACCCACCAAGGCAGGACAAGATGGAACGTGAATGAGTGACACTCTTGCGATCACGCGTAGCCTGTGCACATGTTCTATAGTGAATCTCAACATGTACTCCGGGGCAACCAAAGTCGCGTCGAAGTTCTGCAGCTCTGACCTCTCTGGTCCAACCCATGATTCTTTTCCCACCGATCTGAGCAGCGTCGTCAGTTGTACTCCGAGATGTCTGAATTGCAACATGTGCAGGAGGTCTCAGAGTACGAGTACTTGTATGAAGGGTTGTCGGACGGTATTGAGCCCGGGAGTATTGAAGAACTCGAGTTGTCCACGTTAAACGATGATCATACACTGGCCGCAGCCTTGCCTTCGGCTATGCTCGACCTGTCTGATTTCGAGAGCGGAGTAGGTGATGCCGTGGCACCGCCACCACCACCTCCTCCACCACCGACAATTGGTGGCGCAGGACTCATGGCGGGGCACGGGCAGCACGGGCTCGGCGCTGACCAACTCCAGCCGCACTGGCAGCCTCAGCATCCGCTTGGAGTCGCTCCTCTGGACGGCTATCTCGGTGTTGGTGTCGCAACTCACTCAGCATTCCAACCTGTTGCTCCACCTTATAGTAGTGCCTTGCCTGCTATGGCCTACAATGCTCATCCTCAACTGCCGGCCAACAACGGGATTCATTCAAACACCTTCAAGAACAGCTCTTCGCCGGAACCTGATGAAAGTAATGCGGTGCAACCCCGCGAGGGTAGGCCTCACCGACGAGGCTATCAAGCCTGCCAGCGATGTCGCGAGCGCAAGGTCAAGTGTGACTTAGGCAGTAAGTTACACGGAAGCGCGTTGCTCGCATTGTCACTGACGGGATCATGTCACAGGTGTTGATGCGCCCACGGATCCCCCTTGTAAACGATGCCTGCGCGAGCGTTTGCAGTGTGAGTTTGCTCCCACCAGAAAGAAACAAAAGAAGTCGGACGGCACTGCAAGAGATGTTTCCGAACCATTTGACAATGGAGATGCCCCAACTTTAAATGTAAATGATGGCCTGTCACCGTATATCCTTCCACCGGGCTCCCAACCGTCAACTTCTGCCGCTTCAACAACCAACGGCTTTGCTCGTAAATCGTGGTCACCTCAGATGTCTCAGAACGCCGGAACATCTGTCACCTCTCAACCTCGCAGCGATCCTCGTCGCTCGCAGGTTCCTACCACGTATCCCACTTCGACAGGGAAACAGCCTGCCTCCGACGTTCAGCTGCACAGTCAGGTAGCTGCTGCAACTTTGGGCGCTCCAGTATCAAGTACTCAAGACAGTATCATGCTCTTGGTTGATGCTGCAAACGTTTTCGAAGATGTCGGTCCAGGTGACAAAGACAGCCCTCTCTCCGAGCGAGGTGGACGGAAGAAGACGATTTCAAGTCTTGGTCACGGCGGCCCGGAGCAACCTCTAGGTCTGGGCCTATCTCCAACTGAGCAGGCGGAGCAGGAAGCGGGTCTGAAGACCTGGTCACAGATGCGCTTTGTCCGCAACGGCTGGTTCACCGCGTGGGAAGCCATGCAATATGTTGAATATTTCTACGACAAGATGGCTCCCATGACTCCGGTCGTGTTTCCAGATTTCAGATCGCCCATAAAGCATCATGTTCTGCTCGCTGACGAGCCCATTCTAGCGCTGGCCATCCTCGCCATCGCTTCACGTCATATGCGCCTCTCTGGTCACGCCGCCATGTCACGATCATATCACATTCACGACAAGCTCTGGACTCACCTTCGTCGCCAGGTGGAGCGGCTTCTCTGGGGCCAGGAACAGTTTGGGGGAGGATTCTGTGGTGGCGGTAATAGTGCAAAGATCCAGGAGTCAAACACCGGCCAAATCACTTGGCAAGGCAGCCTGCGCACTTTGGGCACCATTGAAGCTCTTCTTTTGCTGACAGACTGGCAACCACGTGCTCTGCACTTCCCACCTGGGGACGAAGAGAATGGCCTTCTTGATCACAGCCTGATCGTCACAAGCGAGGTGAGTGCCCAGGCTTCCACACAACTAGATGAGCGGGGAAGCATGAGAGACTATGACAATCTCCCCTATGCAAGCTGGCTTGAACCTGCGTGGAGGTCTGACAGGATGTCCTGGATGCTTCTTGGACTTGCTCAAAGTCTTGCGTTTGAACTTGGTGTCTTCGACACGAACCACTTCAACTGCCGTCATCAGCATGGTCCCGAGTCCGACTGTGCGCGGAAGAGACGCATCCGGCGCCTAGTGCTTGTTTATGTCGCGCAGACCAGCGGCAGGATGGGCGTTCAGTCTTCTGTCAATGTCGACGAATGGGAAACCGACGTAATCTGGGATAAAACCAGCCCGAAACAAGACCATCCGATCGATCTGATGCAAGGATGCTGGGTGCACGTGGCCAAGATCATGAACCAAGCAAATCGGCAAATTTTTCGGTCGCACCGGTTCACGAGAGAGCTTACAACAACTGGAAGATACAAGGAAGCAATCGCGAATTTCGCTCCTCTTCTCCAGCGTTGGAAAACCGACTTCGAGAAAGTGAAAATCCACATCCACCCTGTCATGCACTGCATCTTACTCATGGAATATGAATACTCTCGTCTGTACATCAATTCACTTGGGCTCCAGAAGGTTGTGGAGTCTTGGATAGAAGGCGGGGCGACCATGCGCAAGTCCACGCTGCTCAGGATTTCGGAAGAGAACAAACCGTACATCGATGAAGTCACTGAAGCCGCTCTCAACATTCTCAGCCTCGTCATTGACGGTATTGCAGCCCCAGGCTTCTTGAGAAACGCGCCTGTCCGTACATATCTTCGAAGCCTGTCGGGCATGATGTTTACCCTCAAGGTGAGTAGCAATCCTCCCTTTTCACTCATTGGTAGTGGCAACTGATTGTGTTCGGCACAGCGCTTCAGCTTGGGCACTCACGAAGGGCTGGTACGAAACTGCCTCCAGCAGCTCGATAAGATCACCGAGCTCTTGTCCAAAGAAGTCGTTGACGACGTGCACCTAGCCCAGTCAACGTCTCGACTCGTGCAAAATATAGTACGCAACGTGAAGCAGACGATGATCCGAGTCCAGCACCCTGGCACAGGATCTGCAGGTCCAAGCCGTGAACAGTCCCGCCCACAATCTCCGCATGTCCATGGACATGATGGCGCAAATGATCAGTCGCAACAACAGCAGCACCATCACCACCACCAGCCACAACAGCCACAACATCTACCTCAAGCTAGCAACTCAATCCAACCCAAGCTCGAGTTCTACGTAAACGACCCTCTCGCAGGCATTCAAGCACGACCAATGGCAGACTTGGATTCCCAGACATTCGTGCCTCCTCCCAATTTCGGGGGGGACCATGATATCGACTTTCCCCTACCGGATGATGTCAACATGCACTCCGCCATGGCCGACCTTTCGAGCGGCGATTGGCTTGCACTACCGCTTGATAATCTCTGGGGAAGTGACGAAGCGATTGTGGATCAAGGATTTGGCGGCATCGGTCCGACGTTGGGTGGTCGAGACTTGCTTGAAGCCATCACCAATCGTAACTACAGCCAGATGCAATGGAGCAACAACACGTTTGGCTACGGAAATATATAATATGGTGGATGTGTGCGGGAAATCGATGTCCATTCTCCTTGGCAAGAAGGGCATTTTCGAGTTGGGTCTGCGAGACAGTGGTGGAAAATGTTCTAGATGATCCCATGTATCTGGATTTTTTTTTGCTAGAGCATGTATTACTTTTCCAGCCCCTGAGGAATGAACATGCATGGATACTGCGCATGGTTTGGATGATCGTCTTGGACAGCAGAGTGCCAGCCAGAACACTCCGCCAGCGGCATCAGCGTTTGTACGAGCAGTTCATCGGTGAATGTACTCAACCACGCCAACTAGAGGGCGATTGGAAAAAAGCTTGGGATCTATTTCCCCCAGGGTCTAGGGTTTCTGGAAGAGTGGAGAGGATAATAGGATCTCCTACTTGCACTCATCTCGCCGTTTGTTCCCCAGCAAGTATGGGGCAGTCTACTCGTAGACACAGTACCTGGGTAGATATAGCAAGTAGTGGTTAGATCTAACTTTGCCTCTAGCTCCGAACTTCCATCTGCCCGTTGCGAGGCGAAAGCGCAGCGGAAAGGCGAAAAGAGGAAATGTGGAAGGAGGAAAGGCGGCCCCGCCACCGGCTGCCTGTGCTGCGCCCATCCTCGAACTTCGCAAGATTCCTATCAACCTCCACCGTCTGCATCTTCTGTCCGAGCACCTTAGACGTCTACGTTAGAATCCATCTTAGATATTCTGTTAGCACCGTCCTCATTCGCCTCTTCGAAACCATATTTGAGCCCGTTTGTGTCCTGCGTCTTGTGGCTCATGCTCGCATGACCAAAGCCTGCGCCGCGTCCGCGGTCTTGCGACCCTCCTCTGAGTCTCGACGCGCTGACGATGTAGAAAGCGAAGTTGTTTGCTGGCGCTATACTACTACGACGCCGGGCGCGGCATGTCCCCTGATGCTTCAATCACTGCTCGCCAACTATGGGGCCAGTCGACTACTACCCACAAGCGCCAAACGGCGTCCGATGCCTGGTGTACGCCTTTGATTCTGCCTAGTGGAGGTGTGCAATGATTGCAAAGTCCAGTTTGTGTGTGAGACTAGACACTGACCCATGAGACAGGCATCTTTATCTTCAATGACGATACCACAACCACCCTTTCCGCCAAAGTAACCTTCAAACTCCCTTGCGAAAACCCCTCGCCCATCATCAGCCCCGACACCACCGGCAACTCGTCAGTCATTGGCTTCTCCAACCCCTTCTATGCCTCGATATCACCCCAGATCTTCGCCCTTGCTACCGCTACCGTCATCAGCTATATACTCGTCATCCTCATCTTCATTACTCCAAGGACGTTCTATGTTGGAAGTGCTAGCGGAGGAGGGGGAGGGCTAGGGGGCGCCCGTTTCCTGGGTCGTCGTAACATGATAACAGGTTCATATGGATCGTCTTCTATCGTGGGCGTCGGACGGAGACCCCTGCTCCAAAAGATTGCTACTGTCACTGTGGCAATCTCTCTAACCATCGCCACGGCCGACACTTTCCACGTTGCGGAGGAGCAATACAACGAGGGATATATTGACTCGAGCCAGTTGGTTGACAATGTGGTGGACAGTCTGGAAGTCCGCATCATCCGGGTAATCTCAGACACATTCCTGTGGCTGGCCCAGGTGCAAACGCTGATACGACTGTTCCCGCGTCATAAGGAGAAAGTCACCATCAAATGGCTTGGGTTTGCCATGGTTTCCTTCGACACAATTTTCAGTATTTTGGATTCTTTTGTCAGCGGCAACCCAAGGACCCGGCCGAGGAGCTTTTCAGATGCGATCCCCGCCCTGAATTATTTGTTCGAACTGGCGATTTCGCTAATTTACGCTTCTTGTGTGGTGTATTATTGTCTGTCAAAAAGGCGCTTCGCATTCTGGCATCCAAAGATGAAAAACATCTGCCTGGTGGCGCTCCTTTCGCTGATCTCGGTTGTGATTCCCGTGGTCTTTTTCATTCTCGACATAGCGCAACCGGACCTGGCAGGATGGGGTGAATATATTCGGTGGGTCGGGGCCGCAGCAGCAAGCGTCGTTGTTTGGGAATGGGTTGAGCGAATTGAATCGTTGGAGCGAGATGAGAGAAAGGATGGTATTCTTGGACGGGAGATCTTTGACGGCGATGAGATGCTGAACATGACACCCTCGGAGGACGCAAGTTGGCGTGGAGATGAAGCGAGGCCTGATCAAGAAGGTGGCGGGCGGAAGGGGATGGCGGAAGGCATGGCCTCCCATTATCAACGCCTTCGTGTCCGGCTACCGCTCCGAAAGAGGCGGAAGAGGCCTCCTGCGGATGGCATCGCCACTGGTGCAGAAGCGGCTGATACAACCGGTCAAGCCATACCAGCTTCACAGTATGTGATTCCCCAGCAGGTTATGACGCCCCCCAGCAGAAGTGACACGGGGAGTGCCGCCAGCACGGTTTATGCCGTACGCTATCACAACCTGACAAGTCCATCGCCCAATCCTGAACCTGACTTGCAACCTCAACCCGAAGGGCCTACCGTGCCTTCTGTTCCTAAAGTGTCTGGTGACTCTGGATCTTCTCATTCGGACGCGGAAAAGGAACTCGCTCTGGAAACAGTACTTCCAAAGTTACCGGGGACCCAACGACGAACCGTCTGGCAGTCAATGCCGAACCCCTTCAAACGACGCCGATCTGAACCTCCGGCAGAAGTCGCTGACGCGCAGAACGCGATTGGAGTGCGACGGTCACCAATCGATCGCACCCTCAACTTAAGAGATCGCCTGGGAGCATTTGCTTCTGCTCAAAAAGAACGGCTTGTGAGTCGAGGAAATGTGCCAGCAGCCGCGTTGCCAGTCACAGTCATTCCGGCGCCGAAGAGTAATGGTCGGACATGGTCCCCTGACGATATTCGCGATCGGTCTACAGACGATGATTCTATTCGCGTGGAAACAACAGACGCTTCGAGACAGAGGCCAGGAAATACAGCGGGAGAGCCGAGCGCTCGTGACTCCAGTGAGGCGGTTGTCATCCCAGCACCCATCAACGGTCGGACCTGGATTCCAGATGAGGCGCATGCCCGCTCCCAGCTCACCCCAAGCCCTCAGCGCACTGACGCCGCGGCATTTCGAAACCCTCCAGCGAATCCCAGTGAGCTACAGCGAGCTCCGCAAACTTATGTTGCTCGAGGCTCACTCTCCATCTCAGAGCCGGAGTTTAGAGCGAGCCGGATGGCCGACCCTTACAATACAGGTTTGCCGCGGTCCTCAGCGTACGCCCGGCCTCCAGCCATCACTCCAATTGCGGAGGACACAATAAACGAGATCAGCAGTGAACTCTCACCTCTCTCTGAACACCAGCGAGAGTCGTTCGCAGAACAATCTCCAATGGTTGACAGCACGGGCGTATCCCGACCCATTGATGTGGATGATACAAATGTCCGGAAGCCCTCGTCGTTCGTCCTCACTGCGGATCAGGCCACTCATGAGGGGCAGCGTACTTCAGAGAGCCATACGAACCAGGATGCTGATGGGAGGGATACGGGTGGCACGACATCACAATCCATTTAGTTTACTAGAGAGTACTTGCACATAAATATTATGCGTCCTGTTTAGGTCTATCAAGAAGCCGACTCAGATTCTGAGGCTAGACGAGTGGCAGGACTATTGGGGCTCACCGGACAAAGACGTGATATGCGCTTTCGGCGCTATATGCTCCGAACTAGTCATCTCTACTGCGGATTATAAGGCGTGTCTATCAGCAGATATGACGAATTACTCTGCCTGGCACTGGGCACCCACTGGGTGCTGGCGCAGCAACATGTGAATCTCTCACTGCTCTCACTGCTCTCGCTGCCATCCTTCGGCCCTTCGGCTTGTCAACTGTGCGGTTGCACTGAATATACCTGCCCGCCCAGAATACAGGGGCATGCACCGACCGCCATACTCATCGCTGCTTTCCTCAATGATGCTGCAGCATGACTTTGCGCGCCAACCATCTGTACTGCAATGGCCCCGAGGTACAAGGCGCGTTTGGCGTCGACACCCTCCCTCTCACTACGGTTGCCCACATCATCTCGTACCTGGATGACGATGTCGCTTCCCTCGCGCGACTTTGTCGCACCTCCCGCGTCCTTTGGTACATGACTCTGCCGCATCTGTGGAAAAATGTCACCTTGAAATCATACAGCACTATCCGCTACAAGGGCGAGCTGCCCGAAGGATTTGGAAGTGCGAGTCCTTTCTCAATGGGTCTGAATGCCTTGGTGACGAGAAATGTGTCGAGCTTGGTTCGCTCATTGAGCCTGGATGGAGAATACAGTGCCTTGGATTTGCACGAATATTCAAGAGCTGGTCGCGTGTCGGAGAGCATCATGGTGCTGAACATCGCGCTTCGGGCAGCCATTGACCAATGTACCCATCTCGAGCGATTTCGGTGGGATTTAGATGTAAGACTACAACCAAACATGTACGCTGGACTGGCCAAGCTCTCTCGACTGGAGGAACTCTGGCTCCGCTTCCCTACGAACCGCTCCCCCCAACCAGCCTACGACATCCCACCTTTGCCGAATCTCAAGACCTTGACACTAACACATTACGATCCTCTATGTTTTCCCGACGACTTCTCCACCCTGCTCCTCCACGCAACACGCCTCTCGAGCCTCTTGTTGCACTTCTCACCCCGAATGCGCGAACAAGGGGAACCCTCTGTTGTGCTTTCGCATTTCTTCCGGAAATTAACTGCAGCAAACCGGAGACTTCGTTTGCGCAAAATGGGCGTGTATAACCTCCTTGCCAATGCAGATACGTCCGAGTGCCTCGCTGCATTTGACACCAGCACTATCGAGGATATCACGGTATTGAATACGTTTGGGTTAGATGAGGACGTTGTTGTGGCCGGGAGGGAAAGCGCAACTCATTTTATCGATCGCACATGGCATATGATGGTGAACAACAAGGACCCGCTATGCAGACCCAAATCTTTGAGGATGGATCAGTTGCATAAAAGACACGCAATGGACCTAGCCCAATTCGTTGGGTTGGAGAGATTATATCTCGTCAATGCAAGATATAAACCGAGCAAATCAAACAGCACCGTGGCAGATTGCAACGGCCAAGGCCGCAACAACGGCGCAGGGACTTCGGACTCTGACGCTTCCTCCGCCGAACACTCCCCTTGGTCATCATCAGTGGGTAACGGAACCGCCTCTGCCAGGAGTACGCCTAACAGCTTGAACCCATGTTCAGCCACAATCTCTCTGAGGGATCTCTATATCAACAACATCTGCAACATCTGTGGTCCTACTCTTCAGCACCTAATTTTACCTTCCCGTTGGCCTCTGACGGCCCCTATCACCGCCCGCCTCATCCGCTCGTGCCCGAACCTAACACAGCTGGCCGCCTCAATTGAATGCACCGAGGAGTCCCAGATGGAGATGTTGAGGTTATTAATGCCATTTCTCAGTGAGCTGTGGGCTATCCGTGCGCTTCTGCCTTCGTATCCGCCGGATGTCGTTGCGGCGGGTGGAGAGGATGGAAGGAAAAGCAGAGACGCGCACGAGAGGTTTGAAAATCTCCCAGATTGCGTACACGAGCAGAAGATCAACGAGGCCCTCTCCGAGCATACTGGCTCAGGAGGAAATGAGATGCCGGAGCTCCGGAAATTGAAGTATATTGGGCTGGGGAGCAAGGTGTGGGAAATTTCGGGGGTTATGGAGGAGGTTATTAGAGGAGGAAGAGTCGATGCCGGAGGTAACGGCGTCCAAGAAGTCAGCAGCAATGGCAATGGCTACCGCGGTGAGGGAGATGAGTCGAAGAAGGAAATCGTATATAGGCGGCGAGCAAGGAGAATCCAGGAGAAAGACGTACAACATGTTGAGATATGGAAGATGGATACGTTGGATATTGTTTGACCCCGAGTCGCGAAAGAGATTTTTCCCCTGTCACCACGATACCACAAGTGGTTTCTCTTGTATGATTATGACCCTATTTCCACAGAAGCTGTAATGATCCAAATCAAACATGAAGCGTCCCCTCCCGTAAGTTGATTGCAGGCGGTTGTCAGCACAGAGGTAGTCGTAGGCTTGGACTCAGGGAGGATTGTTTCTTAAGTGCCGAGCACGTATCCACAAGACAGACAGGATAGATGAGATGTAGAGGGAAACGATGACGCTCGTGGATTAACAGTGGTAGGAGGAATCTGATTGGCAAAAGGGGGGTCGAGCGTGTTACCTAGGTATATTTATGGGTTGTTTCGGTGTCTGCCTCGTTCTTGGACTACTTGGGAAATAAGAAGGATGGGAAGTTTGTATTGGGACAAGCACCCGATGTCCTTGCAGGTGGTTCGTGTCTGTGCACTGGCATACGCCTCCGATGGGTATTGGTCGGAGATTCGTTGAGAATCATTTCCCCGTGCTGCTGCGGACGAGGGTTGCACTAGGATAGATGACCTTTTGCGACTTGTAGAGGTAGCTTGATCAGTACTGCGGATAATCGCGCCAAAGACCATCTTCTTCGCCAACTGCAGGACCAGACGGCCGTCGACACTTGAACTCCCACCATTTTGGACAATGCGTACTAGACATAAGTTGTCGGCGTTGTTGAGTTGAGGCCACCCGGATGAGGATTGGTGTGATTGGAGCTGGTTGATTAGCATGGCATTCTATGGCCCATAGCCGCTCGGCGGAACAGGCCCTTCCCAGTCCTGGATCGCGAGCTGGTGATCCCTGGCTAGGGAAATGTACGTGTCCCAATTGCGAATGTCTCGCAGGAGGTAGGGCCAGTGGAGCATCTCATGCAGCATGATCCCGCTGAGGCTCATCATGTAGTCACTGTCGTGGTCGAGCAGATCATCACAACCGTAGCCGCGGTTCGGCGGCACCGGTTGTTGGATCTCTGGCCCAGCTTGGTGGGTTTTCAATGTCGGCGAGAGACGGGGTAAGTGAAGGCTTGATCGCAGACGGACAGGAAGCCCGCGTCTCCCAGCGTGTTGTATTTCTGGTCAAAATACGCCTGTAACCCCGAGAGGGTCGCGCACAACGGAGTGTATTCACCAATTGCGCTGTTGTCATTGATGGCTATTGACAGGAGGTCGAATCTGGGGTTGACCAGGTCCTGCCTGAAGCCCGAGATGAATTGGTTGATATCTGACGGGCTCGGCGGGACCACGGTGTTGGTCGGAATGTTCGCAATTGTGTAAGAAGACGGCCCGAACGAAGTCGGCGTCCCCCGGTTTGAAGTAGCGGGTGAAACCTGTTGTTTCCCATCGTCAGAATGATTTAGAACTTTGATACAGGCGCCCATTCGCAAGGGGCATCGAATTTCATTTTCACCCACTGGTTCACAAGAGCTGAAAGTGACTGACACCAGTCTGGCCAGCATCAGAGCCTCGTGGAAACCCCAGTGGAGGATCATACCGTCGCTGATTGGGGTCTTCCGGTAAGTCTTCCTCGTCGAGATTTCCGTTGTCCTGATTGTCGAAGCGGAAAGTAGGACCGTGAATCTGTTGGCATAGCGCAATCTGAGCAATGAGGAAGAAAGAGAGTGGTGCAAACAGGTAATGGAGTGGATTGGGGGAACGCATGTTTCGAGGCCAGCCACAGCAAAGCCGGTTGAGGAAGGGGGAGAAAGAAGAGAGTCTCGATTTGGACTCTCAATAAGCTGCTCTCTCTCCATCTTTACCTTTTATTTGGACAAGGAGAAGATTACCGCATAACAGTCATCTCGGTGAAGTGAAATCTCCATCACTTCGCTTGGTGATACACATGTCACTTTTGGCCCGGTCGGCTACCTGCGCAGGTGAATGGGGCTTTTTGTAGCTCCATCACCGACCGACAGAAGACGCGAGATCGATATTGAGCGCCGCACATGATGTGTGCTGTACTCTGCTCATGAGGTCTCTTGTCTGAGAGACCAGAGTTGTGGCTGGCGATGGTCTCTGAGGACTACTAGTACCTAGCTCGCTAGGTACGCATAAATAGAAGCCTTTTCGCCCCCAAATGCTCGGCGCCGAAAAATGCCAGACAAAAAATTCGAAATATTTTGCAACTTCAATTTCTGTCCATCTTTTCTCTCTCTGTGTCTCGAGTAGCAATGAAATTCTCTTTAGAAGCGTCTATGCGAGAGAAGGTCGTTCCATGCCCATCGGTCTCTAATGTTGAATGCTTTATGCATTTATTGGATTCATTTGGCCTAAGCATGGCAGCCTGACCCAGAGCTCAACGACATCAACACCGAGTCTTGAGCCCTCCTAGATACCCCTTGATCTCGTTCGCTTCTATCTATGCTAGAGCTGGCCGTTTCATTTCGCCCCAAAGCGAGCCAGTGTGGACAGGGAAGCTAGAAAAGTACCAGGTCTCGATTCACGGCCAGGATACAATCTCTGGTCGCGAGACTTCCACGGATCTCTACTGTCGCAAGTCGTATCATGGGTTGCGGCTGATTTATGTGGAGACATTGCTGTTTCAAACTCTTGTTTCTTGTTATACAGTCTGATGTCAATAACGTCTACATAGCTCCAAGGCAAAGTCCTATTGAAAGACACCTGCCCGGGTCATGATAGCTTGGAATTCGTCCATGTTCACACCCCTGCCGACACCCTTGCCTCCGTTCGCCTCCAGTATCATGGCCTTCAAAACATCATCGTCGACGTCCTCCTTCAATGTCTTGGCCACTGCCCGTAAATCCTGCAGTCGAATCACTTGAGCCTGTCCGGCCGCGCTCTGACCGGGATGGAAGAGATTAAAAGCAGTCTCGACTTCTTCTGCTTTGGTCTCATCCGTCTTGGATTTCAGCTGAATGGCGCACAAGGCAAGAAAATGCGGATACGTCACGTAGCCTTCTGACTCGGGATCAAGTGCTTCAATGAATTCCCGCATCTGTGATTGACTGCCCGGAGCGAGGCCTTGTGCCCTGTCAGAGAAGAGAGCAGTTAGTTATAGAATGTCATATTGCCTTCCTTTTCGCCCTGACTTACTTCAACACATTCTGCACGTCACTCGTCCGAATAACACCTTCCTTTTCGTCTTCGTACTCCTCGACTTCATCCAGACGAAATAGGCTCCATGCTTCTTTGATCCCGGCCTCTTCTTCTGCTGTGATATCGTTCTCCTTTGCAAGCTTTGACCGGCGTGCTTTTGGCGTAGCAGATGAATTGGCATCTCGAGTAGACCTGACAGCGGCCTTGCCTTTGGCTGGGGTCTTGCGCGGGGGCATGGTGAAATGTCAATGCGAAGTACGGGATTCCGAGATCCTGGCCATTTGCTGCCGACTGCAAGAATACCTTGTCGTCCGCCTGGGGCGAATGCAGATCGAGACCTGCTCTTTGAAGAATAGCCCTGTGACAGAGGAGAGTGATGGTTGGTGGTTGTTCGGTGACGCCACATATTTTCAGCCTTCACGAGGCTGCGGCGGCTTACGTACTTTTGCCGCCTACAATCAACTACATCCAACACAGAAACTACGAGACCATATATTGACTGCCCAGTCCACATGATGTGGTAGCGACATTAGATCCTCGCATTCAACGGTCATGGAGGTTCAGCTGTACATCTACGACCTGTCACAGGTAACGTCCTGCCCGTCAAGAAAAACGCCAGAACAAAGCTAATGGCATCAAGGGCCTCGCCCGTCAATTCTCTCGAGCCTTGACCGGCATTCACATCGACGCCGTCTATCACACGGCCATTGTCTTCAACAATGTCGAGTATTTCTTCGGCCAGGGCATTCACCGGAAAGTCCCTGGCTCAACTCATCATGGTCGACCGATGAAGATTGTGAGTTTGGGCCAGACGCAACTGCCCCTTGATGTCGTCGACGAGTACATCGAGTCGCTAGAGGCAATCTACACGCCCGAATCGTATGATTTGTTTTTAAACAATTGCAACAACTTCACGCAGGATCTCGCCATGTTTCTCGTCGGCAAGAGCATTCCGGACGAGATTCGGAGCCTCCCGCAGACATTCTTGAATACCCCTATCGGACAGATGTTGCGAGGCCAGATTGATGAGTCGATGAGAACCATGACCCAGGCACCTGATGCTGTCGCAGGCCAAAATGCTGGTGGCACTCAGTCGGTTATGCAGAAAACTTCCACAGCGGACGCCTTTACCTCTTCATTACCGAATGGTCCATCCCACAAACTCACCGCTCCCGCGATTATCAATGCCCAACCACCGGCTGACAGTCCGGGAAAGGTCCACAACATCACCACTCTTTCGGAACTGGATTCCCTGCTTTCCTCGGCCTCACACTCTTGCGCCGTAATATTCTTCACCTCGGCGACATGCCCTCCCTGCAAAATCGTCTACCCTACCTATGATGACTTGGCTGCCGAAGCAGGCACGCTTTCCGGCGCAAAGTTGATCAAGATTGACATTTCGGCATCCCCTTCTGCCCATGCAGTCGCACAACGATACAGTATCCGTGCCACACCGACATTTATAACGTTCCTTAGGGGAGAGAAGCAGGATGAATGGGCCGGTGCGAATCCGGCGCAACTAAGAGGCAATGTCCAGTTATTGTTGCAGATGGTGAGGCCGCCGCAGCATCAGCATTCGAAGTTAAGGTTACCTTCGTTTCAACGTGTCATTGACACACCGATTCTCTATACGAAGACACCGCCGCTAGAAAAGCTACTTGGGAAGCTAGGCAGAGCGTTCTCAGATGATAAATCGGTGCAGGACCTCGTGAGCTACATCAAAACGCGCGATGCAAAGGGCATGACGGAAGCCGCACTGCCAGATCTACACGCCTTCGGCGAACACATTGCCTCGACGTTTACAAGCCTTCCGAAAGAGAGCCTATTTGCAGCGATCGACCTCGTCCGTGTTGCGGCCGCCGATCCCCGTGTGGCAAGTTTTCTTGCCGCTGAACGCGAATATCGCACGCTTTCAACGCTTTTCAATACAGTCCAGACCTCACAAGGAGGTGACTTCGCAAATGCGCCGTACAACATCCAATCCGTCACTCTCCAACTTGGGTGCAACTTGTTCTCCTCCAATATCTTCCAGGAGCAGATCTTTCATTCGGGCTCCTCGCCGTCTCCTTCTACCAGCAGCGGGGTCCTGAAAGAAAAGCTCGAAGAACTGGCGGCGCAGTGCCTCCTATCACCACATCTAAATTCGAGGTCTTTGGCTGCGGTGTTGGTGTACAATCTTGCGAGTTGGACGCATAATGCGCGGATGCACGCGCACAGCAGCTTCCACTCTTCGTCATCAGCCGAGACACCTGCCGAAGAAGGAGGAGGAGCCGTGAGCGACGACCTCGCCGCCGCTTTGCTCGAGAGCATTTCGTCCTTGGCAACACTCACTGCCACCGTCCCAACTACGACCACGACTGCTTCGGGTGGAGGCGGTAATCTCAATACACTCCACGCCCTCCTGCTCAGCCTCGGCATGCTGCTCTACTCAGCCCCCGCCGGGGACATGCTTTGGGATCTGTGTCGGGCGATGGAGCTCAAGGATGTCCTGAAGGAGCTTGGGAAGAGGGACGATTGCAGAGGAGAGAAGCTGCTGAAAGAAGTTGGGGAGGAATTGCTGGGCAAAGGCGGGTTTTGAATGCCTAGAACATCGCGCTCTTGGAAGACACAACATTAGATACTTTTTTTTAAGAGGATAACTCGGAGATTGTTTGTTTCATTAGCGGGGGCGCTTCTCGATCCGTTTCTCGATAGAAGTGGAATACAAGGGGACAAACAGAATAGAGGGCTGAAACTGCGACCAACGCCGATGAGAACTGAAGCCATGGCCCTGCAATATGAGCACCGTCCGAGCTTTATTCATCATTTTTACAGCATAGGTACGTACCTAGGTAGTTAAGAATGAATTACAGCTCTGCTCGATCATTGTCATGGCAGTCGCATCATATCTTTGGACCATAACGCAATATATTCATGTTTTTGAAACCATGTTCCGTTGCGCCCACTCCGGTCAAGGCTACCGAGGTATGGAGATACCCATTCTAGAGACGCATGGAGGTAACAGAGACTCATAAGAAACCCCTCTGAATCATGATCACTGTGCAAGCACCCAAGTCTTACGAAACCTCTTTGATGCGACATTGCCAGCCACTTTCCTTCTCCAGCAGCGGCAGACTCGCGCCCAAACACCATCCCAATTCGTTGCCCTTGATTTTCTTCGCAATCTTGACCTCTCTATCAATGGGCATCTCATAGCCCGTGTGCAGGAGCGCCGACATGAAATTCAGGTCTAAACACCACTCGGGCCGCTCTCGGAGATCGTCCAGGGCACCCTCGATCCCGGCAAAGGCATCCCACGCTTGTTCCCCGCCGCAGACTCGGGCGGTGAGATCTTGGAGTTCGCGCAGGGTGAAGGATTCAGGCATGCCCAAGTCGTGCGTGCGGTCGTAAAAATATGAGAAGATGTAAACATCCTCCCTGGCAAAGGTCTTTTCGAGTGAGGGTTGGTGCACACCGTTGAAGGAACATGGGGCAAGTGTGCATTCTTTGTCCTTGTACAGGATGGCTTCGGCGAGAGCTCGACATTGGGCTGGGATGGCGTCGGCGGGACCCTCCATAATCACTGTATGCTCTCCTGACAATTCGTGATCGGCGGGCATTTCGACAACGACCTTTTTCTGTGCGCCCGGAGTGAGACAGCTATTCGGGATGGGCTGGCTGAGCCAGGCCTTCGAGTCGGGATTCTGCTTGTGCATGCGGTCGAGAACCAGCTGATGCAAGGCCTTGCGCGCTGACATGAGCCCGTAGCCGAGATGCGAGTGCTGATACAGCTCAAATTCCCGCCCTCCGAACTTGAGGTTGTACTTGTGGTCCCCCTCTTCCATTTTCTGCGGCATGCCGCCATGCGGACTGTTCTTAAAAGTCGGCTGGAAGACAATCTGAGTGGAACCGCCCCCAAGGTCGAAGATGGCCGCTGTAGGGGTCTCGTCGGGTCCTCCAATCTTGCCCAACAGGTAGTTGGTGGTGATCCAAGCAAAGACACCTTCATCCTCCCCTTTCATGATTTCCACGCCGCCTTTCTCGCGAGACACCACGGGGAAAGGATAATGAGTCTCGAGCCTATTCCGAACGGCCTCGAGGATCTTGGCGCTCATCTCGTCTCCCAACAGTCGTAGACCCGCGGTAGCCTTGACCGCGATAGGCGTGCATGACTTGTACTCATTTGGCACCGAAGCCATTGCCACTTCCATGAGAGGATCGAGACTCCTGGCAGCGCCTTCGGCATCTGTCTTGTATGAACTCAACCCGGAACCCTCTGGCCTCTTCTCAGTCATCTTGAACTCTTCATTTTCCAACTCCGGCGTCGGTCCGCAGTTGTTGAATTTATAGACATGAATTCTGCTTCCCGTGCTGCCCGCGTCGATCATGATGGCATACTGCACCAGGGGCCTCGAAGGGTTGTACGACTTCGCGCATCTTGAAGTGGGAGAATCGGCTGGAGTGTAGACATCCGGGACAGAGCCGTACGTGCTCCCATTTCCTCCCGAAAGGAACCAGTACAGGAGAATGATCAGAGCGAGGACCCCTCCTGTCTTGACATAGCGAGCCTGGCGACTTTGAGTCATCCAAGCGTTCTGAGCCGACTCCAGGATGGATGGTTGGCTTGCGCCTGAGCCGCTTGTCTGTCGATCTGTTTTTTCAAAGGGATCCCAGGGGGTATTGTTGGTTGTCGCGCGAGGAAGTCCGCTACTGACGGAACGGCGGCGAGGAGAGGAACTGAAAGGAACGTATGACCAGATGCCGGATCGGTCTGAGGACTTGGCCGAAGAGGACATGGAAGTCGACAAAGCGAGTGAAATAGAACGAAAAGGAGAACGCGAAATCTAGTCTTCTCTGAAAATCAGTCGTAGAGGCTGCGGATGGACAGGGGCCGCCGCGTCCATGCGGAGAAATTTGTGAGGCTGTGTCTCTCACTTTCAATTCCAAGTTGGGGTTTGCAAGTGACAAGAATTGAGCTGCGGCTTTTCGCAGCAATCCTCTTCCCTCAACAGGACACTTCGATTGACACTTGGATGCGGCGGTCTATATTGTTCGCTCGACCGCTCGTGCGGGCCCTCGTACCTGTTCAACGCTATCAGCTAGCATTGCAAAGATGTTTCGCCGCCACTCCCCGTCTCGCACTTGACCCAAGGCGCGCTGCTGGGAAAATTGAAATCAAAACCATCGATGACAAAATCGCTGCATTCACACTCAACGAAAGGATCCGGTCCCCCAAAGTCCAACTCAAAGGTCCTGATGGAAAACTGTCTGAGCCGCAGTCGCTCTACAAGCTGCTCGATTCGATCGACCGCACCACGCAATATGTGCTACAAATGAACAAACCTGCAGAAGGCGAGATGGCTATTGTGCAGATTGTGACACGTGCAGAGCTGATCCAAAGGATCAACCGCCAAGAGGACTTGCTGAAGAATCAGAAACGGCTCGAAAAGGAGAAGAGACCGAAACAATTGGAGCTCAACTGGGCCATCAGCGCCAACGACCTCCAGCTCAAGATGAAGCAGATGCAAGAATTTCTAAAGAAAGGAAAGAAGGTCGAGCTATTATTGGCAAACAAAAGGCACCAGCGGAAAGCCTCGCAGGCGGAAGCAGAGGCGTTGCTGAAGACCGTTAGAGATAAGGTCGAAGAAGTCGGTGCCGCCGAAGTCGTGCCCATGGAGGGAGCGATCCTTAGGCAGGCTATCTTGACTGTCAAGATGCGCGGAACTTGAACAAGGAGCGAGCCAGGAACCGCCTGTGCTGACACAAATGACAACCCTCTGGGCTTGGTACAGACATCAAAGTCTGTCGTGGGAGTCCGAAGGCGAAGCTGTGGCCTTCTGATCGTTCTGAGTCAACACCATGAAGGCCGCATGGGTACCTGTAACAAATCACTGGAGCCCCCATCCGCCAGCGTTGTCGCTCGAGCCGTCCTTGACCAGCGGTTTTCGCAGGATCTGACACAGCTAGAGGATATCTTTACCAGCCTGGCGATCGATCAAAGCTCTGATGCGAGAAGTTCTTCAAATGACCAGCTCTCTGGAACGAGATTTCAAGAATTTGGGTACCACGATCGTAAACAGTAAATTTACATTGTCCCACGATATTTGCCGGCTAATTTGCCCGGGCGCATCAAGTCGTAAACTCATGAGAGATATTTGTACATATACCAAAACCAGCCATCTCCGTCCTAAGTGGTCATGCCACCCATGACTGAGGACTCATGAAGTGGCTATGACTGGCACTCATCGCCGTTTCGACTTCGACCTTGAATTGAACGCTGATTTCCCATTTTTGGCCACTGCTGCCCAAACCATACCCGCCGCTCAGTTTGTTCCGGACAATACTCATGATCCGCTCCCTGAGCTTCACCAGATTCTCTTCGCTGCCAACGACTCGGAGCCGCAGATTCGCCATGCCTGTGCCATAGTGTGCTTGCCAGAACTTGGCCTGTTCGACTGCTCGTACCAAGGGGTCGGATTCAATTGTCTCCACGACCTCGGACAAAGCAGAGGCGGATTTCGAAGGAAGAGACATCAGGAGCATAGAGCCAACGTTGCGGCCCAGATGGAAGCCCAGAAAGAGCATGGAAAATGCGATGCTCAGCGACAGAGCCTTGTCCATCCACTCATAAGTATGAAGGTCGAGAAGAGGGAGTAGCAGCACAGTCGCTGAACAGGAGAGTGTCAGAAAATGACAAGGGTTGCTAAGTAGGGATGGCAGATTCTCCATGGCTGCGAAACGCATTGCCTTGCCAATTCGTGCGTGATTCTGCAGGCCAACTGCGGATATCAATGTTGCGACCAGTGCCAGTATCGCCGTCACGTCAACCGTGCCAGCTGTGACTTGTTCATGGGTGTGTGGATGGTGAGGCTCGTGCCCAATGCCTTCCAGGGCATGCTTTGCGTTATGCGAGATAAGGTCAAAGCCGAAGAAAATCAGCAGGACGGACAGCGCGAATCCAGCAATGACTTCCATGCGCTGTAGACCGAACGGATGCCGCACGCTCGACCGTCCCCATACTTCGAAATTGGAAAGAACCTCCACCAAGACACACAATAATGCGCCCAAAGAATCGTAAAAGATCAGGTGCGATAGGGCTTCCATAGCAGACGAACCGTGCGAGTTCCACGCCGTGTACCCTGCGATAGCCATGTGGCATATGCTCCAGTAGAAGCGAACTTTTTGATCTTTGGTCATACTAGCTCGACATTCCGCGAAGGTAGGAATCGGAAGTGAATTGGGTAAGGCTAAAGGTGCCCGCGGAGGAGGCTCAAGGAAGATCTGGTGCGAAACACTGCTGTGCTTGTATTTATGGCCACGCCTCTGACCGATGTTCTAAAGGGTGATGCCCAGCAGTCAGTAACCTCATGATGGACTAGAGAGTTAAACATCATTTGGGACAGGCACGAACAGATTTGATCACGGGTGACTTGGCCAGCGTTGATGGCTGGAAGTTGAATGGTCCTGCTCCATTGCCATTGACATTCCCGCCTGCGCTTTGTTTTTCAGGGGTTGTGGGTGAGAAGTATGCTGCCCCGGACGAGGGCATGTATTCGGGATCGTATTGATGCGGCGACAGTGACTTCGGGTCATAAGGAGGATCTGAATCGAATACTGCGGGTTTCTGAGGAGAGGATGTCTCGTCAGGGGGAGGTGTTGGTGTTCGAGGAGGTAGCGGAATGGGCATTGTGTTGGCCATAATGGGCAAGGATCCTGTTGCCCTCCAGAGGGGACAGGTGCCCAGACTGAGTTGGAATGCAACCGTAGTGTCTGTGTGTTTCGCGCGGAGGAATTGCTACGCGGTATCCATGATCTGAAAGTCCGTACCAGGGCTCCTTGACTCCATGATCAACTCCATGAACATGAGGGATGCTGGCTGCGGCTCAACGGGGAAACCTCGGTCTTCGGAGAATCCCATTATCCGAGCAACCAGCATCTCGCCCGTCAAACTATCTCGCGACAGTTCATCACCTAGAATCCATCTCCAACATTATCAGAGTCAAGTTCTGCGATGAGTCGCAGAAGTTCACAAACCGGTGGATGGATAATCCTCGGGTCGTACTGTTGATCCTGTTACTTATTTTTGTTTTCTTAACTCCTGAACAGCCTGGACGCCGCTTGCGCCAAATCGACGAGGATCGCATCGAGGATGAGCGCCGAGCAGCGCTTGACGTTCTGGCAAATTCATCTTACGGTCAACTTAACCCAAAATCAAATAGCTGGCTGAACCTGACAGGCTTCCGAGAAGTTGATGGCTACAAATGGGATTCCCTATCTCTTGCGCAGGACCTAAGCAGAGGCCAGTTTGAAACGAACTGGGATGGGATCGATGTAACCGATGGCCTGCCCATCTTCCGCCAGGTCACGGGTGAGGTTCGCGGCAAGTTCTACCACAATGACATCTCTGGAATGTCCCCTGTCATCAACCTAACCGCCCTGGACCCGAAAATGGACTATCTCACGGACAGATTCGAAAGGAATGTCACCGAGAGTGAAGGCGAGCTCAGCCTGTCCATCTACGATTCTCATGAGAGGCCGGCCCAAGAAGCTTCCTCGATCAAAGCGGACATTTCCATATGGACAGACTCCTCCCCCGGCAATGGCTGGCAGGCTAAGCTCCAGGGCATCCATCTTCCTTCGGGCCAAATCATCATGTCTACGGCCAGTTCCAAGTTTGACTCCCTACCTGCTCTTCCACATTTTGCCCTGGATGCTGGAGCTTTCAATGCATCAATACCTGTGATGAATGAGACGGCGCACCAGATTTGGGATAAACTCCTGGATGATGGAGCCGATGGACTGGCATTTGCCCCTCAGTGCGAACTCATCGCCTGGCTGCAGCCGATACCATATAGGTTCCCCAGTCTCGATTCGACCAGAGCCAGCGATTTCCTTCATCGAGTCGAACAGGAGCTTTCTCAGCCAGAAGGCGCTCCCGTCGGCCAGCCTCCGCCACTGACCTTTTCAGCCGTCATTTTTTCGCCCGACTGCGGCTACATCCTGTCATCTCCCACCATTTTTGGACCCAAGATCGAGACGTATTGGACTCTCGCACAGCGCTTGCTGTTCGCGTACGTTATCTCGATTGGGATACAAATTGCTCTTCTCAAACGGCAGATGGAGAAGGCTGCGACACCCTCGACTCGAAGCCGCATCGCTTATCAGAGTATCGTCATTGCTGCCCTTGGTGATGGCTTGCTCTTGTTTGCGCTTATGGCACTCCTCATGATAGACGATGCGGCTTTTCTAGTGGTTGCAGCAGCCGCATATTTAGCCTGCATCCACGTTGCCTTCCTGGAGGTGAAGTTCGTCTTTGACATATGGACAGTCCAGGTCGGCGATCCTGCACGTGCAGAACAGGAACGTCAACAGAGGGCCGCTCCAAATCCCGCAACGCCACCTGCTCCAGCATCGACAAATGTACAGATATCAAACACTGGTGACACGGCTGGCCTCCCACTTCCAGCAACAGCTCCAAGGCTTGAAGGGGCTACTCCTGTGATCATTCCCTCGGATCAGGGCAATCCCGTACCAGCTGAGATTCCGAGCGCGCGGGCGTCATTTGCTGCCATTTACAGCCGATTTTACTTCTCGCTCGTGATGCTCATGTTCTTTTCACTCTGGGCCACGACGTGGCCGAGATCCTTGCGATCAGCTTATACCAACCTTTTGGCATTCTGTTACTTCTCCTATTGGTGGCCACAGATCTATCGCAATGCAATGCGCAATTGTCGAAAAGCCCTGAGCTGGGAGTATGTGGTCGGGACAAGTATCCTTCGAGCAGTGCCGATCCTCTATTGGTACTTCGCGGATAACAACCTTCTTGCCATCGACACGAGCCCGACTTCCGCTGTCATCTTGCTTAGTTGGTTGTGGCTTCAAGTCGCCCTTCTCGCTAGCCAACAGTTCCTGGGACCTCGTCTTCTCGTTCGAGATTCTTGGTGCCCGCCCGCTTACGATTACCATCCCTTGCTTCGCGAGGATGACGTCGAAGCTAACGGCATGTCCATCGGCCGACTTGCCTCTGCGTCTGAGGCCAAAGACAAAGACGACAGAACCCGCAAGGTCTTCGATTGTGCCATCTGCATGAACGAGATCGATGTGCCTGTTCTGTCAAAAGCAGACAATACGAGCGGAAGACCTCTCACCAGGGGTACCGGGGTGGCGTGGCTTGAGCAGAGGAACTACATGGTGACTCCTTGCAGGCATATTTTCCATGCCGAGTGTCTTGAGGGTTGGATGAATCTGAGGCTTGTTTGCCCTGTATGCAGAGAAGGCTTGCCTCCGCTCTAAGTATTGGGTAAATGTCCACCATCTGTGGGCGCAGCTTGAGGGTACAAAATGGTCGCCCCTTGATGAATTATTTCTCATGCGGAATCTACCACGTCCTGCGCATGCATTGGGATAACGACAACTCTATGTGGGCCCCTGACTCCCTTTCCGATCCGATGTGTATAATATCTCCCTCTTCTTGGTTCCGGGCAATATGCTTAGTGAGTCAAATCTCTCTCTTCACACCTCGAGTGACCTCAATCTCATCTCACGACAGTCACTTGCTCCTTCAGCCGCAAATCCCTCGAACTAAACCCGACGTTTACGACAAAGGCCCCATCAGGGATCACCCACTTCTGCTGCTTGACGTTCCAGTAGCTCAAATCCCGCCTCGTCAATGGAAAGCTCGTATTCCGCGATTCGTTGGGCGCGAGCCACATTTTATCGAAGCCACGGAGCACATGGCGAGGGGTGTGCATCGAACCAGAAATTGGTGGCATTGACAGATACAGCTGCGGCACCGCTCCGCCGAACACATCGCCGGTGTTCGTCACCGTGACAGTCACCGTGCAGATTATCTGCCACAGCGATGGATTGCCACCTGGGGCTATTGGCAGAGAATCTGGAAGAGCATTGATCGTTGCATTGCTTTTGTCCACGCTCAAAGCAGACAGATTGAAAGTAGTGTACGACAGGCCGAACCCGAACTCGTATAGGACTGACTTGTCATAATAGTCGAAATGCCGGTAATCGATCAGCAAACCCTCGCTGAAGTTTGATTGCCACGCGTTTGGATTTTCGGTCCGAAGCAAAGCAGTGGAGTTGGTGATGTCGCTGAACTTGTAGTCGCTCTCATTCAAGGCGATGGTATAAGGCAGTTTACCGCTCGGGTTGACCACTCCGTAGAGGATGTCAACGATGGAGTTGCCAGATTCTTGTCCAGGAAGATGTGCCGCGAGAATGGCTGTGACATTGGGATTCTTCGCCCATGGCATCACGTTTAAACCGGCCGAGTGCGTGACGACCACGGTGTTGTTGCAGTATGCAGCAACGGAGCTGACAACGGCTGAGCTGTCCCAATCTGCTTCGAGACTGACCCTGTCACTTCCTTCCGCGGCCCAGGACTTAAGAAACACAAGGCAGACTTCTGGGACAGGCAGGATCGCACCGAGGCCACTAGGCCGAGTAAGCAGGTCGTTGTTCAGGATGTATTGTACGAGGGTGCCATCTAGAGCAGCGCGTGATTTGAGCGCTTCAAGCGGAGAGACAAGATATGAGAGGCGACCAGTGCCACTGCCACCAGCAACTGGAAGGGTCCCATATTCTAGCACACCTTTTCATCAGTCTATGTTGAAAGGAATGGCAAGGTAGGGTCGCTTACCGAAGCCGAAGGGAGTCTGGTAGGCGGAAGTCAAGAGATATTGTCCATTTACCAAGTCACCAGCGTCATTGCCGAATACACCCAGTGTTTTCGGCGCTTTGAGGGGCAAGACATGATTTGTATTCTTCAGCAGAACTGTTCCGGCAGCAGCAAGACCGCGGATGAATGGACCGTGGGCGTCTCGAACGTCCACATTAGAGGCCCCGAACTTAAATGGATGTTGATAAGGCGGATATTCTGAGTTGAGCGTCGGCTCCGTTCCGTCGATTGGCGGATATTCGTTTTGGTTCAGATAGAAGTACGGCGTCATGATCCGTCTGACCATGTCGTCGAGGCGATCCTGGTCGAGTGTCCCGTTGTGAACCGCGTGAGTGACGTTGCCACCAAAGAACGAGATGTTCCGCGAGTTGCCAATGGACCCTGCCGAAGATATTGTGAGAAGGCTTCTGAAGCACGAGGGGAAAGTTTGAACTGACCTGGCATATCCATATCTAACCCGGCCTTGATGGCATGTACGCCGGCATGCGTTGCTTGCCAGTCAGACATCACGTAGCCTTGAAAGCCTAGCTCTGTTTTCAGCAACCCATTCAGCGTCTTGGAGTTCTGACATCCATAGGAGCCATTCAGTCGATTGTATGAACACATGATAGAAGCGGTGCCTGCCCGGACGCCATTGGCGAATGGCCACAGATACAACTCGTGCATAGTCCGATCATCGATGTTGGAGGAGACGGCTTCGATTGTTTTGCCGGACGGAGACAACCCTGGATTTCGTTGCGTTTCCTGCTCGTTGCCAATATAATGCTTGAGACAGGCCTGGACGCCGCTCTGTTGCATGCCCCTAATGGTCTCCTCTCCTGCAACGCCAGTCAAGTATGGGTCGGGGGAGAAGCCCTCCCAACCGCGTCCGCCATAGGCAGAGCGACCTAGAGGGCCGACAACCGGCCCAAGAGCCACATGGCTCCCTTTGTCTTTGAACTCGGCTGCTAAGTACTGGCCTCGCAGATTCATGAGGGCCCTGTCCCATGTCGCCGCAGTCGTGAGCCCTGCAGGGAAAACCGAGGCATATGTGGCTTGTCTGATGGCAAGAGGACCGTCCTGGAGACAAAGCCCGTCAAATCCGAGCCGCGGGATACTGCCAATGTTGCCAACACAGGGTCCATCGATACCAGTCACCAGTTGAGCCTTCTCTTCAAGTGTCAGGTTGGACACGAATTTCTGAGCTTGAGCGAAGGCTGCTTCCCAGCCAATCCCGGTGCTTGGGGGGCTGGGATAGACCGGGGGTGAGGTGCCATAATCTTGCGCGACACCTTGAGCTATCAACGCCAGCAAGCTCGACCAGAGCGTGATGAGTAACATTTTGGGCGAACCACTGGCTTTCAATAGTGTCTTCTGGGAGAGCATTGCCGTTACTTCTCGCTCAGCGTGCCAATCTTTAATTCCCAGCAGCGTTGACAGGAACTTCATTTTATCTGCCGCTCGCACCGTAGTCGATCACAGTCCATGCGGCAGTGTATGAACCCACGCAGGATCTCTTCAAGGGCAAAGGATAGAGGAAAGAGAAGGGAGAATTTGGTTGAATCGGACATACGTCAAGCTGCCGGTTGCACTGGCGCCGGGAGATCGACAACTGTTATGGTGAAGCAAACAATGCTAAATGTGGCTGTGCAACCGTTTTACAAATGTTCCGCTAAAATCACAACAACGCAGGAAGAGGTTGGGGGCTGGCAGAATTCGAGGGCGCAGTCTCATCTTGAATTGATGGTGATGTACGAGGTACTCCTCGGTACTGAGCACTGAGTACCTGCCCCGTAGAATTTGGAAGGTACTCGGGTAGCACTTGCCACTCGCCCTATTTGACTGCTTGCACCTTCTCACCTTCCAACCCTAAGATACCCTGGTACCTACATACCGTAGGTACTACCTGGTAGCTATGCTTGCATCCGCCGCTCTCTTCAACATCAAAGTCGTACGCGAGCATTGGCATGCAAAATGTCCAAGGCAACAAATGCAAAAGTGCACCTGTCTAAATCATTATTATCCCGCCATTTGTGTGATGAAACTCCTCAACAGGCACCGCACGCTGGAGGCCGAGGGCTAGACCGCGAGCCACATAACTTCTCGCATTAATATCTCTTTAGCCATTCCTAGGCACAAACTCATTGGATGCTAGGTCCCCGCGCATTATCGCTTCGGAGCTACAGATCTCGTCTCGTTGCCACGATCTCGGTCCTAAAGCTACAACCAATCCCCCACTTCGGATACAGGCCCAATGAAATCTCACCAGATTGTGAATCCCACTGTGTCAGCCTGGACAATGGCGCAAAAAGTCTGAAGCGATTGCCGCAGGAAGACACGACGATCGCCAGCCTGTTCAAATGCCAGCGCCTCTGCATGTGTTTCGTCAAAGACAATCAACTCGGGCTGTTCCAAAATGACGATATTTCAAGATGAAGACCTCGAGGCAATCACACTTCTCGAACGGCCATGGACCGCCGAGAAACTGCTTGAAGTAAGGACGGGTAGAGTAAGGCCTGTGTTCGGAATCCAGGTCCAATCTGCCATTTTCAAGAATGTCCGACCAGGTCCTGTCGCCGTCGACAAGTTGGGATGCGACGGTGACCAGCACGCCTTCGAGCTTCATGGCGGCCCCGACATGGCACTACTGCAATACAGCACGCTCCACTATCCTCGATGGAAAAAGGAGCTACCTGATAGCGCACATTTGTTCGTCCCAGGCGGATTCGGTGAAAACCTCGTGGCAAAGTACGCCAACGAGCGAAACATGTGCGTTGGCGACATCATCCAGATTGGAACTGTCACTGCCCAGGTTTCGCTTCCCCGTCAGCCATGCTTCAAATTGAATCACCGATTTCAGATTAAGGATATGTCCAAGCGCTCCCAGGATCTCTTCCGGACCGGGTGGATGTACCGAATCCTGAAGGAAGGCACCGTTCAGGCTGGAGATGATATGGTTCTTCTCCGACGACCACATCCCGAATGGACGATAGCCAAGGTTCAACACTATCTCTACCACGATTTGCGGAATGAAAGGGCCATGAGACAACTGATCGAAATTGAGGAGCTAGGCGCTGAAGCTCGGACTATTTTTGAAAATCGTCTCAAGAAGCAGTACGAGGACTGGGAGGGACGCCTCACCGGGGGAGATGGCATGGCAATGGATCTTTGGGCAAGCTACAGACTCGTCCAGAAGCAAAAAGAGACCCCAAGAATTGTCTCCCTGACATTCGAGAGAATTGACCCACTATCAAACGCTGAAGAGGTTCAGCCAGGGTCGCATGTGCGCGTGAAGCTGGGCGACCGAAAGTTAGTGAGGGCTTATTCAGTCGTGGCAGGTGATACAAATCGTTTCGAGCTCGCTATTGCGCTGAACGAGAAAAGCCGTGGAGGATCACACTTCATCCACCAAGACCTACACCTGGGCGATACGTTGCTGTTTGGAAAGATTACGCCGAGCTTCCCGCTTTCGAGTGAGGCCGACGAGCATGTCTTCATCGCTGGCGGCATTGGTCTGACCGCATTCATTGCCTCAGCAGCCCGCTGCCAGCGGGAGGGTTTGTCTTATCATCTACATTATCTGGTCCGAAGCTCGCGCGACGTGGCTCTGAAGAGATTTCTCCAACCATTGGGACCAAATGTAACCATCTACGACAAGTCCGCCGGGAAGGAGTTCAAGGCCGCGACGGTGATGGGAAAGATGACACACAACACACACATCTACTGCTGCGGCTCCAATCGACTCCAGAAAGCCATTGTGGAGACAGGCCAATCGATGGGTGCATGTCCCAGTCATCTCCACTTCGAGACCTTCGAAGTCGCCACTTCTGGAGATCCTTTCGTGGCAGAATTGGGCGATTCAGGAAGGACGCTGTCTGTGGCGGGAGAGAAGACTCTGCTCGATGCGCTGCGAGAGGCTGGATTGGAGGTTTCATCTTCCTGTGAGGCTGGCAATTGTGGCACTTGTCGTGTTGGTGTCAGAAGTGGCAGTGTGGAACACCGAGGGACCGGGTTGATGGAAAATGAAAAGAGTTCGGCCATGCTAAGTTGTGTATCTAGAGGCATTGGCACAATTGTGCTAGATTTGTAGAGATAGAAAAATAGAAGATGCCTCAGAACGCTATAGTGAGGGTGTCTCTTAAGTGTACAGTGCTGTTCTCGAAGGGGTGTTCTTCAAGGATAGCCCGCTCCAAGCCGGATCTACTGTACATTTAGATCTTCGAGAGTGTGCGAAGGGGGAGTCGGAAACTCGAGCTGGGCACTGCAAAACGCGCACAAGTCTCCAGACACCTCACAGGAACCGCTTGGTCACCCACCCTCTGATGGCTTCGGCCACCTTTCCAGGCTGTTCCATTGCACACCAATGACCAGATTCGATCTCGGTCATCTCAAAGTCTGGCAAGTATCCCGCTTGCCTCGGGACTTGAATCAAGTCAGTCCGACCCACGGTATCGCCTGTGCATCCGATGAAGAAGAAAGGGACGTTGACAACATGATTCTCCTTAGGGATACTCTTGTCGTCTTCCCACTGGACATTGGTCGCTTGCGCCTTGTACCAATTCGTCGGGGCCTGGAAGCCGTCCCTGGTGAAGCGTTGCATAAAATCATTCCTCCATTTAGGCTTTGCTGCGTACGGCTTCAATGCAACCCGCTCGTTGCCCGACATGTAATTCGTCATTGCGTCCTCGCCGGCGAACATTTTCTTCATCCATTCCGGATCGGCGCCATGTAAGACTTCCCAGAACCTTTCAAGGTTGCTGTTGATAATTTTATAGCCGTCGCGGGAGGTGAAGAAATACCAGTACTGGAAGATGGGATATCCAAAGCGTTCCTTGGTAAGGGCGTTGACGTTGTCAAGGTCGAATTTCTCCGCAGATGGAGGTCTGTAAGAAATGTTGCACAAGATCATCCCTGATACCATTTCGGGATGGCGATTGTAGAATCGCTGGGCGAGCATGGATCCCCAATCGTGACCGATGATGATGACCGTCTTGATGTCCTCCGCCTTCAGGATCTCCCAGAGGTCAGCACATTGGCCAGACCATTTGTACATGGAGACGTCGCGGGGCTTGGAAGTACCAGCGTAGCCGAGGCAGTCTGGGACGATCATCTGGTACGGCAGGTCTGAGAGCTGGTCAATGACCTCCGACCACATGAGAGCGCTGTCGGGGAAGCCATGGAGGAAGAACAAAGCTGGTTTGGAGGAACCGGCCTTGCTCTTTGGTGAGACGTAGTATGTATAAGTGAGTGAGCGCTCGGTCTCGATTGTCCTTTTCTCAAGTGTGGCCATTGCGAGCAGGAGCGCAAAGAGTTTGCCCAAAGCTTTGACGGCAGAACGTAAAGGAAGAAACAAAGCCTGGTGAACACCAACATCTTATACCTCAGGCGGCCTTACCTGCTTGGCTGCGCTGTATTACATACTACGTCAGCCTATACCCTTGCTAAGGAGTAAGCTGAATCGCCAATCGATGGATAACCGCAGACCAATTGAGGTCAGATGTGTACCAGAGTATCAGCACCACAGGAGGCAATTTGTGATCAGGCCTTGTGCCGAGGCCCGTGCCCTCAATAAGTGTGTCATTTTGATTCGACCCCAGTTGTTTGCAAGGGACGCTTTAGAAAGCTTGTCAGTTCCCCCTTCAGCGATAGTTGTGATTCTCCAGTGTAATCCGTAAGTAGCGGTAGGTGATGAGCTCTGATGTTGAGGACTGTCATGTCGTTGCAATCACATTAATGAAGTGCCTAGAGCTCAAGGGCTGTAGCCTTCCGAGGCGCGTCCAAATCTCGAACGTGCCAAGTCTGCAGCGCCCTGAAGGAGAGGTCCTGCCCAGTCTCTCAACATCGAGCATTGTAAACATGGAATAAGACCATGCATCAAATGCCACAGGGTACAATTACATGATACAACTTGCGGACAACACCAACGTGGTCGGTTGCGCTCATCATATATACAACAAAGGTCAACCCGAGAGCTGGTGCAATAACGCCGACAACAGACATACCATCGAGGAAGCGCAGAGATACTTTGAGGAACGTGGTTTCACTTCGCCTGAGCGTGAAGCGGGCCTCGCTCTACGGCATCACCTGGCTCGCTGGTACCTCAACCAGGACCCCGGAACCAAGAGCCGGAGTGATTGCCAGGCACAAGTACCAGGTAACTCTAGGGCAGCTGGGATTGGTGCTGGTACTCGACTCGTCTGTGCCCTCTGCGCAACTGATACCCGCCGTTTCCAGTCAAATCCCTGTGCCCAATGCTTGTCTATCTACTCGTCGCGAGCCTATGAGTACTCGGTAGGTAAGCTAGTCGACCTTGCATACCTAGGTAATGATCCTTCAAACACTCAGCGTACGGCAACACATGAAGCTTCCTACAACCAAGCTTCGACCTTGGTGGGCCTGGCTGTCGGTCAGTGGGACGCAGAGTTCCGGAAGAACTGAAATCTTCGATGAAGTGAGGCACAACTCCAGGCAGAGAGACATGTGCAAATCGACGTGTATTAGCTAAGCCCAAATTATGTTGTCTTCAGGGGATGTAAGGTCCAAACAAAAGATTATGTTGAAGGGGCTTTCTACCTCGTTTCTCTAGGTTGATGATTGTTGTTTGTATACTACCAGGCAGTTCTTGTGAGCATTGTAATATGTAGGCGACAGATACAAACTCCGGACGTGCCCTTGCCTGTATCCCTTTTCTCCTAGCCTCCTCCAGCTTTCCACAGGCTGCCGAACCTTGTATTGTCAGTCTTGACCAGTGCCAGGGGGTTGCCCACCTCGACGATCTTGCCGTGGTCCATGACGGCGACCTTGTCAAATTCCATGATCGTGCTGAGGCGGTGGCTGACTGCGACGACTGTGTAATCCTTGAATTCTGTCGCAATGATCTCCTGCATCACTCGTTCCGTTTCCTGGTCGACCGAAGATGTAACTTCGTCCAGCAAAAGGATGCCGCCTTGAGAGCCTACGCCGCCAGCGCCGAGGCGCCGAGAGCGCATTCTCCGCCGCAGGACCGCGTGCGCGAATGAGAACAGTTGGCGTTGGCCCTGGGAGAAGGTGCAAGACGTCATCGCCGCGTCCAGGCCGCCCCGACTTTCGATCAGCGACCATAGACCGACAATTCTCAGGACGGCGCAGCATTCATCGGCGTCCGCCATGTCGAAGGGATCCAGGTTCTGCTTGAAGCTGGCGCCGTCCGGCAGAAACACGGCTTCCTGAGGGATTGCTATCAGGCGGAGGCGCAACGTTGTCCGGTCAATGAGATGAAGTGGCGTGCCGTCTATATGCACCCGTCCAAGGGTGTCTTCACAAGGGTCGAGAAGCTTGAGCAGTAGAGCGAACATACTGGACTTTCCACTGCCAGTACGTCCGCAAATCGCAACTTTCTCCCCGGGTGCGATGGAGAGACTGACTTTGTTGATCACGAGGTTGGACACTTTTCCACATTCCTTAGGGCTAGGACGGTGTTATTCGATGCCTTGATGAAGCTGGGGCTGAGGACGTCACTTACTCATCATAACTGGCTGAGACTTCTCGCACGTCGATTTGCCCATTCATTGGCCACTCCTCGCCTGGAATGAGGGTCTCTTCACTCTTGTCTTCCGGACTGACCGCGTTATTGAAGGTTTGCAACCTCGCGATGGCACCAATCGAAGTTTCGAGCTTCGTCCACTGCATCACGATGCTGGAGAGATAATCTCCGAAGCTCATCAGCGTGACCAATGATGCACCGGTGAAGCCTGAGTTGGACCGCAGATTCACGGCGAGGCTGACGAGCAGGACCGCTAGTGCCATGACGACGAAATTGAGCACCTACAGCGACGGTAAGTATCTGCATTATAAACGAAATCTGTGGTCATATATGGGGAATGGCGTGTTGACTTCAAGAGTTGAGAGCCAGTCTCTGACACTTACTAGTGTAAGCCATTGCTGTAGCATGAAGAGCAGATAAGCTGGACGCTGCGACTCGTCAAGCAGTTCCATATTCTTGGCGCAGTCGTTGGAAATGAAACCAAATGCACGGAGCGTTACAATCCCTTTAGTTGTGTCGAGAAAGTGGGTGCTGCCAGACTAAGATTAGTGCATTCCCAAGATGATAAGAAAGGTCAGAAAGTCGACTGACTATAAAGGGCTCTTTGCCTCGAGATCCAGCATCCTCATCTGTCGGGAGGTCCGAAGGTAGACCTTCTGAATCGACCACATCAGAGCTATGATGAAGGGGTAGCTTGCGGCAATGTAGGGCGTCGCAGTAATCATAACTGCCGCTTGCCCTACAGCGATGGTGAGGTTATATAACGTATTGAGTAAGTTGTTGGGCAGCTCGGTATCAACTAGGTTGAGATCCTGTGAGAACAAGTTCGTGATCACTCCTTGATCAGTAGTGGTCAAAAATCGTAGAGGAGCACGGATCAGCGTGCGCAACACTTCGCGATGCAGATTGGCTCCAGCCCTTCTGACAGCAAGCACCCACACAAGATATGCAACTGAAACCATAGAGAGTAGACAACAGATATTGAGCAAGCCGTATATGCCAACGTAGTATCCCGAGGAGTGCGATGGGTGCTCTGCGGAGGCGGAGTCGCTCCAGAACTTGAGCCAGATAGTGGGAAAATTGTATAAAAAGCCGAAGACAGCGGTTAGCCCCAACTGAGTAACGGCGACGAGATGACCGATGCTCTTGAAGTAGTGTTTGTAAACCCTTCGATCTCCTTGTTGTCGTGCTGTGTTTGGTACGTCAGAGTTGTTCGTAGATAGTGTGACTACTTTCCGCGAAGCCGCAAGTCTGGGTTGCTCGGATGTTTCTTCAGCCTCGGCTGTCTCACTAATGGTGTCGCTCTCCGTGGCCTTTACACCAAGGCTGTGGACGTACTTTCCATTCGCAACCAGTTCCTCAAAAGTGCCTTGCTCGAGGACAGCGCCTTTGGTGTCAAGAGCAATGATCTTATTGGCGGATGGTAAGTGTCGGACAGCGTGTGTACAGAGCACTGCAGTGGCTTGACGACTTCGGATAATACCTTTGGCGCCAAAGACACGTCTAAAGACTTGCTCTTCGGTGTCAGCATCGAGACCACCAAGCACGTCGTCGAAGATGAGCATGTCCGTTTGCAGGTATAAAGCCCGAGCCAACGAAATGCGTTGTCGTTGGCCTCCAGAAAGAATGATCCCGTTGCTGCCAACCTTGGTGCTATCGCCTCGGGGCAATATCTCCAAGTCAGTCTCAAGCATTGTTGCGCTGATAACACTGGCATATCTTTCCTCATCGAATGGCGAAAAGCCGACGATGTTGTCCCGAATCGAGCAATTCGACAAGAAAGGCGATTGATCGCAATAAGCCACTCGACCGATTCCGTTGCTCCAAATGACTTTGCCTTGATGGTAAGGGATTTCTCCCAAGAGCGCCATGCACAGAGTAGATTTCCCAGACCCGATCGGCCCGACGACCATTGTCAAAGATGATTTGGGAATGCGGATGTTTATGCCCACGAGTGCCGCTTTCCCCTCTTCCCATCCAAAAGTCCCATCAGTAACGACAATGGCAGACCGTGGACGAGTCTGTTCATCGTTGTCCAAAGGTGGGACTATGCTTGACCCCTTCTCCGTGGACTCTGTGGTGTTAAGCGAGACCACCCGGAAGTCGCCTCGGCTGTTGCGCTCCAGATGAGCTTGCATACGACTCAAACACGCGAATCCCGATGCCAATTTAGGACCGACCTTGAGGACCACAGTGAGAGGAGTTGCCAGCAGGACGAGGTATGATAACGCGGTAAACAATCTTGCGGTGTCCAGGGACCGCTCGGTAACAGCGAAGGTGACGACGGGAGAAATGAGAAAGGGTGCCCAAGAAACGATGATGCCGATCAAAGCCAGTTTCCGGACGCGACTGCTCCCTCTTAACTCGTCAATCCGAGCATTTTGGACGGAATGGAAGATAGGCCCCACCAATCCAGCAATTTTTATGTTCTTCATATTTGCGATGACAGTAGCAGTAAGGCCGACACGCTTCTGGACCCGAGTCATCCAACCCTTTTGTGCTTGACCCGTATATTTGACCAGTACAGACATGATCAAGAAGCAGATGATCAGAGTCACGATGGGCGCGATGAACGCAATCCCAAGCTCATTGTAGAGTAGATAGCTAGCTAGACCGACCTCTATGCTGGCAGCCCATATCTCTAGAAACAAGTCAGGAACAGCGATCAACAGACTTCCGAGGCGGAATAAATCATGAACTGGTTGCGTTCTTACCATGAAGGGATTCGAAACCGAAGCTGATACGTTCGATATCGACACTCATCAAAGTCACAGGTGCGCTCGAATCTCCTATGCCGATCTGTGCTTCTGTAGTTTTGGCGTAGATGGCGGCAATAAGAATACCACGAGCCATTTGAAAAGCTCGGATATGAAAATACCAGTAAAGAGCTGTAGAAACGGCAAGCCCAGAGTATATGAGTGCAGTGGCTCCGATGAAACCGTATCCATAATTGACAGACTCCTCGGTCGACGGCCCAGACATGACATCAAGGATGGAGTTGATCAGAAATGGTTGGCAGAACTTGAAGAAGATCAAGGCAACTCTGGGCGGAATTGGTAGCAGCATTGGAACTAGCAGTGTTCGAGCCACCGCTTTAGCCAGGCCATAGGTAGTACCCTTCATTTTGGCGTAGTCTGCGCGCATTTGAAATCGTCTGTAGAGATTAGCACCCGTAACGGCACGGTCCAAGGGATATAGATCCTCCATGCGTAGGACCTTTCGGTAACCACTGAAAAAAAGGCTGTTTAGCCAAGAAAAGAGTCCAATACTGTAAATACCACTGGTCTCTTCCGGACTGTGTGGCTCTTCAGTACCCCAGTCCACCCACTTAGTTTTCTGCTGAGCTTCGAGGAAAAGGATGAAGACTTTCAACAACACTGAGACAGTGAAGACACCAGCATGCGCCGTATCATGCTCGATCTCTGCAACAAGCCAGAACGTACGGGTTTGAGCGATATCAGGAAGTAGCGTGAAAAAAAGGTATGTGCTCAGCAGTACTGAGGGTCTGGCTGACCGGCCATGGTCGAGCAACGAGATAGTGAACATGCACATTGCCGCCACCAATTGCAAACCATTGGAGGCGATGGAGACATGTGTTCTCACGAAGGGGCCGGTTGCAACCAGGATGAGAAGCACAAACTTGAGCAACGCATACAGTGCGATAGCTCCCTGGATGAATCAGCGTGTAGCACGGAAGGCAAGCCAGCGAAGTACGCACAAGTTTTATAGACAGGAATGTCGGAGCGTGGACAATGATAGGCTTCCGAGCTGACCATGCCGCTCTCCAGACCACGGCTGCGACGAGGAGTGCTGAAGGGATAATAGAGAAAAAAAGCTGCTCAAATCTGACGGTGAAGTCAAAGTCGCCTCGGCAGCCCGATACACTGGGGCCTAGGGTATCGTCGTTGGTACAGGTCGAGAGTCGCATGTTGAGGGAATGCAAGCGTTTTAGGTCCTAACTAGCCAGCTTTGGAGCCTTGCCTCGAGTGAGACACGATTGCAAGTAGTGTTGTCCGTCGATTCATATACGGTGCAGTTGACTCGAGCAGAAGATGAGTATTTGGAGCTTCCTGTGGTACCTGGTTCATGTCTGGCGTCATTCAGGTGCACTCTGCAGATACCACATGCCCCAGGACGCGTCCTTCTGCGGAAGATCATTGCTTGTTGGCGATAATGGCTATAGTATCCAATCAAACACTGGAGGGATCTAAGAGCCGGCAAGGTGCGAGAATTGGGGGAAGGAATATGCCCACGAGAGGAGCTCAAGGTGGGATGGTAGCATCAGAAGCGGGGCCGATATCTTGATCCGCAACGCCATCAGTCACTATCACAACCAATGGCATAGCCGAGTCTGTTTTGATAGCGGGTAGTAGCGGACAATAGTGGACCGCATAGATAGTGAAAGCAAATCCCAACCACAATTCCTCGGCAGGCATGTGGAAAGGCCTGCTACCCCGGGCGCCCAGTCCCCGTCCAATGTATGTTTGCCTTCGAGTTGACCTCGCAGCCTCTCAGCGGGCCAATGTATCGTCAGAAGCTAGCGGAGCTTGTCTCATATGTATCTGTGTGTAGGTTGTGACATCCGTCGTCTTGTCGTGTTATTCCTGGAAAGTTCGAGTTCCGGGAGAACCAACAATTGCTTTGAAACTGCGCGATATGTAGTTGGGGTAACAGGTATCATGCCGCAGCTGGGCGACAGGTAGTACCTCGCCCTTCACCGTTTGTGCAGATCAGGGCGTACCACTTTTTCCCATGGATGTCGGGGCCTGAGAACTAATTGACATGATGCTTTTGCAGCTTGTAGTCTTGTTCTCCTTCGATCTGAGAAGTCATACATTTTTAACCTTGATGCTGAACGTGATGATTGCTACCACAGTGAAGAGGAAGGCAGCAAATCCAAAGGGCAGCCCAAGCCATGCTTGGCCCAGACGTAGGCCGAATCGTAGGGCCCATGACATGCCCAATGCTGCTACAAGGGCACCAATTCCCTCCATGACAGAGATCAGTGCGTACAGGCGTCCAATGTCGCTTGTTGTCTCTATACACTGAGATTCTACAAGTGAGGTCACCAAGCTGCGGGCTGTAGGTGCAAAACCAGTCCCTAGTGTGAACAAAATGATGCCTATAAGAAGGAAGTCAGTCAATCCCTGTCCGTCTGACTCGAGGTGCGCATCATGTTCCTTACCGATGATCATAACAGCAGGGGTCGCCGACAAGAACAGTAAAAGACTGCCAAGAAGCAGGAATATAATGCTCCCTCTTGCGAGCAAAAGATCTCTAAGAGGCGCTGCACCAACACGTCGGAGGGTGAAAGAAGCAATCGCTGGTAGAATGGCGGCAAATAGTGCAATGTTCACAGCCGCACGCAAAGAAACCAATAGTCCAGCCTACATGGCAAATGAGGTCAGCCACAAGAAAAAAGACAGGGAATCGAGCAAATACCTGTGAGAGGGACCACCCGTATCTTTTGGAAGCATATTGGAAAAGGACATTCGTTGACTGACGGCCGACTTTGGAAATCAAGAATGTCAACACGAGAGCTGCAACCGCCGTATCTCGTTTGACAAAGATGAACGAGTCTCTAGTCTGGCGGATCCAATTCGTCCACCGCTGGTCAAATTTTGAATCGTCTTCTGGCTCGGCAGCGCTCGTGGATATTGGCGGGCTCGCAGAATCGTCGACAACCTCTTGAGGGATAGGTGGCGGCAGCGTTTCGGGCAATGTGAGAGTCATCACGGAGCTGATGCCTTGAAAGAACACTGCGCCGAGAAGGGGGATCCATATGTTCTTGGACATTAAAAAGGAGGTTAGGGGAGGAATTGCCACGTCTGCAATTAGGTCGGTACAGAATCGATAGAAAAACACAGTGGTTCTTGACTCTGGTGGGACTACATCGGCAACGATGGTGGTGAGTATGGTTGTTCCGACTGATACACCGCCACCAAAGAAAGAGAAGAGCGAGGACAGCCAAACATAGTGTAAGGGCAAATGCAACGCCCCGGCCTACTCACAAGAGCAAGAGAGGTTAGTCCGAAGGGCGCGCAGAGTGCTTGCAGGGGCCATGGAGACTTACCGAAAAGAGCGTCCAGATGTAAGACATTGTATAGCCCACCATTGCCATAATCAAGATCCGCTTTCGGCCATGCCTGTCGGCGAGATAGCCGTATGGCACGGGAAGCAAGATAGCTGGAATGCTGTCGAAGAAGAGCTGCCACCCCAAGACAGAAGCGAGTTCGTCCTGGACGGGATTGACTTTGCAGAGGTGTTCCGGAATCTCGCCGTGTCTGTGAACCAGCGAAGAATCCTCTCGCCTATAGTATTCAGCGCAGATGATAGACTCAAAGAAACGGACCCTCGGCGCAGCGTAAAGTGATTCTCCTATGTCGGAGACGACGGCGATAACTATAACCAGCGCGACAACGTGCATCCATGGCCAGGAACAGCGTGGGAGGTGCTGGCATGTGGATGGCCCATCGGCGGACTCCTGCGAATCGGGAGCCGGTGAGAGAAGAGGTCTTGCTTCAGTGGCCTCATCATGGCCGCCCACGACATGGCGTGCCATATGCAGGCGTGGACGTGATGAATGACAACTGGAATGAGACTGTGGCAGCTCGGAGCGCCAGGAGAAACTAGAATGATGAAGTGGAAAATGACATATTGACTTGGGAAACTACCTACTCGCTAGGCGGGCATGCGAAGCCGCCCACCAAGACGAAGCAACTATCCCGAGGCCCCTGAAGCTGTGGCATCCGCGTTACAATGAAAGATAATACCAAGCGCCTAGCCTATGAGATGAGCTGCCGGTACCCAGCCGCAGGCAGCAAATTCCAACTAATCAGGTTGTGCTACTGGGCCATGACACAATACATACCTACCTACCTACCTAGGTAGGTAGGTACCTAGGTATCTAGGTCCGCACATACTTACGCAACATTAAGCGCACCCACTCGGGCGAAATGTGCGCCACGGCCCACCACAGTCCATCAGGAAAATGCCCGGCGGCACGTTCCTGCATTGTTTATCTAGTCCGGGTCCATAGGTGGACACACATACGCCCATTTTGTACCGATTGGGGCCCTGGGGGCAGGAGAGAGCTTTAGGTATTAGTGTATCTCGTATCCGCGGAGTTTAACATAAATACAGTTAGTGTCCAGGTCGTAGGTAAGCTATTCCAGAGCCTTTCGAGTAGTGAATCAACCTTTTCAGCTCCAACATGTTTGTGATTCGTCGGCATAGGACCTTCACGAATTCTACTAGCTCATTTCCCGCCAACTAAAGCTAGACAACCTAAGTGCGAGTAGGTATTGAACCAGGGTCCCGGTCGAGGATCAAGTCTCCCACGCTTACTATATGTTCCGAATGAAAGCTTCCCCACGGCTGGCCCCCATCTGTGCTTGTGATCATGCAGCCGTCGGTCGACTCATGACCTGACCACTCCCGACAAGCAGCAGGTGCTCTGTGAAGGGGCCATCAAATGAAATTTGAAGGCATTCGAAGTGTAGCTCGACACCGCTAGGAAACTGCAGCACGAACATGGGACGGCAAATGTCTACATCGCTGGTGAAGTTGCAGAAGGTCAGATCATGGTTACCTTGCGTGCAGGCACAACGGACTTCATACCTCAAGCGGCCGAACTAGGTTGTGCAGTGAGAGCACAGTTATCCCTCGGCTGGGAGGCCAGCACTGACGGAACCCCTAGGACGCCATTGAGCAAGCTGACCCGACCACGGTTTATGTATTGGTGGCAACGGTGGAGACCTTCTTCTCGTCTGGTATCACGGATGCGTTCGAGCTGTTCGACCACATCCGTATAGGCGAGCTGGGCAACGCCATCGGTTGTGGTTTGAGAAGCCAGCGTCCATCGTATGCCATGTTCAAGCAGCGCTTTTTGGGCTGGCAGGTCCAGAAGACGGTCCTCGCCAACGCCAATGCTGGTGCCGGTCGCAGTCCCAAGAATACGTCGCGGCCCACGACAACGACTCTGGCCGGTCTTGTTGGGGGCGAGGGTTGCTGAGCCTAGCTGCTCACAGTTGGACACCTGGTCGTGAGCAGATGATGTCTTAGGGCTTCCGTTGGACGCCACTGGAAGGCCATTTCGGCCCTTGTCGACTTGTTTAGGGTAGCCCTCGGGGTATTCTCTGCGGTCTTCCGACTGCGAAGCCGATTCACCGCAGTCACGAGCAGGCGGCAGCTCCTGACGTAAGGGCTGAACCATGCCCATATCATGTTTTCCATCCGCGGGCGCTCTCTCTTTGCTGTCTCAATTAGAGGGCTTCTCAGGGTACGTGACGCTGGACCCGGAGTTTCATTCGTCTCTTTCACTGGCTTGGGAGGGGTGTTGGAAGAGGTCTTTTGAGTCGCTCGGCATGGTTGAACGAAGTTTCAGATCCGGCAATGCCAAAGATGTCAAGGGCCTTGAAAAGACTTTGTTCGGGGAATATCAATTACCAGTATAGTTCAATCCGAAAATTGATCGAAATCTGCAGAAGTCAAAGTGTGTTCTTTATTTCAATGTAGGGTAGTCAAAAACAGTGTGAATTGAGAAGGGAAGAAGACTTGGTGATCCTGGTTTCGGAGAGGCCTTCGCTGATCCAGGATAGGGTCGAAGACCAGACAGGAGGAAAGTGAGGGGAATTGTGCGTTGTGGTCTGCAGCTACTTGAGTGCAACTCGAAAAGGTCTCTGTTATTGCTCTTAATCATGGGTATGAGAGTGCATGGAGGTATGGGCCGTTGGTAGTTCTTTGAAACATAGCCTGAGTACACTCTTTGAAGTTGATGCAGGCGGCTTCCTAAAGGACATATTTGTACTTTGTTCCTGGCAGCAGTCATGGAAGAGCGGTAATTGTTCAGCCATAATGGTTGATCAGTCCACAAAGACCCCCATGCGTCGAGACAAAAAAAGTACGTTCGAGTCACAACGTGTAAGGCACATGTCTTTGGTTTGCGCGATGATGGGCGCCATGATTGGGAAATGTCGCTGGGGCGTGCTTGCTAAACTAATCCTGGAGACGCTTACTGGTCAATGTGATACTTCACTTGTGGTCAACTGCTGAATGGCTATCTGACTTCCGGTTGGCTGCTAAATGCTCCGCGACATCTTGTAATGGGCCCATCTAAGGTGTTGTGCGCTAGTTAGTCTACCGTAGCTATTCTTGATGGTCCCTTTGGACTCTTACAATCTAGATGTGTCCTTCATTCACGTCAACACCGCGAAATCTCTGGGTCTTGTCTTGTAAAAAATCTTCCAATGCCCAGAGATGTCACCAGAGTTCCCTCCGACACGGACCGTTCAGAGGACCAAATCTATATGCTGAACTCAGCTTCCAGAAAGCGCTTGGCATGCGACGGAAAATGCCCCGGCAACAAGGCCGCCCACGCCGGGAACCAATCCTAAGACGGACGAGGTGAGAGTTCCCAGAAAACCACCACAGTCGAAAGAATCTGATTGCTCAGAGCAAGTGATGGAGAATGTATATGCCATCTCGGCTTGGTTATTGCCGCTCTGATCGTTGATCACAACCTGACCGAAGGACACGGGTTCGAATGATTTGGCGAAGATCTGCTGGAGCAAAGATGCCATGTAGTCTCGCTGATTGGTGTTGTCATAGTTACCAGTCATGCTCGCGGAAATGGTGCAAGTCGTTTGGTCACAGGGGGCCACAAGGGGTTGGCAGTTAGGATCAGATTGAAATGACGCGCTCAGGGTAGCTTGGTTTGTCGGATCACATCCATTGGTGCCACAGGCTTGGTTGACCGCTTCCGATAGGAAACCTGAGGGATCGGATATGAGACGTATCTGGTTGGTGCCGACCGTGACTTCGGCCGTCGACTGTGCAAATGGGTTGTCAAACAAGGCCTGGTTGAAGCATACGACGCCGCTTCCAATTACAGGAGTGCACTGGGCAGTATTCACCGACGAGATGAAGTTGTTGCAAGCGTTGTCCGAATACAGATTGCACTGAAAGCCGGGGTCAACACTGATGACGTTGACGGATTGGTATTGGCTGGTTGCAATGCAGTTGCTACTGTCGGCTGCATTACCACTGTTGGCATGGACGTTGGTAACAGATGATCCGCCATCATTGCCACAAGCGTCGTCGGAAAACGTTTCGAGGGAGATGTCTGCAGCAACAAAGCTGACCAACAATAGAAGAGCCGAGCTCTTCATAGCTGCTTCAAATGTGATGTACTTGCTTGAATGGGACCTTTGGTTTGGAATCTGGCTCTTGATGGAGGGCTTTGCCTCTTTTCCTCACACTTCTGTTGAGTCTTAAGAAGAACTTGATGATATACACCCCAGTGCCAACGCGAGTCCGGTCGTGATACCTTCGCCTGCTTATGGCTCTTCAGTGGGCTGTAGCGCTGATTCCCCATCAACTGCGCCTGCGTCCTGCTAAATTAATCCACTGTCTACTCTGAAATGAATTGAATAATCACTAGCATCTCGAGTAGCGCTTGTCTAGGTTTTGTATAAGATGAATTATATGACACGGCCCCTGGCTTTCGGCCGAAAAGAGGGTGTAGATACCAGAAAAGGACTGGCTTCTTCGATCTGCCACCAGGTAATTGCCCGGAATGGGGTCCATGCGTATTAACTAGGTAGAAGGTTGTATTCGAGTGGAGCCATGAGGACTATCAGCCGGCTGTAGCAAGGACCCGCTTTCTCTCAGCTCCTGCCCCAACTGCCCCAAGCGAAATGAAGCGGGTCTACGAGGTACAGTGTACCTCACACGACGCCAAACGCTTGACGGTGACTGGTAGACTCAACAAGATGTGCCCTTGGATCAATTTTCACGCTGGATCCTGACCCCAACTGGTCTTACGAGAGATTTCTGGATTCATGTTTGGGTAGTATCTGCTGCTGATTATAGAAGAATTTATTAATTTTACTATTGTTGGAAATGAATGGAGCGCACTGAAACCCGGTGCTTTGTATATAGGATAGGGCAGCCTTCACTCTCCAGGTTCCTACGAGAAGTGGGAGTGGAAACAATTCCAACAGCGGCAAACTTACAATTGGTTTTATCAGAGCGCTTTGTCCCTCCTTCACACTGCCGAAGCATCGCCAAATATGGACTCTCATCCATCATCTGCCTACGAGCCCTATAGGCACGCCGCAGACGCCGATAAGGCAGAGAGAAATCTGGATCCAGCGGACGACGCACAAACTCTTCTTGGGCAGCAGCAGCGGTCCCAGAAAGCTCGCCCTCTAAAAGGACGAGCCTCTCACGATCCTCTCCAACTGGTTCGAGGCATTCTGCGAGCTTCCGCATTGATCCTCGCCATAACCATTTTAGCCTTTCAGGGTTACTCGGCATATACCTGGCTCAACACGCGCCATCAGTCGTCCAAAAACGTCAGGACGGGCTTACAAACAGCGTCATGGGCTGTGCTCGACATGTGGCCAACATGGACAATTCTGAGCGTCGCAGCGTTGGCGACAGTGGTCTACATGCTGGCCTTCGGAAGCTTGTGTGGCTGCGTATGTTCTGGTGTCTAATCCACATATCTTTGACTTGCAAGTTGTGCTGAGCTAATAATTGGGCCACTATAGTGCCGCAGCATGCGAGAGGGTCCGGTCCATGTTTGGAGCGTCTACTTGAGCTCTGTGCTACTCATCTCCACATGGACTGCCGCACTCGTGTACTTCAAGAAAGTGGACTCTCTGGGCACCAAGAAACAGAACTGGGACCTTTGGTCATGGACCTGTCACCGCAGGTCCACCCACGGTAGCATTCCCTGGAAAGCCCTTTGTGTGGAAAATGTGCGTCAAATCCATTCCCCCTCAGCAGTACTGGGAAACATCTTCTCAAAGGATATATTCATGTCGTTGAACAAATGAGTCGTGTGCTAACTGCCAACCGCAAAGTTTTAGACCTACACTTTCTACGCTTCCCTACTCGTCGTGATCATGGAGGTTATTGGCTTGCTTCTCTTTGTGGTCTGGCATCGAGGGTTTCGAGCGAGCACAGTGTATAAGAGTATTCAGTCTTCGCGGGTAGGATACCATCGATTTGCCACTGAGTGAAGAGTTTACTCGACCCGATGTCAATGTCACGGTATTGTACCAGAATGCCGGCTATACTGTATACAGCCACCAGCACGGAATGTCTGCAGAGTTGCGCAATAGGGCTCTGAAACACAGCCGGATAAGCCATCCAAGGGCATACTGGGTGGTCTTCTTGTGCATGCTAAATGTGCATATCGATACGTATATATGAAGGCGATGAAGGCTACTGTAACTAAGAGCAGACAAAGAGCTCATCCACGTTCATATGCCCGCTTGCGCACTGAATTGAACTGGCAACAGCGTTTCATACGTCCTTTGGGTAGCTTTATCAGGCTAAATCATATTCTATTTACTGAACCCGTCTGTGCTTAGTGATTAGCAATACCTAGAGAATACATAGCCAGCCCACTAGGCTCAGTCGAAGGCCGATGGTTAACTGCATCTCGATAATTACGTCTCTGGTAGTAATCGATATAGTATAACTAAGTACTAAGACTACTACTATGAAAAAAGGCGCTGAAAGTGCGGAAGGGGAGATAAAAGCGGGGAGTCGGGCCGAGTCGCACGTGATCTCCGACTCGTTTTTACCTACCTGTACCTACCTAGGTAGGTACCTAGGTAGGTACCTGTAAATGCCAAGTCTCCAGCCCGCCATACATGTTCCAACACCGAGCTTGCGAATCTCGCCAAATCTTTAGGATCAGCCTGTTGTTGCGCCATCTCAACGCCGACTATAACTTCAATACCTTCGACGTGTGGTCCTACGAGTCTCATTGACACCGAGTCTTGCATGTATCGCGGGCGTACCAAAGTCGTCCGATCAATTGGATGAATCACCACCCGTGGTGTGCAAGATGCGCGTCAGGGAACCCTGAAGACCTGCCATGAACGGGAACGCCAATGGCGACACTGAAACCACCAATAAGGATAAACCCACCCCATTCCCAAAAATCGAAGAGGAGGTCGGCTACAGTGGGCAGGAGCGAGAGTTTCGTGAGATCAACAAGCTGAAGAAGCGCAATGACGGGGCCCAAGGTCACAGGAGGTCCGTTTCCGGAAACCTCCTTTCACGGTTCCTCCGCACAAACAGCGACCAGGACAAGACGGACGGCGGCGATCGAGATGGACCGGAGTCTCCTCATCGGGGACGAGGTGCCATGGCAGAAGCACAAACCCAAAGCAAGAGAAAGAGGAAGGGGTCACTAAGAAAAACAGTGCTGGGAAAAGGAAGGGACAGAAAGACCTCTGATGTCAAGAAGTCACCTCTCTCTGGTGCAACCTCGCCCTCTGTGCAGCCGACAGATGAGGAGCAAGAAGCGCCGCCAACTCCTCGTGCCAGACAAGATCTCTCAAGCCCTGTGTCGCCTGACTCACCCCCATCGTGGCCATTTCGCACGTTATCACGGGTTTCGATACCCTCCATCCGCAGCAGTATTGCTTCTGTCGATCCAGCCTCGTCTGCAGCCTCAATCATCAGCCCCAACTTGGCTACTACCGATGCTTCAACAGATGATGAGGACCTCGTTTTACCAGGCATGCCCCCTCTGCGGAAACCCCCATCGACATCCTCGTTTGGGACAGACTCCTATTTCCCCATCCAAGATCCCATGCGTCGGATGTTCGGCTCGCGCGCACGCTCGCCGCTAGCCTCGCAACCGCAGTCTATCGCCGGCACGCCGCCCGACGAAGAGGTCTGGGACTACTCCGAAACCGCCTTTTGGGGTTATGTGATCTTGTTTGTGACGTGGATTGTCTTCGTCGTGGGCATGGGATCCTGCTTCGGGGTGTGGTCGTGGGCTTGGGACGTGGGAGAAACGCCGTATGCCCCCCCGGAACTGGAAGACGATCCTACTCTACCTATTGTTGGGTATTATCCGGCGCTGATGGTCTTAACCTGCATTATGGCTTGGGTGTGGGTCGTTGTAGCCTGGGTCGGGATGAAATACTTTAGACATGCAGATTTCAGAGGGGATGACGGATGATGCACAGCAACTTTGAAAGGTGGTAGGAAATCGAGATCCAGTATCAGAATCACCCTGTTCGAACAATCTGTAAATGGTAACGACTCCCCAAGCACCTTGCTCGGACCGAACGGTTTCCATCATGAACATTCTGCGCCTTGATATCAATTTCGACCCAGAGCCCCTCAAAATTTTCCATTTCAACAACACGTTTCTGCGCTTCCACAGCTGACCGTCAAGTCCTCAGGAGCAAGGCACTCTTCATCAAGCCATGCGCATCCTTTTCAAGGATGTTTCGGGTGCAAGGCATGAGGATTAAACCAGTAGCCGATCTGTCAGCCCGTTGGTTTCCCGGAATTTCTGAAGCTGCAGTTTGGCCATCTTCTCGCGGAAAGCATCGAGATCTTCTTTGACTATATATTCCCCTGTAGCATTCTCGAGTTCGGTGCCCGGGACTGGGGTACCAGCCAGTGGCGTGGGTGTGGCAGTCCCCCCACCAGGAGCTTTTGACACTAGCCCTTTGGACCTAGCGAAACCCGTCGAGCGTTCCGTCGAGGGATCTGGATCATAATATTCATCCTTGATCGGCCGCACGTACACCGTCTGCTTACAGATGGTAACGATTGTATTCGTCGGGACGGATAGCCAGTTGTGCCGCTCGAATGTGAGCGGCTCGCTGGCAACTAGGACCACGTCGGAAGCCTTGTCTCTCCTCTCCATCTTGAATTGTCCTTTCATCTTCCCTTCAACCCATGCAGTACCAGACGAGTAGTACAAGCTGGCGGCTGCGTCGGTTTTGCTGCTGACATATCGGGTGACGATGACCGAGTGGCCGTCCGTAACAGCAAAGTTGAGAAGACTTCTGGTCTCCACGTCCGGAACTTTGTATTCAGGAGGAACGGCCTTCACAAACGCATTGATTTGGGCGATAGTCTTCTTCATGGCCCGTCGCAGGATCTTGGTATCGAAACCACCTTCGGGCTCGGAGCTGGGATCCACTCCTTCACGCTCCAACGTGTGAAGAAACAGTGCAAATGCCCATTCCGAATCAGTGCCCCCTTTCACACCGAGGAACCATTTGTCCGAGAGACTGTCGGCGAGCGGGCGTTTCACGTACTTCCATGCGCCAATGTTGCCATTGTGCATCCACATCAAAGTGTTGTGCTGGAAGGGGTGGCAATTGTTCTCGGCCAACGACCCTTCGGTGGTGGCCCTAACGTGGGCAAAGATCAGCCTTGAGGCTGTCTTGGGCGCGAGCCGTTCGAGGTTCACGCAGTTCCACGCTGGCAGGGTTGATGTAAAGATACATGGATCGGGCCCTAGTTCTGGCTCCGTGTACCAACCAACACCGAAACCGTCTCCGTTGACGGGGCGGCGGCTGTCCAGGCGAAGGCGGCTGTCATAAGATTGCGTGAGAATGCTGTGTGATGGTTCAGTGATCAACTTGGAGAGTATTATCGGCTCAGAGCCCTTGTAAACCTGGAATCTGTGAGTAAGAAAAATATAGGAAAAGGTACGGGCAAGGACAGTACGTACAAGAAATCTGCACATTTTCAAACAAGCAAGATTCCAAAATCAACCCGGTTTTCGAAGAATGTTGGTGACTGAGTCATATATTCGACCAGGAGCATTATATTTCTCCTGGCTGGGAATGGCACGGAGGCAAAAGGTCCTCGAGGTATCAGCAGAGGCCACTGTCCAAGTCCCACGCACCAAATGATCCCAACCCGATAACGCCAGGACCCCGGTGTATACGGAAAGGAGAAAAAAGGCAGAAACAGTCAGGTTGCTGATATTTTCTTACGAGGACAAGGTGGCACACGCAAATAGATTGCTGGTTGACGCCAAACTTCACCGCCAATCCAGTGGCCAGGATCACGAGATTGTGGCTGCACATGTGGCGCCATAAATATGTGGTGTGGCTCACCACTGCAGGCTGCGATCAATGTGAGGAGAGCCACAGAGCGCCATGGCCTCCCAACGTCATTCGGCCTCTACTTCTCGCGTCTTTGTCGCCCCGACACACTACGTCCTGCTGTGTGTCAGTCCACACCATTTCCACAACTTTTTCGTTGACTTGTCTTCCATCAATCTTCATGTTCGACCTGGCCTGGGATGAGCGGTAGACTCCTCTCTGCGAGGGTCGCGCCTTTACTGCGCCAGCGAGGCGTCTCAGCACGCCTCCTTCACCACAATTATGCCCTAGCCAGGGCCGGTGGCCTGCTGAGGCCAAATGCACGTCTTCCTCTACGGGGGTGGCCCGTCGGGTCCAGCTCAATACACAATGTCCCCGCCGTCCGATCCATCTCTTTTGCCAGGATTCTCCCAAAGCTCGCATTGAAAATGGCTCGCATTCCTGCCGTCTTTGGAGCGAGCATCCTTGCCGGACTAGCCTATATCCAATACCAAGCCGCCCAGGCTGGAACCTATACCCTGAACGCTCTGAAAAAGGCTGGGGAAGCTGTCACGGAGACTTCGTCAAATATGTTCGAGGGCGCCAAGGGCATCGTCAATCAAATAGGAGTCGGCTGGGAGCGCACAAAGGAGGAGACACATCTACCGGAATGGCTCCAGCAGTTTTTTGAGAAAGGAGAGGAGTCTGGCGACGGAGGGTCTGGCCCACAGGCGCCTAAACCGACCAATTCCGCTGTGGGAGCTGCTGCTGCTTCGGGCGCCGCAATAGGGATCGAACAATCGAGTGAAGACGACGAGCGATCGGGCGCCCAGATCGCGCGGGATGATCAAATGATGGTACTGACGAGAAAGATGATTGAGATTCGAAGCATTCTCAACACAATCGGCCAAGGAGGGGCTTTGACGCTTCCGTCTATTGTGGTTATCGGATCACAATCATCTGGGAAAAGTTCGGTTCTCGAGGCACTCGTCGGACACGAATTCTTACCGAAAGGCTCTAACATGGTCACCAGGCGTCCGATCGAACTCACTCTGGTCAACACACCGGATGCAAAAGCAGAGTATGGCGAATTTCCTACCCTCGGAATGGGCAAGATTACGGACTTTACACAAATCCAAAAGATTCTAACTGACCTCAACCTCGCTGTTCCCCCGGAGCAATGTGTCACCGATGACCCCATCCAATTGTCTATCTATTCACCCAACGTTCCTGACTTGTCCCTGATCGATCTGCCGGGTTATATCCAAGTATCCGGCAAAGATCAGCCTTCTGAGCTGAAGCAGAAGATCTCAGACCTGTGCGACAAATACATCCAGCCGCCCAATGTGATCTTGGCCATCTCCGCCGCGGACGTGGATTTGGCCAATTCAACTGCTCTAAGGGCAAGTCGAAGAGTTGATCCTCGAGGTGAGAGGACAATCGGTGTCATCACAAAAATGGACCTGGTCGACCCCCGCCGAGGCGCTGAAATTTTGTCGGACCGAAAGTATCCTCTCAGGTTAGGTTACGTTGGCGTGGTGTGTAAGATACCACAGTCAGCAAGCCTTTTCTCCAGGTCTGGCGTCAATGTGACAAGTGCCATCATCAAGAACGAGAATGCGTACTTCTCATCACACCCGTTACAATTTGGTCCACAATCAGAGCTCGCCGTGGGCACACCCACGTTACGGCACAAGCTCATGAACGTCCTTGAGCAAACTATGGCAGCGAGCCTTGCTGGCACGAGAGACGCCATTGTGCAAGAGCTGGAAGAAGCAACATATGAGTTTAAAGTACAGTACAACGACAGGCCGCTCAGTGCTGAGTCATACTTGGCCGAAAGCTTGGACAGCTTCAAGCACTCCTTCAAGGAGTTCAGCGAGCACTTTGGCAGGCCTCAAGTTAGGGCCTTGTTGAAAGATGTCCTGGATCAGAAAGTGATGGACGTGCTGGCCAAGAGATACTGGAATAAACCAGTAGAGGATCTATCCCCGGTCCAGTCTGAAGCAGACCCGTTGTCGGAATTGCCCAAAGCTGATCCGGGTTCGTTGTATTGGCAGCGCAAACTGGACGCTTCGACATCGGAGCTCACCAAGCTTGGCGTTGGAAGACTCGCGACTACGGTGGTGGCGGCGGAACTGCAAAGCCATGTCGACAAGCTGATCGCCGCCTCAACGTTTGCCTCGCACCCGTACGCTCAGCGTTCAATTGTCGACGCGTCATCGAGCATATTGAATGATCGATTCTACAGCACAAGCGATCAGGTCGAAAATTGTATCAAGCCATTCAAATTTGAGATTGAAGTCGAGCCGAATGAATGGAACAAGGGACGCGAAAATGTCGGCCATGTGCTGAAGAATGAACTGAAAGCTTGTGAAGCTGCGCAAAGACAATTGGAAGACAACATCGGCAAGAGAAAACTTAAAGATGTCATGGGATTCATCGATCGAGTAAGGAAAGGCGAAGTTGTCCTGGAAGGAGATGGAACTGGCGGTGCTGGTGGCTTTTCATCAGCTCTTCTTCAAAAGGGTATGTCTTGGTTCCGCCAGTTGTAAACATGTCAAACTAACTATGCCACAAAGGTCGGGAAGCCGTCTTCCTCCGTGATCGCGCTGACATCCTTAAGATGCGCCTGATGGCGGTCAAATCCAAGCAATGCGCCAACCTCAAAAACAAATACTACTGCCCGGAGGTCTTCCTGGACGTCGTCGCTGACAAATTGACTTCCACAGCGGTGCTTTTCCTCAACGTCGAACTCCTTTCTGAATTCTACTACAACTTCCCCCGTGAGTTGGATCTGAGGCTCGGCCGTCATTTGGAGCCAAGCGAAATTGAGCAGTTTGCAAGAGAAGACCCCAAGATCAGAAGACATCTCGATGTCATCAAGCGGAAGGAGATGCTCGAATTGGTATTGGAGAAGATCGAGAGTCTGAGGCAGTTGGAGGGTCGGACGAAGACGCAGCAGGCGAAAGCGTCACAGGCCAAGGAGCGAGGGCGGTGGAGCTTGTTTTGATGAACCAACGTGTTGATGATACCACCATTTGTAGCGTCTATTCCTCGGGTGTTGTGTCGATAGAAATAATATGTGGACATGCCTCTCTCGCCGTGGTCCGTACTCCCTGCGCTTGCCTTCGTGATGAGCGCTTCCTCCTTTTCACTATCTCAAAGGTCCGGTCCTTGTTGTTCTAGGGTCTGCAAATGGGTTCCTGACTTGTGTGCCCGAGTTCCACGGTATCTCTCCGTCCACCTCTTCAATGGCACCATTGATGCCGCCCAATTTGTCACCTATCTTGATGACACTGAATCGGATCATTCGCGGATCTAGACTCAAAAATCGCCGGACATCCTGTTGCGCCTTGACCGAGGCATCGAACTGCATCACAAAGTAATGTCCCTGGTGGTGTTGAGTCTGATGTTTCGTGGTTGGTCGGGGGAGGTCGAACTGGCCCCAGTTCTTCATGCCGCGTATCACGCCGTTGGAAGCCAGAATCTGCTGGCCAGCGACGCGGGCGATTCTGTACACGGAGCAAGACGTGTTAGCGGCTTCAGCCATGCAAGGAAAGAAGTTGGGAGGCGAATGTACTCTTTGACATGATTGAGATTGCCCGGTCGGACCTGTTCAAGGCTAGTTAGATCTCGATTTGAATTGGGAGAACACAATGTCCGAGATACTCACAACAGCTATCAGCTCGTACAGCATCTCTACTGAGACCGTGATATCATGATCAAAAGTATTGGGGGTTGGATTGCTAGATTGGTTTGCAATTGAGAAATTCCCTGGGGTGATCTCCACTTTTGACCGGCGCGGTTTGACTGCGGGTTTGTCTCCGTCGCCGCAACATTCATCGATTGCATCTGCGGAGCTCTCATGAGCGCCCTTTTAAATACTCGCGTCTTTCCACCCCATATCCTGCGTCAAGTCAGAGCAGACAATGAGTTCTCCAGCACTTGGTCGGCTCATGCCGACACTCTCAAGCTTGGCCACAAAAAGAATTGTCGTGCCGCGGTCCTCAGTCAAATCTCAGCTAGGTCAATGGATGTACCCTGCTGCAAGGTCATTTTCTGCGAGACCTGCCTGTACGTCACACCCTGTCTGGATGTCGAACATCACTGACTCTGCGTCCTCCACAGTATTCGTGAAGAAATACACCGAAGACCATGAGTGGATAGAGCTAGACAGCGACGGCAAGACAGGTATGCATTTCAGCGCAATCTTCTCCATCTCCAGTGTTGTACGCTGTACTTACATTTTGGCGCAGGAACCATAGGCATTACCGAGTATGCAGCCAAGGCCCTGGGAGATGTCGTCTACGTCGAACTTCCTGAACTTGGCATGGAAGTGACCAAAGGCGACACGATCGGCGCAGTCGAATCCGTCAAGTCTGCCTCCGATATCATGACTCCTGTGTCAGGCAAAATCTCGGACCATAACAAGCTGTTGGAGGAGAAGCCAGGAACGATCAATAAGAGCCCGGAGTCCGAGGGCTGGCTAGCGAAGATCGAAGTCAGTAATCTGAATGAGCTCGACAGTCTGATGAGCAAAGAGGACTACGATAAATTTGAGAAAGAATGAGACATGTTAATGGTACAAGAACCAACACAATTGGCCGCTTGAAACTGGACTGCATGTCAAGTACATAAGGGAAATATCCACTGGCGGGGGCCCTTCCAGCTACTTGCTCACTGATCCTGTTCTCCCTGTTGCCCATGCAACCCGCTGACGCTGGTATCCTCGATCTTGTGACGATGCTTGTCAGGGTTTATATCAAAATCAGCTTCATGTGCATCATCACTATCAGCTTCACCAAGGAATGCGGCGTTCTTCGCATCCAGACTTTCTCGCTTGTCTCCTTCGGCCGCTCTTCGTGCCTCAAAGCCGTCATCGCTGTCGGCCTCCCCCAGGAAGGCGGCGTTGTTTGCTTCCAGGGGCGGGGTGTTGTCTCCTTCTATAGTCTTGCGGACCTCGAAGTGATCATCTGAGTCTGCTTCACCCAAGAAAGCCGAATTGTCGGCTTCGAGGGGCGGTGGAGGTGCCCCGTGAGCCTCTCGAACGGCATCGTGCCCTTCATTGCTGTCAGCTTCACCCAGGAATGCAGCGTGAGTGTTGTCTGCAAACACTTCGGCTTGTGGGGGGACAGTGCCTGGAGGTGGCGTCTGGCTGTTCAAAGGGGTCGATCCTGAAGGGCTCGAAGTCGCAGCCGTGGGCCGGAGTTTTGCTGTAGACAGCTGAAAGGCCCGTTTGGGTGCAGCCCGAATCGGGAGACTGAGGGCCCCGGACCGGGCTGCTGAAGCTAGACCAAGCAGTAGAGGTCGTGCTGCCATCGTTTCAATCAAGAACTATAGAGGTCAGTTTGAACGGGAAACTGCTGTGCCGCAGCTCGAATAGAGGCAAGAATGAAGGGTACAGGACAGCTCTCAGAAGAACCCCTGCACGACGAAAGAGGGGTTGAGGGTGTGGCTGGGTGTCTTCTAATCACCTGATGGCAACAACAGGCATTCCAAAGCTGCACGCCCTGACTATCACTTCGCAAATGGCATGCTGAGGTGAGTTGGGTGAGTGGTTGACGAAGCAAGGACGCGGGTTCAAAGGGCAAATCAAGCATGAGCACCGAGCATGATTTGCGGGGAAGCTTCGAAGGAGGGACGATCCAAGGAGATTCTCGTCAAGCGAAGGCCAATCAGTCAAGACTCCGTGATATCCGAGCTTGGAAACCGTCATGGTGCAGACCAAAGGCGATCTATTTATGCCTATGGGCTTTGATCTCTGCGGCCAGAGAAAGGTACGTCCCCTCACCGGGGAACTTGAGGTGCATCTTTTTTCTTTCAATGACCGTTTGTCAGGGAACCAGCCTTCGCCGAGTCGCTGGCTTCATCGCTCAGCCGGATCACAAATTTGCCAGAAGTCTGTCTCAATTCATCAGAAATATTCACGAACCAGACACGAGGGCAAGAAGACGGGAGATGCCGCTCACCTTTCCAAAGTTCTTTGCAATATCAGACAGATCGTCCAATGTCGCCATTTCCACTGCCGGCTTGACGGCGCCCCGTTGCACGAACTCAATCGCCTCCCAAATGTCCTTTCTGGTTCCCACAGCAGAGCCGATGATCCGAATCCCTTTCGAGATACCCAGGATAGGGTGAAAGCTCACCATTTGATCCCCTGGCGGTATCCCCACGCAGACAAACGTGCCGTATGGAGCCACCAGTTCCAGTGCTGCCTGATACGCTTTGTCCGAATTGGCCATGACCAAAACCGCTGCTGCACCATCTCCCGTGAGGGCCATAACTGTTGCCGTGTCGAGTACTTTGGCATCATAGTACACCTCAGCGCCCAACTTCAGACAATACTCCTTTTTCGTGTCTCCGACGTCAATTGCGATAACCCGGTAACCCATCGCCCTTGCAAATTGAATGCCCAGAGCCCCAACGCCTCCTCCAGCGCCGGAGATGACCATCCAGCGGCCTGGGGTCGCCTCACTGACCTTGATGGCCTTGTACGCCGTCACCCCACCACATAGGATCGGAGCGACGAGATCGTCAGGCACGTCTTCGGGAATCCGAATCACATAGCGCGACGGAACAACTGCATACTCTGCGAAAGTGCCGTCTCTTCTTAAGCCAGAGCACAGCTTTGCCAAGCAGCGTGCCTCGCCGCCTGGCGATAGGCAGCAGAAGCATTCTTCGCACACGTCGCGTACCCACCCCAGACCAACTCGCGCTCCGACATTGATGAAGGAAGGATCCACTGCAGATCCAAGCTTCACCACCCGTCCAACGCCTTCATGTCCAAGAATGTCGCAAGTCGGACCCGAGTGGCCAGCTGCGAGATGGAAATCCGAGCCACATACTCCTGACACTGACAAGCGAACTAGCAAATCGGTAGGGCTGATGTCGGGGACAGGCACGGTCTTGGTCTCAAAGTGATATGTCCCATCGTGCCTCTAGGCCAGACGTAAGTGAGTGCTCCGAACCAGAAAGCGATTGTTGATAGCCCTTACCACCAAAATGGCGACTTTATGAGTTGTTGGGAGTGTCATTTTTCGTTCCCGTCGCCTAGCGCTTGGTTTAGGAATATCCTCGTCTCAGGTTGGTAGCCAGTGACTCGTTCAGGCTGGAGAGAGAGAAGCAGATATAGCTGAAGGAAACCTATCCTGGATGCCAAAGCCAGCCGGGTGACTTATCTGTTATCATGTTCTCGGCACATCATCTTGTATATGAAGTACCTGCCTTCTCGTCCCCGGCAGTTGTTCGAGCCTCAACCCTCGATCCGATGGCACCCCGTGCAGCCAGAGGCTAGTGAGGCTGACATGTGGGGTTGATTGGGGGCTCCGTGGGGCTTTTGTAGACGAGACACTGAGTCCTTCGGATCTTGGTGGTTTCTTTTCTCCCAATCCCATGGAGTGACTCGCTTATTGCCGTATCCTGTTGCAGCGTGCTCGGCGCTGAGATAAATTCCATCGCGGCCTGGCTCTGCCGTCAGCAACAAGCAAGTCTACTTACTCCCTGCGCATCCACCGCGTGAGCATTGGATCGAAGGAAAACCCGGCATATAATGACAATAGCTAACGAAGATCTCATTGGGGCGCTCTCTCCCACACCCGGCACCTCTAAGATGAGCCTATTTCGTTGTTTCTGGCAAACAGATTCACCTAAGGTGTCTTGTCATCCGTACGCAATCATGGCAAGCATGTATATCAGCAACAAACAGTGTTTGTCGGATCCAGCGATCCAGCGATCCCTTCTAGAGTCCGCACAAAGTCCGCAAACGAGTCCATATCTGACTTGCCGACGAAGCGTTGCCGGAAAGCTAGGAAAGATCTTTCATGATATGATTCTAAATGGCTTGCCAATTTTATTCGCATTCCTGCTCTGACACATAATTGCAAGACAGCCAGGTGATACTGCGGCGATGGCTATTTTGTTTGGCAGCGTGAAGGAAAGGAGCTTCCATTTGACTTGCCATGATCGATGGCGGTGATAGAGATGAGCACAGAAGACAACGCTTCTCGGCCAAGAAGCGATCTTTCAGTTCAAGGCGCGAGCTTTGCTATCTCAATGGGTTGCAACAAGTTGACCCAACTGGTTTGCGGTCATGCTGTCTTTACTTCCTCTTGCTTCATTTGCTCATCGCATTGCTTTAGCTCATTGATGATATCCTTCCTTCGAGCTCTATCTGATGCCGCAGCACGATCTCCGAATACTCGGTCCATATCCTCGAGGCTGCGCCCTTTGGTCTCTGGCACAAAGAACCACGTCCATACCCCACTCAAGGCACAGAAGACGGCAAAAAATGTGTACGCGCCAAATCCCCGAGTGTTCTGGATCAGAGGTGGAGTGATCAGACCGATGATGAAATTATTGAGCCAGTTGCTGCAGGTGCTCCACGCCACACCTTTCGCTCGCAGGAAGCTGGGGAAGATTTCGGATGGCATAGCCCACGGAACAGGTCCCCATGTCATGCCAAAGGCCAGCATGTATAGAAAAAGAAAAGCAACCGCTACCCAGCCTTTGTCTTTGTGATCGTTCCAGCTGTCAAAGTATAAACCGACCAAGACTGCAATGATGACGTGGGAAATGGTCATGATCACACTGCCCAACAGCAGAAGTGGCCGCCGTCCGAAGCGATCCATGGTATACAGGGACGTCGAAACTCCGAGAAGCTGGGTGACATTCAGAATGCCAGACAACACCAGCCGCATGTTGTAATTGACGTTCATGCTCTCGAACAAGCTCGGTGAGTAATAGATGAGGGCGTTGATGCCGACAAACTGCTGGACTGCGAAGATCCGTTAGCCGTAACGGTGCTGAGACAATGAAGGACTACTGACAAACGGAAAACAGCCTAGCAGAGGGCGAGTGGGACTTACAGAACATCAAGCCAATGCCGACCATGGTGCGTCGCCAGTAGCCTTGCTTGAAGCAATCGGCGTAGGCTGCAAGCTCCAGTTTAACAGCAGCCCAGCGAGACTGTCGACCCTTGACGCCGAGGTTGGGATGTTTCTCTTTGGCAACCTCCTTGTGAAATGCTACTTCAGCACGAATATCAAACCATTCGGCTTGAATTCGTGGATCGTCCGCTGGAACCCGGCGAAGTTTGACCAGAGCGGCCAGTGCTTCTTGATCACGTCCTTTTGATACAAGCCACCTGGGTGAAAAGGGGATGAAGAGGACGGAGACGCCGAGAAGGATCGCCGGTATGATCTGAAGAAGGAAAGGAAGTCGGAACGACCATTCCCCACCAATGTATCGCGTACCAAACGTCAGCCAGTAAGCGCAAATGATACCGAACACGATGGAGAACTCTTCGAGGACAAGCAACGTGCCTTTCACATCGTCAGTAACACGAACTATCTTGACGGTTCAGGTTAATGAGCCACCTACCCCTGATCTCTGGTGGTGACACCTCAGCGATATACATAGGAACGACCATACTCAGCCTAGCAACAAGATTCAGCTCAAGAGATCAAGAAGGTGAAAGAGCGATCATATTACATTCCAACACCAATACCGCCAATGAGCCGGCCCACAATCAGCATTGCATAGTCTTGCGCGGCGGTCTGCAAGATTGAACCAAGCACAAAAATGCAGACAGCCACACAAATCGAATATTTTCGGGATATTTTCTCGGCCAGCCAGCCTTGATTGAATGCTCCTGTGATGAGATGATTAGGTTTCATATGAGCTTAGCAGCACAGAGGGAACGCCCACCAATAAGTGCTCCCAGTTCAATCATGGCCGTCATGAATCCTTTCCAAAAGCCAGCTCCACTGGCAGTCTCGGAGACCCGGGGGAAATGGTCGAGGAATTGATCCATGACAAGGATGACGGAGACGACTCCTTGGTCTGCAGGTGCGAGTCAACCATGATGCTTGCCCGAGGGTGTAGTCTACTTGTATTGCGCACCATAGCCAAACAGAAAACCCCCAAGCCTGACGACGAAGGCGCAAAGGACGACATATTTGGATTGAAAAGTTCCGCGAAGACCTGAGAGTGATTTTCGTGAGCAGCGTTGCACTTCTTTGGAGGACCATCGCAAGAGACATTCATCGCTCTCACGCCTCGAGAGCACGAACCTGGCTTGACATAATTCTCCCGCAGTTCAACCATAGGATCGTCTGTCTGCACCACATGATGGTCGTCCATTGTCACTGGAATCTTGTTTCGATCTTGAATCTTAAGACCTTGGGTGAAGACGAGGTTGCCCTGTGTGACCATGAGTAGATAGAAATATCTCCCCCCTTTCTCAGAAGAATGTGCGTCTGGGCTATAATGTGATGAGCTATCACACGGCCCTTCCTGGATGTCTGTCCGAGTGCAAAGCGGCACCAGAGTATGCGGATCGAAAGTAGACTTGTCCCCATAATTTGAGATTGCTGTCGATCGTTATAGTTTTGTCCTCGTGGCCCTGAAAAATGATCCGACGTGGCAGCGCTTCCCCCACATGACGTCGTGATCATCGCTCAGTTTTCTCAGGCTGTGTTACACTATTGGGAGAACCAGAGATGGTCCAAGTCAAAGTTGGGGATTCTGGGGCTGGTCGACCTTGTCGCCAGCCAATGAAGCAAGATAAAAGAGCATTCCAGCCAAGTGGCAGACAGTTCCAACCGTGCCTATTGAAGATGCAGGTCACAGCCTCGCTGCCCGAGACTGTCTCCTCAAAAGAGCAAAATATATTCGATACAGCTTGTAGATGGTTGCGGGTTCATTCGAGGTACTGCTTGCAAGATGACAGGAAATTTTCGAAGCCAGCTTTTTGACCATGCCCTTTCGCGCATATCTATTCATACATTATCCAGCCAGGTCCTTTTACATCAAATCTTCCGACTATTTCAGCCCCAGAGGCAGGATTAATAAGTCGATCAAGTATTGAAAGTGGCTTCTTTTCAGCGGATTTTCACCGTGCTAGCAGTCATTCAGTAGCCCAAACCTCCTCTTCGGCTGCGTCCCAACATACGAGTTGATCAAAGGTATTCGGACCCAAGGCACAGTTCGCTTCCAGGTCAAAGTTGTGGTCATAGGTGTCGAGTACCTCCTTTTGGGTCCAGGGCTCCTCTCCGGCCTTCTTCGGGTCGCTCCAGTCGGCTGTCACGTCAGATCGATCCTTCTTTTGATCTCCAACCACTCCGACAAATGGAACGGCTGTGGCGTTGTCGTCACCGGACGGACAGATAGCATCAATCAGCCGTGCACAGGCAGCAGCCTTGGCCACCTTTATGTCTGGAAGCGACTTGAGCCTCTGCGCGGCGGCGTTGAGCATGGACATGGTGGTTACTGCCAGATAGTAGACTTCTCCCAGCTGCTGCAGAATCCGCCAACAGAGATAGAATTTTTGAAAACTTGTCTGTCGCACTGCGTCAATCTCTGACATGCTGTAGAGCAGGTGGGTGGCCACGGCTGGCTCCAAGACCGCGATCGCGGTATCTGGCAGCCACGAGATCAGGTGGTCAGTATAAAGCTTGGTGAATATGCTTGTAATACTTTTTGCTGCCTGCGAAACCATCTTCATTGATAGACTTCGCAGCTTGTTCTCGTTTGCGTTGGAGCATGACAGATTGAGCAGAGGCCGATACAATGTCATCAGAGTCATGGCGTAATAACCCGCCAAGAGAGCCTTGTGTACCCTCACGATCTCGTTTTCATTTCCATGTTCGATGTCGTGATTTTCAAGCTCAAGCTGTTGCACTTCAGTGGGTAGGTATCCATACCAGTTTTGAAGCTCTTGCCCGCACGTCATGATCTCCACCCATCTTGAAGCATTGATTTTGGGAACCAGAGATACAGCGGTTGCACTCTGTCCTGCAGCAGAGGGAGTTCTTTGGACTGTATATTGCACAGTCAAGATCTTGTCAATATATTCGGAAAGCTGAGCCAGAGCCATACAAGCACTTGCGAGCGTTTCCAACTCTGGTAAGCCGATATTGTGCACCTGCAAGCTTTTCTCAAGAGCCTCCAAAAGGGGTTTCAACCTGAAATCGTCGGAATGCAACGTGGGGACATGGAAGCGGAAGACTTTGTTTTGGACCGGCCTCCGTAACGCGACAGCAAGCAACCTCTCTCTGATGACAAGAGTCCACCATGTCATCTTGAAGGAACGTCGAAGCTTTGGATCTGAGAGACTGCTGGTGGAATCGAAGTTGAGCCCAATGCTGGTTGCGTGCAACGTTGCGATCCCGACCCAATAATAGCTGTCACGAACGCCTTCGGAGTCCCCATCCCAGAAGCTTAGGAGGATAGCTGCCTGGCAGATTATCAGTCTATCCACTTCGACGTCGAAGTCGTGGAGAAGTCGCGCGCGCTCGTAAAACCTGCCTCTGGTCTTCTTGTGACTTCCATTATGGCTGTCTATATTGACATATGCTGTGGCGGCAAACATCATTGCCTGGAAGAGAAGGAGGCTGGTTGTACCTGTGTTGCCGTTGCTGGCCACTGCCGACAGGATCTCCTCGAGGTCAAGCATTGGTGCGAAAGGGTATATCCATTTCACATAAGTTGTCAACAGCAGATCTCGCGTTTCCAAATCTGGAATATCGAAAGCGCCTTTTCTTTGGAGGAGGTGGTGATCTTCTGCGGACAGGCTCTTCTTTAAAGGCGTGATGTACTTGGGAAGTGACGACTGGTGGTGGGAGTCTGCCAAAATGGTATGTGTGGGCGATGGATATGGCGCAAGGAAGTCTGCCTGGGGGTCCTGTCCTTCGTCCAACGCAACATCTTTGCCCCGACAATTGGAAATGTCAGCACTTCCTGGTATATCGAAACCAGCATTCCCGGAGAGCCCGAAGATATTGAATGGATCATCCTCAACAACGGCGTTGGTAGTAGTAAATTCGTTCCCCTCCGAGTATGCACCGTTTACATCACCAAAATCAATGATCGCGTCACATATTGGGCTTTGAGGGCCGTGTTGCTTGCCATCGAAAAAGGATGGGCCCAGTATACGGTCTCCGACGTGCCGCCTCTTGCTTGCGGGTACTGAGCATTCCTTGCTGTCGAGTCTGCAATTTGTGCATGGGATTTTAGTCCTGGTAACATCACAGCGGACCTTTCTTGAGCGGCAGGATACACAAGCCCGGGGAGCTCTCTTGCTGAGACCCCCTACTTTCACAACCTTTTCGGAGTGGTGGTCTGCCATACCGAAAGGCTGCCAATAGCAGAGGCTAGTGCCACTTCAACCACGTCCTCGAGCGCCGGATAGAAATCAAATACCAAAAACCCAAAGGGAAATGCAACAGGGCTTACCTGCTAAGAACACTTACAGAGCTTCCGTCCTGCTCATTTATGAGTGATCACCCATTATGAGAGTCAGACAGCGTATGCGCGACAGCACGGATTGCAGCTTGGATCCGGTGGAAGAGGTTCCGGTCACGAGGCAAGTTCCGACTTTTGTCGAGACGCGCCTGTCGGAAATCCCATTGGCTTCTCGAACGTACAGACGGCAATCCGGCTATAGTTCTCAGGGCGTGGTCTTCATAGCCAACCAGCAGAACGGGAGCCTCTGACAGATGACTTGCTGGTTCGGTACGAAACGGGCATCCCCTGGACTTGATTTGCTTCTCCGCCTGCAGCTGGCCCCAGCTGGCTCCGGTCTTGCATCGGCTCACCCCCGCGGTAGCTAATATATAGGGTATGTCCTGATATTCCCTAGCAGACAGGGTAAACAAATTAGAGAGGGATATGCTCGCTTCCAGCATCGCCGCTTGCCGGCCAGTCTGTCTTGGTCCTCATTAGAATATCCGTGCCTCTGGGGCCCCGGAGACGGCACGACTCACCTCTGGGGAAACAGCTTAACCACAGGGAAACCCGGCGAGTTAGATAGCAAGAGGATTCAGCAAGACCGTAAGAGTGCTTCGAACCTGGACAAGCTCAACATATTCATGCGTGCGGTAGATTTGGAGGAGTCAGGCCCTTGCATACCTCAGGTAGTAAGAAAGGGCTGCACGCGCAGGCTTGACTCCTGGTGGGTCCGTAATCATCTACCGAGGTTCTGTTCCCCACGCGTCGAGGACCTTGAATCCGCTAACATCATTGTTTCGCGTCCTTTTTTGGATCTGCAGTCTTTAAACTGCGACGGACAGATTTCACGATGTGTGGCTTCTGTCAGACCCTCACCGAGTTTCATAGTGGTTGTGGACGGAACCTCCTATTCAGAGACCTCAGTTAGTGCGCGACCTCCCTAATGTCTCCCGCGCCGGTGTCCTCGTCAAGAAAACGTCCCCTGCCTCGAGCCCGCCACGCATGCCTAAGATGCCGGAAGCAGAAGTTGCGATGTGATGACACCCGGCCTTGTGCCTTGTGTCTGCGTGTTGGTTACGAGTGTAGGGAGCGCCCTGAGGTTGAAAATAAGGTCCTGGTGAAACCCTCTGCAGAACTCCCAGGGAGCAATGACACACCCAGCATCGCCGGATCCGATGCTGGTCGGCAGCCTGCTGTGTCACCTCGAACCTCAATCTCTCTTGGTCCTCAATCGAGCCCTGCGCCCGCCTTGTTCCATAGACACCCACCTCCCTCATCCACACGGAGCCCGCAAGATTCTAGGAGGCGATCCTCCGAGGTATACCGAGAAAGAACGTCCACATACGAAGTTGTGGATCAGCTCTTTAGAGAACACAATTCGGCGGCAAGACTATGCCATTCGACCGATGCGATTCCTGGAAGCAGCCCTGATGTGCGGTCTTCTGAAGCCAGCGGGCAGTATCTTCCCATATGTGATCTGCTTGAGATGGAATTGCCGCCCTCCCATGTCATTAACTACGCTTTGGAAAGTTATTCAGATTCTGTGCATTGGTTCATGTTATTGTTCCATGAACCATCCCTGAGAGCTGAGTTACAGGAGCTCACCGCAACGGGCTTTGTCCGCGCGGATCGAGTCTCTTTTTTGGTCCTTGTTGTATTGGTTATTGGCATCGGTGCAAAGTACTCTACCAAGTCCGAGGCCGAAGGAATATGTCCAGGGCTTGACATGGACCATCTTGGAAACAAACTCATCCACAAAGTGGAGGAACGACTTCTTGATGTCTTCGATCAAGCTAACATTGAGGCTGTTCAAATCTCGATCCTTCTTTCCTCCTACTATGCCTACCATAGTAGACCAAACCGCAGCTTTGCCTTAATGGGAAGCGCGTTGAAAATTGCTCAAGCCTTGGGACTGCAACAGGAATCACACTGGAAGATGGACGATCCCACCCTGCGAGAGGTATGGCGACGGTTGTGCTGGGCACTCTATACAGCCGAAGTGTGAGTCAATATGTGCCTTCGAGCCGGCTGTCACTCACTTCTTTTGTGGTATAGATTTAGTGCTATCACCTTTGGTACTCCCTGCAACGTCCATGATAGTGATTGGGACGTTTCTTTTCCTGGCAACATCGATGATACCTCAATGACTTGCCCCGGATTCGATTCCATGGAAAGCTATGAGGACGAAACATTTGGACCGGTTACTATAGCATCCTACCAGAGATACAAGTTTCGACTTTATCGAATTGCTTCAGCCATTACTCGAAACATCTATCTCCGGAGTGGGGCAACTCTTTCTGAAGTAGTTGGCGAGATCAAAGCAATTAACCATCGTCTGCTCCAGTGGGAAAAATGCATACCGCCGGAATTGCGACTGAAGTATTTGAAATCTAACGGCACTGACAGGACAAGTACGAGGACCGTCCGAACCTTCCAACTTCAGGCCCTTGCGCTCCAACTCTCTTATGACAATATTCAATTGGTGCTCCACAGGCCCCTGTTAACAATAAACCGTGTGCCTCGATGGCCCCGTTTAGGACCGGAAGCAGGCAATGATCCTGACCAAATCATGGTTCAAACCGTTAACGACGCGATCGATCCGAGGATGATCAGGACAAGCAAGTACCAATGCTGGGTTTCTTCGATGAGAACATCCAAGATTGGCGAACACGCTGAGATTCTCGCCGCTTCCCAGAACACGCATGGAGCGGCTTATGCTGGGATTCAGTCCTTCACAGCTGGTGTTGTCCTAGGCATCTTCGCGCTATCCGATCCCCTCTCAGATCAGGCTCACCAAGCGAAACGTGCTGTGAGCAGAATTATCAAGCTTCCTCGGCTCCACCGGTTCCGCACGACTGTGTCTGACCAATGTGGTGCGATTCTGGAAGAGCTTGTTCGATTGGTCCTTGCGGAGGAGATGAAAGCTTTGTTGACGGAGGCAGAGTCGTCTGGTCAAGATTGTGTACAAGAAAAGCTCACGGACGGACGCGTCCCCGTTAATCAACTTTCTCCCGTTACGGATTCCTGTGACAAGCAATCTCCAGTCGACGAAAGCAATGTACCATTCCAGGGCGCGAAGCTCTTGGATGGGAGCACAGATGCATTTGAGCTGTTTTCCCACCACAATGTTGAGCTGCCCCGAGACATCACATCTGGAAACTTCAGTGACGCACTTGTTTCTCTACAAGATGGTTTGATTTCCCAAGCCTGTCTTCTTCCTCTTTCTAACAAGTTGCAGTGTTCCGTGATGGTCGCACTGGGGTCAACAGCCGCTTAGGAAATGGCAGTCGACATCAGGAACAGGTCGGACTGTCATCGATATCTGGGACATTCCCATACTCGCAACCTTCCTCGGGCTCTGCTGCTATGTCAAACGGCAGGTTGACCAATACTTTTGATGGGACTTCTCAAGTATGGATCTGGGATGATTTGCTTTGGCTCCCTGACGGTACTTGAGATACTTTGTGTACGAACAGCTCGGCACCATTTGCCCTTGCGATTTGCCGGCTATATGTGAGTTCGTGAGGCTTCTCTTGTACAACTCGCCAGTCCCAGAGATGCAATGTCCCTCACTGGCCGCGAAAGGTCTGAGCCAAAGAAGAGAAGGGTGTCCGGAACCAATACCCAATGCGCCAAGGCATCAACGTGGGATGGACTTCTTGAAGTCCATAATGACTACTGCCACTCGTTGACAAGAACTCACGGCGCCGCTCAAGATTCTGAATGCACATAGAAGGAGTGGGGCCTGTGTGACTGGAAAACCCTAGACTATGGTTCTTTTGTCTCCAGGCCGGTACTTGTACATCACCTATGAACTACGCACTGACAACGGTTTGGGCGGCGCGATGGGCCACTAAGTTGCCCAATTCGCTACCTCGTTATGTACAAAGCTGCCAAGGTGCAATCGATGTGTCTTCGCCGTCGACTTCACAAGTACCGAGTACAATGGGCAGTTTCAGATCTGCCTAATAAGCGGGAAGTCAATAACTCTGGTGTATATGGAGTTTGTCGAACACAACTCATTACTTCTGGACTTCAGTCGGCGCAGATGGCGTGCCATAACGTGTTTCCTTTCAAAAGGAACAATATGCGTTCGGCAAATTGTTCTGCCACGAGAAGCAATCTGATGGCCCCCGAGAGTAGGCTACGCCACCTAGATCTCAAGTTCAGTCCAACCCCTGCTGGCAAGCTGTTAATCAATCCACTTCAATGTTTCCCCGGTGCTAAGGATTTGGTCTTTACAGATACATTTTGGAACCCTGTCTTCCACATTTTGCAGAACGCCAGATACTGGGGCAGCAATCTCGGTTACGAATCCTCGGCCTTTCCCCGGATTGGGTCATACTCTGCGTCGTGGATCTCTTTCAAGAACTTGTTCGCTCCAGCTTTGTCGTCGGCGAAGATATGATCCGCGACCAGCTTCTTCGGCGTCTCACCCAGCCACTGGAACAGTGAGAAGTCCTGGAACTTCTCAGCACGGAAGATCTCCAAAACCTCAACAGGTTCGTCCTCGCTCAGGTTCTCGATGAAATGTCCCATGTTCCTGGGAACCACACCGACGTCCCCGGCCATGTAGTCGAAGGTCCTAGCATTTCCCTCGGCCCCAAAGATGGTGACACGCGCACGGCCCTTGATAAAATACGACCACTCGTCGGCATTCGGGTGCCAATGCATCTCACGCATAGCACCAGGTGCAATGTCAAGGTGGGCAGCTGCAATGGTCTTGGAAATGTGGAAGTTGGTCGAGTCGGTGATGCGGACCAGACCCCCGGTGGTGTTGAGAGGCTCTTGGTCCAGCATCTTGTGGGTGAATTGAAGTTTTGACTTCTTGACGTGCGTACCGTCTGGCTTCTCGTCGTCAATGGAGCCTGGCAGACTCCCCTGGAAAATGTATTTATCGGACTTGGGAATGGTCTTGAACACTTCGGGGGAGAGACGGAAATTCTCCCCGAGGACAGACTTGGGAGTATGCGCTGCATTGCATTAGTGATACTTGCATTCTGATCATGGAAGTAAAGGACTCACCCAGCCAATCAGTCAACAAGAAAGTCGACTCCTCGTTGAAGTTACCGTCGTCAAAGATGAGCAAGAATTCAGTGCCGTTGGGGCTCAAGCCTTGCAGAGAATGAGGATGGCCTGACGGGAAATACCACAGGTCTCCCTTCTGAAGATCATCGATGAAATTGCCGCCCTCAGTGTCCAAGGCCGTGACACGGACGTTACCCTCAAGGACGTATGCCCACTCAGCTTCCTTGTGCCAGTGAAGTTCTCGAATCACACCATAATCGAGTCTCATGTTGACACCAGCAATCTCCTTGCTCGACCCGAGTTCCCTGATGGTGGTCTGACGTGTCCACCCTCCTTCCTGCGCGGCGTCAGTGACATTATGACTAGACAATGTAATGCTTTCGCGAGCTGACCTCAATCCTGATATGAGAGTCGGCAAAACTCCACCGGTAGTTGGACATGCTTCCATGATCGGTGCTCGGGGGCCGAATCATGTCTGGGTTTTGTCTCTCACGGTCCTTGTTCCGGGGGCCCATCATCGTCGCACCATCACCATTACGCCAAGGCAGTGGCTGCCAGTCATTGCCATACGAGTCAACTTTGTGGTCATAGGGATCACGGTTGTCTGGCGTATAAGGCCCAAATTTGTCCAGAGGGCGCAAGGCTTGTTGTTGCCGGTCAATGACCGGAGCTGCCAAGCAGGAGCTCACGAACAGGGACCACAGCGACAGATGCATGTTGAGGCAAGTCTAGAGAACGTACAAACAAGATCTTCTGGGAGAGCTCTGGGGGGAACGGAGCTATGCAATATATATATGCGCTCCGTAACTGACATCCGCCCGGCCAACCCGTACATTTTGCCCAATGGTTCAAGGGGGAGAGGAAGCTCCGTCATGACTCCGGCAGAACGTTCACCCGACCCACAGCAGGCGAAATTATGGGGACGGGGAGGGGATTCCAGCCACCAAACGACCACTTGCCGACCTTGACCACTTTCATCCATATCGATCAACCACCCCCATGACGCGGTTTAGAACTCCGCAAAAAGACCTCGACATCTCCCCCGTTGCCCGGCAGATCGTTTCGTCCTCCTCTTCGTCCCTAGCAGCAAGTCGCTAGCCCTCAATTCCCAAGACATTCTACTCCTCCGTATGCCTTCCATATAGAAAACACACCAGACAAGAACCGACCGACCAGCAGTTAGTGCTCACTCACAACCATGGCGGGCTACGGGGCTATAAACGGAGACCCAGCTTCTGAAAATCGGCCAAACCAAGGCTCTGAAGATGAGAGTGGTCCTCTCCTTGGCAAGAAGGACTCCCCTCGGTCCCTGGCTCAGTTGCGGGACTATTTGAAAGAGGATATCGACAGACGATGGGCTGATCTGCTGCTGCTGCTATCGTATATCATCACGGGCCTTCTCGACAGCTCGGCAGTGTTCATCTGGGGCTCCTTCGTGAGCATGCAGACTGGCAACACCGTCTACCTTGGCCTGGGCCTGGTTGAACCGACCAAAGGAACGCGATGGATCAGGTCACTCACCTCAATCGCTTTCTTTTGTTTTGGCTCCTTCTGCTTCAGCCGCTTCCACCGCCATTTCTCGCCCAAACGACGTTGGGTTCTGCTTGCCTCGTTCGCCGCCCAATTGCTCTTGGTCGTGGTGGCTGCCGTTGTTGTCATGGTTGATAGCAAGCAAGGAAATGACCTTCGGTGGGAAGTCATCGTCCCGCTTGCATTGGTTGCGTTCCAGAGCAGTGGACAAGCTGTGACCAGCCGGGCCCTGCAATACAACAGCCTCACCAGCGTGGTCTTGACAAGCATCTACTGTGATCTGTTCTCTGATCCTCTGATCATGGCGGGACTTTCTCAGAATGCAGAGAGGAACCGCAGGGCGGCGGCACCCTTATTGCTCCTGTTCGGAGCCATCCTTGGGGGCCTATGGGCACATAGTCCTGTTGGGCTTGCCGGTGCTCTGTGGACAGCTGCAGCACTTAAAATCACCATCATTCTTGCGTTCTTTCTGTGGAGGGCTCAGCCGCCAACCCAAAGCCGCTGAGTGCAACCGGAAGAACGTGAGACGTCACATTTTGCGGCAAGGGGAGCCCAAGCTCGCATCGTTGAAGAGGGAGATGCTCGTGACCACTAACATGGATGAAGTCAAAGGATTCTCATCGATGGTTGCAACTTGGGTTTCGCATGGCAATGTGCATAGGTTTTCAATATCACAACCATGCAGCTACAACGTTGAGAAGCGCAGAGACATCGTGACCCAGTCTCACCTTGAAACTGGATTCAGAATCTGCAGCATGAGTCGGAATCTACGTGCGATGCTTGAGCAGGTGCACTACAACGAAGTCTGCGAATCTTGAAAAACGCAGTGCTGCGTGGAACCCGCCTTCCTCGATGGATTGTGGTCATGGCTCAGCACTTCAGGCCTGGCAAGCTCTACTAGCATCGACGAGAACCAGTAACGAGGCCTGGCACTGCATGGAACCCCACGGCTATGAGGGGGGAGCGGAATGCAGCAGAAATTGGGTGCTTAAGGGGATGCAGTTTTATTGGGAAATGAGCTGGTGGATGATGTTTGACAATCTCATTTCTACCAGGTCAGTTGTTAGGCGCAGTTATGTTCAGATACAATGACTATCTACCTAGGTAGAGGATGATTCCATCACTTAACGTATTTTCATACCGAGTTTGCTATTGTCTGCAGTCATATCGCAATGTATTTGCGGGGAGAGCCAATTATCGCACACCTCAGAGCTGCTTATGGAAGAAGTTCAACAGGAGCTGGTAGGCCTTCTCGTAGGCAGCCTTGACATCATCATTCTCAAGGTCACTTCGCGCCGCCATGAAGCCGTGAATCTGATCCTTGAACCATTCTACCTGGTGGGGCACCTTGAGATTCGCCTCGTACTTGTCCACAGCCTCCTGATCTTCGTCCTTGGAGGGGATCATGAGCATAGGGATGGTGACGTTTGGTGCATCGTTCGGGTCAACCATGGCGGGATGGCAGGTTGCAGCTGCTTTGAAGACGGTATTGGATCCAGATACAAGGTTCACAATCTGAAGGATAATCTCAGCACGCATGCAATGGGAAGTCAACAGAACTCAAAAAAGTACTACTGACCTTACCACCCCAGCAGTATCCAACAATTCCCCAGCTTTTGATACCGGGATTCTTCGACTTCAACTCCTCCATCACGCTCTTGACCCGCTCGACCGTCTTTGGAGGGGCAGCAGAGGTCTGGAAAAACTCGCCCAATTTCTTTCCCTTCTCTTCCGTATCGGGCGGGTACCAGGCAATGTCGGCGGGTTTGCCCTCGAAGAAGTCCGGCATGTAGACCTGGTACTGGTGATCCTTGTCTGCGTGTGCAAGGATGTCGGCACCTTGCAGCGTTTGGGGGAAGAATCCGAAAATGTCGTAGACAACTAGAATACCATGGCTCGCAGAGGAGGGTCCCGTCTTGTATGTCTTCAACCCGTCGACAGTGATATAGTTTCCCTTCTCTTTGTACCCTTTGCTCACAACAGCCGGGGTGTTGCAGCAAGCAGCGGATGGTGTTTGCGACATACTGGCAAGGGTTCTTTTCGGCGCACCAAAGAGATATTGAGAGGCGGATGAAAGTTGTTGGGAGAGAGCAGCGAGTCTGAGCCGGCCTGTCATTGATCCGTGCAATTATAAAGAAGGGCTTGAGGTGGATGCGCGTTTGTCGTTGAAATCAGTCAATGACTTCAGCTGAATGATGGAAGGTGGATTTGGAGAACGAGGGGAAGTCGTGTTTACGTCAGGGCTCGCAGCTCGAGTACTTGCGGTGGATTGAGTTGGAGGCCACAGGATGCGCACGCCTACCTCGTACACAGTTGTCACAGCTATTCTCTTCGAAATGGGTTGAAAGGCAAGGGGCCGTCGTTAATAGCAGCACTACTGTACGTCTGCAGCTTCGCCAACCGCATTTATGACCGGAGCATTGAGTCGACATCCTCCCGGCGCACATATCCTCGGCTCAGCATCAGAGCGCTGAATGTCGATGCCGACGGCGTCACTAGCCCAAATCCCTCCTCCAATAGTGACGATTTCCTTTTCCACAAGATCTCCAACGGGTCCGCATATCTAGCTTATTTGCTGGATTGACAGTGTTAAATCAAAGCCGTATTCCTCATCCACCCCACGTGGCGACTGCGATATACCGGCAATGTCCAGAAGATTTTCAGATACCGTGAACCTCAGTTGAGATTTTAGGTGCACGTCCAGCAACTTAGGTTACTTTCTCCGGCGAAGGCGCACCTTGAATTCGGACTGTTTGACAAACCACGCGTTGTGCAGTTTCCATGGTTTTGTCGGATCTGCAAATTCAATCTGCAATGAGCCGTCAGCGTCGAGAACGTCAGGAAGAGAAGGAATCCCACTCGGTACCTCGAATTTCATCAGCAGTGCTGGAACGAGCTTGTACATTTCGAGCAAACTGATGTTCTTGCCGATACACGTGTGGGAGCCTGCCCCAAAGCTGAAGAGAGAATTGTCCATTTGTCTTTTCTGCTCTGGTGATGCCTCGAGCCATCTTCTTGGGCGAAAGCTCTCCGCGTTCGGCCCGAATAGAGTGTCTCTGTGTACAGTCCAGGCACTGCATCCTACTATCGTCCCACCAGGAATGAACTTTCCGCAAATGTTGACACCTTGACGAGGCACGACCCGTTCAAGCGTAAGTCCGACCGCAGGATGGCACCGGAGGGCTTCTTTGATCACCGCACTCAGGTATGGCAGTTCCCTTACATCGTTCCAGTTAACAAGACCATTTGGGTCAGAGAATGTTCCATTCTCCCGTTGCGCCCAGAGTTCCTTCATCAAGCTCTCCATGTCTTCTGGGCAGTTCAACAGGTAGTAGAAGACTGCCCGTAGGCTAATTGCGGTTGTGTCGCTGCCAGCAAACATATTGGCAACCGTCAGGGCTAGAACTCGCTCGCGGGTGATGAACTCGGGGTCCTTGCGGTGGGCTTCGGTGAACCTTGACAAGAAGTCTCTCCTTGCTCGCTTCCCATCAGATGCGGCTGCTGGCTTTTCCTGAGCCTGCTCCATGTCTTGTCGACTAGCGATCCGGTTTCTGGCGAAAGTCGCCACGGGCGTGTTCGAGCTTATCAGTCCGATTTGGCTCGCAAACAATCTCAATGGGTTCTTGAGAAACACGCGATCCAAGATTGGAATTTGCCCGACCTGTTGCATTTCGATTAGTATTTCCGCGTTCTGAGCTGGGCATGAACTCACTATGGCAGCATAGTTGAGAAGCCACTCCAAATTCCCAATAATGCCATCGACATCGGCACCTCGATCCACAAAACCTAGGCGCTTGGAATAGGTGAGCTCGCCAATGACGTCGAATGCATAGAATTGAAGCCATGTCGAAAAGTCGCATATGCCTTCTGGACCTGTTTTCCCTGCAAACCTCTCCTCAAGCTGTTCCAAAAAAGCCAATGTGGTGGAATCAACCAAGGGTTCGAATTGAACCAGGGTACTCATCGCGTACGCATTCGATACGGCTCTTCTGAGTTTAGCATGGAACTTCTCGTCCGTGGTGCTGAACATGGTGTACAGCCTGCGGCCTTTCGCTATCGTCTGCTGGACGGGATAGAAGCCAGATTTGACAAAGCCAGAGTTCAGAGCATATATGATGGGGATGGCCGCAGGGTCAGACACGGAGACCACTCGGGGCCCTAGACGAACTAAAGGACCATACTTCTCGTGCAGTTGGATATGCTTAAGCTCTGGGCGACGACCCCAGACAACGAAGAACCTCCACAGATCTGTGAATGAAGCAAGCATTGGGCCTGGAATGTGATTGATACCTGTGCCATATCTATTGACTGCAAGGCGGACGACACAAAAGCTTGCGATAATGACCGGGAGGTACCACCACAGTTGATGCGACATCCGATCAGCAACCTGGTCGGGAAACATCGTGCGCCCCAATTGTCGTTCCAAAGATGCAAAGAGATAGCAAAGGAGTCGATATGAACTCACGCATCACCTCCTAGCAGGTTACGAAGGGCACAGGAGGTACAACATCACAGCTTCGACGAAATCCGTCGACCGTGAGTGGAACTGGGGCCGATTCCGTTCATGGTGATTGCGGGGGAATGCCTCCACATCGGAATCGTCCCATCAACAAGACGGAATTTGGACCGAGCGGCCACTCGGCTTGAAATAGCCTGCGGCGAGGCTTGGAAGAATCGGTAAGTCACACTTTCGCTTTCTTCCATGTCATTTGGTATCTTGCGATGTGCCTTTGAGGAAGAAGGGCGACCGGCGCGATGGTGTTTCTCTAGGAAGCTGCTTACATATATACAAAGGTCCGCTAGTCCACGATGTTTGCAATCTAAGCCTCGGCAGTCCATAGAGTTGGATAGTAAACAGCAATTGGTATTTTGTGTCTATGACGTGGCTGGCCATATGAGGCAGTAGTCTCCAAGTCAATAGTACTCGGCCGAACAAATGACAAAGCTCAATCGTCGGCAGTGGCGCCCAAGTGGCTTGCACCTCCCTGGATTCGCGAAGTCATTTTATTTGAATGGCCAGCCAATCTCCTACTCGTCCAACCCACAACTCTTCCGTGACTTCGATACCTTGTTGAAATCTTGATTACCAACGCATCTCGACTGCAGGGGCTATCTCGAAAGTCCAGCAGCTACCATCCGTGGTATGGAGCAATGCAAATCACCGGTCCATTGGCCAAGGACATTCGTCTGTGGTTTTAGCGTTGGCGATGTTGCAGGTCCCTCTACGGCCGTGGTGGCCGCAGCTCGAATCCTCGACGTCAATGAATGAATGGTCCCCGTCTCGAGACATGTGGGCTTGCACATACAGATATAAGTGTCTGGGTCGGACAGCTCGAAGCGTGATGTGACTATTCTTGACTAACGAAGGCTTTCTTTCCTCATCTACTTCAAAGTTTGGTGTCTCCATCTTCGCTCGAAATATACTAGCATTGTTCTTCTCAAGACATGGACAACTTGGACATCGACCTAGAGTCAGCTGAAACAGCAGCTTCCCACTACCTGTCGCGCCCTGTCACGGCAGATTCTGCCGTCACTTCGCGGACGGCCTCCACCAACGATGAAATCACAAGACATGTAAGGCAGACAGAAAGGCTACATTCCCAGCGCTTGCAGCATGTCCATACTGTGGGATCGACTCCTGGCTCCCGCAGTGTGAGCAGGGCCGAGTCCGAACCCCTTCCGCCGTTCGGGGGTGGGAAACCATACCCTCCTGCCATCCCCGCAGAACGAGAGGCTTATGTGGTCGATTTCGCCGGTGTCGACGACCCGTCACATCCCCTGAACTGGCAATGGCGCAGGAAGTGAGTTCGATCCATTCATATTAAGGCATCCAACTAATTTTCATTTTCGGTAAACAGGCTGGCTGTTGCAGCTGTAGGAGCCCTCGCTTGTCTATGCTCGACGTTCGGATCCGCCGTCCTTTCACCCGCCACAGCCCGCATTGGAGAATACTTTCACCTGTCCGTTGAAGTCAGTTCACTGTCAAGTGCCCTCTACCTGGCTGGTTATGGATTTGGCCCAACTCTTTGGGCGCCTATGTCAGAGCTTCGAGGTCGCAAACTGCCCCTCCTTATTGGTAACTTCGGATTTTCAATCTTTGCCCTCGCTACCGCAGTCTCAAAGGACGTGCAGACTCTTATGATATGCCGATTCTTCATGGGTGTGTTTGGAAGCAGCCCAATCGTCATTGTCGCTGCTGTTTACTCTGACATCTACCGGGCGGAGCAACGAGGGTTGGCTCTGACCATGTTCGCGGTGGCTGTCTTCCTTGGACCGATGGTTGCTCCGATCGTCGGTTCCTTCACGGTAACCAGCTATCTAGGCTGGCGATGGAACGGTTACTGGTCCATGATTATGGGATTCGCAACATTCCTCCTAATTGTCTTGGTCGTCGAAGAGACATACCCGCCGGCCGTACTGGTTTCGAAAGCAGAGCTCCTACGCCGACGGACAAAAAACTGGGCAATCCACGCCAAGCAGGAAGAGATCGAGATTAGCATTCAAGAGCTGATCGAGAAGAACCTGACAAGGCCTCTCCGGATGCTTGTCACAGAGCCTCTTCTTCTTCTGACGGGCTTCTATTTGTCTTTCGTCTACGGATTGATGTACGTTACTTTGTCAGCTTATCCCTTGATCTTTCGGGGAGTACACGGTATGACACCGGGAGTTGGAAGCCTCCCATTCCTCGGGATTGCTTTAGGTATGGTCATGGCTGGAATTGCATCGATCTCGATGAACAGCCGCTGGGCTCGGAAATATCGAAGTAACAACAACAGAGCCTTACCCGAATGGAGACTCCCTCTAGCCATGGTTGGTGGCTTTGTCTTCACAATTGGCCTATTCTGGCTGGGATGGACTGGAGCATACAGCAACATCCACTGGATTGTGCCGACCATTGCTGGTGTCTTTGTTGGGTTCGGTCTCTTGTCGATATTCATGCAACTCGTCATGTACATCATTGACGCCTATCTCATGTTGTAAGTCAATTCCTAGCCGTGGCGAATGTCTCTGCTGACCTCTCATTCACAGCGCTGCTTCCGCCCTGGCAGGAAACACCATCATACGGTCTCTCTTCGCGGCGGCCTGGTATGTCAAGAACCCTAAGACTTGCGGATTAATATCGCTTACTATCTTCCCAGTCCTTTATTCGATCGACAGATGTTTGAAAATATGAAGATCCAATGGGGCTTCACACTCTTGGGCTGTGTCGCGGCAGTCCTCGTACCCGTGCCTCTCCTTTTGCACTTATATGGCCCCAAGCTTCGACAGAAGAGTAAATGGGCACCCACGTTCTCTCTTCCACCCCAAGTACATCACGAGCGGGAGAAGGAGACCGAACTCGATCAGACAAGCTTGCAAGGCGCAGCACAGAAAGGCGTGAAAGATAAGGAGATTGATATTTAATGTCGACGCGACCTGTGTATATAATCGACATATCCGTGTTTCGACCTTGTTGATTCCAGCGCTATGTAGAAAATAGACCTTGCTACTCACCAGTGACGGGATATTTTCGAGGACGGCCCATTTTGGTGAATGGGATGCTTTTGTTGCACGGTCCGAGTGCTGATGATTAGTAGATTCCTGGAAACTGTTCCCCAGGCACCTTGCGCTCATATTGTATCCCTTGTTCTTTGTACTTCCATTGAAAATACTTCTCGAGCGCTGGCATCGCATTGAACACGAAGTTCGAAATATACACTCCTACAGTTGCTAACGAGTGCAGCGGACCTCCGGTAGCGAGACCATATCCAAAGCCAAACAAGAAGCTTGCAGTATTCTTGACGTGTCGAGTGATGGGCCAGAGCCCAGCCTTGCAAAAATTCGATTGATTGTCTTTCTCTGCCTTGAAGTCATCCGTTCAAGCTCTGTTACCAATTCTAAAGCGGCGCTGCCCATGAAGATACCATCGGCGTGAAGGAAGCGCTCCGAAAATATGGGATTGATCGACGCGGCGGCGATAATTAGTGAATTAATGGCTTCATATATGAGATTCGAGAGGACAGCAAACATTGCGAATTTCAGCGTCATAAGCAGGTACTGTGCAGGACCAGTAATAGCCCTTCCTTTGGCGAAAAGAATATTTGCCGAGATATCACCGCTATAACTGCGTCGTTGAATACCGAATGAAACTTGTGGCGACATTCTGGCGGCTCCTATGCTGTGATGAAGATAGGTCCTCCAACAGAGCGCAGAAACATTGCTTCATAGCATTGGAATTCCTTTTATTGCACAAGGTTTTATGGTCCAGACGCAGAGCTTTCAGAAGTATGTGGACGGAGCGGGTGGCCAACGGTAGAAGAGGAGGCGAAGTATTGCATAGTCCGTAACATATCGTTCGCCTGAAGCTTGCAGTTTCTTCGAGCGGTCTTTGGGAGGGTAGTAGCAGTCTATTTCGGACCTCTACTTCATTACCTCTGGACATCAACGCAATTTGCAGCCACCTCATCCGCTCTACATAGTAAACCAGCAAGCGATAGTCATCCTGAGGTCGCTGTCTTCCAGCTATTGCCTTTGCAAAAGCTCATGCATCTCCTCATCAACTGGTTTCAGGCTTCCTCCCAACTACGAACTTGGTGATATGTGCACTGTAAACGCCATCGACGATCGCATCTTTCTTCATTTGCGCCACCAGTTCTCGTGCCTCTTGACCGGCTTCCATATCCCTTGCTTCCAGCACCGGAAGCAATTGCGCAACCAACGCATACCAATGTTCGAAGAATCCACGGAAAACGGAAGGTGGTGGTCGTTTCCTGTGAGCGGCAACATTCTCCAGACCTGCTTCAGCGTAGTATTCTGGTAATCGATCAAAGTGCTCCGTTGGCCATTGGAAAGTATTCATTATGATCTTCCAGAGTTTGGTCGAGGAGTTGTGCGTGACCTCCGGGTTGGGAATACGAATAGGATCGTTAGCTGAGTAGACATTGTTCTTATCTGCGTCGAAATAGTCGTACTCGTCCCACTGGAGATAGCCTCCAGGTTCTAACGCCGTCAGTCAGTACATTTCAAACTCCACGAGCAACAAAAAGCCCATACTCAGCATTGACACCAACTTCTGTAGAACAGCTCTGGGATCCTGGTTTCCCCCAAAAGGCTGGATAACAAGTCTGAGGTGGACGAGATCGAATGCGCCTTTCCAGCTATCAGGCACCGGGTCGAAGAAGCTCCATTTGCTCAGAGACATGTTTGGCGGAAGATCAGGCTTTGGAGGTGCCAGGCTCAAGCTGATGTCCGAAGCCTCCACTTGAGCATGAGGATATTCTTCGGCAACCTGCATAGCCCATAGACAGTGACCAGCGGCAATCTCGGCTATGCGTAGGTCGGACCTGCCACTCAGGTCGATAGAGGGGTGGATGTTGCTTTTGTAGACTTCCCGCCACAGGAAGTGCTGATAGCATAGTCGAATTGCATCGGGTGCCGTTCTCCAGATGGAGTACTCATCGTTGCGGATAACCATATTGGCAGACAGAATATGTTGAAGCTTAAGACAGAAGACGTTTGATGGAGGATGGAGATGGGTAGAAAGCTCATCTCAGAGCGTTCTTTGGACATATATAGTCCTGCGAGTCCATCCCAAGGGGTGGGAATCGCATGACTAAAGGCGTCCCTCGGTCATTGAGGGAGATGGGGAAGCCAGCATCGAGTTCAGCTGTCCTTGACTGAACGTTCAGGTAGCCATTTCAGGAGCTTGTCGTCCCCTTTCGCATCGTGTGAACCATGATTGAACGGATATTCGGGAGTCTGGTTGTACGGCTGAATCGCTCCCATCGGAGAGGCCTTCACCTTCACGTAAATCAAGGGAACATCATTACCTGATTGAGCCCTATAGTTGTTCCCCAAAGTATGTAAAGCACTTACGGTAAAGCCAAACCTCGCTATCTCTGGAAGGGCTATGCCAGGTGTCCACTTTCAGAAGAGAAGCGAGCCGTGTGTCGCTAATCTTAATGAGCAGGGCGATGGGTTTTGACATAAAAGGATGCGCGAGGCCTTTCCTCCCGTGGTTAAGGACATTCCGCTACCCAGCGACTAGCCAACTCACCAGACCGGGGTGTCAATTCTGGGCAGAATGCGGGGACTGCAGATGCCACGACGGCATTCGTGAATGGGCAGCGTCCACTGCTCAGCTCGCTGATCCCGACACAGCTTGACCGCTCGACTTCGGTTTGACGACGTCCTTTGTCGCAGATACTGTCAAACATCCACTCTACCGGTAGAAACCAGTCCCGCTTGTAATGCGTACGACTTGATGCTAGAGGGCAACTGGGTAGCGATAAATCTGTTTCGACAAAGGGAGAAAATCATAAATTGCTGCCAACTTCTTCGCCGACAATGGATCCGCCAACTCGACAAACTCGTACGCCGCTTCCAAACTTGCTCGCAATATGGCGTCTTTCGACGCGGAAAAGTCACCAAAGGTCCAAACTACATCTGATATCTTCATTCCAACTCAAGGAACCACGCCCAGTGGTGACGGAGGCCTAAGATGCGGAAATCTTCATGAGATAGCGGAAAAAGGCCATACAGCGACCGACAGGCAAGTTTCCCATCGCCCGGCTGATCAGAGTTCAGCGACTGACTGATCAAGACATGGTAACCCATTGATTCCCTTGGATGGGAGGGCTGAAGCCAGGCTGAGGACAAAAATCGATTTTTATGTGGTGCCCACGGTCGCTATTCTCTACCTTTTCTGCTTTATTGACAGAGCCAACATTGGTGAGTACTGTAATCCTCCTCCACAGATGGCATTAACGTCGGCAAGGTAACGCAAGACTCGCCGGGTTTGAGAAAGACCTTGGCTTGCACGGCTACGATTACAACAAAGTGCTGACAGTCTTCTACGTGGGTTACGTGGTTTTCGAAATGCCCGCGAGCTTCGCATGCAAGTTTTTCGGTCCGGGCTGGTTTATTCCCACAATTGCCTTTGGATTTGGCATCTTCTCGCTTCTCACAGGGTTCTGCACCAATATCGGGAATGTGTCCGCCGTCCGGTTCCTGCTTGGAGTTTGCGAAGCCGGCATGCTTCCCGGAATCGCGTACTACCTCTCTAGGTGGTATCGACGGAGCGAGCTTGTCTTCCGGCTATCGTTGTATATTGTCATGACTCCCCTTGCTGGCGCCTTTGGGGGTCTACTTGCGTCGGCTATATTGAAGCTTGATCATGTGGGCTCCTTGCGGACCTGGAGATTGATCTTTGTCATTGAGGGAACGATCACCTGCGGCCTAAGTTTACTATCCTTCTTCACCCTAACTGACCGCCCCGAGACGGCTAGGTGGCTTACACCCGACGAGAGGGACCTCGCTATCGCACGGGTGAAGTCGGAGCGCACAGCAAGCACTGAAGTCCTCGACGGATTCAACAAGAATAAAGTGCTTAAAGGAATCCTCAACCCTGTCACATTAACGACCGCAGTCATCTTCGGCCTGGGAAATATCACAGCGCAGGGTCTGGCTTTCTTTGCGCCGACAATCGTCAAAAGTATTTATCCTCAGCATAGTGTGGTTTCACAACAGCTACACACCGTACCGCCCTACATCGTTGGTGCAGGTTTCGTCCTCATCTTATCTTACCTGAGCTGGAAGACTGGCCGTTACCTCATTTACTACATTATTGCTGTTCCAATCACCATGTGTGGATTTGCAATATTCCTCGGGACTCGGAATGCAAATGTGCGCTACGCTGCAACCTTCCTGGTGGCGAGCTCTGCATTTCTATTTGGGACCTTGAGCAACGCTTTGATATCTGCGAATGTTATCTCGGACACTTCCAGGTCAGCCGCAATAGGAGTCAACGTTTTGCTTGGGAACATCGGAGGATTGATCTCGACATGGTCCTACCTTCCTTTCGATGGGCCCGATTACCATATTGGAAACGGCTTGAACCTCGCGGCCATCTCGAGCTGTTTTTTACTCTCTATTATGCTCTTGATATGGATGAAATACGACAACACGAAGCGCACTGCTACGGACACCTCAGATGTCAGCAGGATGTCGATCAAGGAATTGCAGGATCTGGACTGGCAACAACCAGCCTTCCGCTGGAAGCCGTAAAGTGTGGAGGCCTTAGGACCCATATGGGATGTCCTACAAACCTCGAGATTGGCCGTTGAAACATGCCGAAATCAGGCGACAGCGATGAGATTAACTAAAGAGATGGGGATTTTGCCAAGAAAGAGAATGAATTCAGCCATTGACAGTCATTTCACGGGGTGCTCCCAGATGCAACGGAGGTGATTCTGATGCCTTGATCCTCGTGCAAAAGTACCAAACCTGATTCCAGACCTAGTAGACAGGGTAGATGCCCATCCAACTTCCGTGACGACTTGGCGAGGTAGGGCCATTGATGTCTCCTTTCACAAAGTGCGGGAGAATCTCTCCAGCCAAAACCGTCCCGGCAGCTACGGGAAGAAAGTCCGACAGCTCATCTCCCGCAGCTGCTTTGACAATATCAGCCACTGCACCTGCACTGAGGTGAGTTGAAGTGCCCTCTGGGCCCCAGCGGAATGGGTATGTCACCCAAGCGGGGGATTTCACCCCAACCCAGTCGGCTGAAACGAGTTCGTATCTCTTGGAGCAATCCAGCTTGCGATCACTGGTAGCGGTGTCGTTGCGAACGAAAAAGTCGAGTCCGGCTGGTATACCTCCGATCTTCTTGGACTCTGTCGGATTGGACCCTGCGTCAGAGAAGTTGGCGTGACCGTTGCGGGATGAAAAGATGATCGGTTGATTCCCAAGGAATTTGAAAGCTCGAGCAATTTTGTCCCCAGTGAAGAACTGACCCTTTGCATGTTGGGAAAGCCAAATACCAATGATCTTCAGCGTCGAGTTGTCGATACGGACCATGCACATTTCCCAGTCTCCGACATGTTCACCTAGGGGTGCGACATTGATGTCACCGGAACTTGTGATGCTGTCCATCATGAGCCCGTCAATGTGGAGGGTTCCGGGTCCATTATAGGCGTTGAAGAACCAGAACTGCAAATCTGTGTAGGGCATGCCGGTTTGCCAGAAGGCACGTACGTAAGCTTTGGCAGTCGAGAAGTCTCCCTTCTTCCCGTCTGTTGTGACTTCTAGATAGAATTGGCCTTCAGCGCCCTTCTGGGGAAGGTCGTCAGCTTCCGGTGCTTGCACCCGTGACTTCGTCTTTTTGTCGACGAGCGTACAATGACTCAAGAATTCTTCAATGGATGTATTCAGGTAAATTTCATCTGGATGGAGATTGAGGATTGGGCCATAGAGCCCAATGACCTTGTGCACTTGATCGAGTGTCAGCGGTTTGGCCGTTGTAGTGATGGCTGTCGGCGTCACTAAGCCGCGGACGCTTGATTGGACCACCTGAGGTTGGTATGCGACGGCATCGGTGAAGATATGCCTTTCCCCAATGTTCGAAGCCATAACTGACGCCATTCTGCCGTTTGACGCTCATGTTAAGAGGTCGATGTGCTGGGAAGTATGAGCCTTCATATAGTTGATCGGGAAACCTTCGAGGGCCCGGTAAGCTGAAGACTCGCTCGTATTCGCAAGCTGCATATGCCTCCTGCTGGCGCCCGGAATGAGCTTCAGCTGATTAGCACCTCAGCTTCCGTGTAACAGTCGTGTTGTAGAATGGTCGGGTGAGGGCTTGGCCAAGTGACGCCTCTGCTGAAGTTGGGTTCCACATACTGGCAGACCGGTTAGCCCTGATCTTTGAAAGAGCATTCGAGAGTCCAGCCTGCATCAGCAGATCCACAAGATGGTCTTTCTTCAGTCTCACAATGTGCCTTGTCATCTCATGGACAACACCTGGTAAAGGATCGACATCAAACATGTCCTGCAGCTGAAATGACTGCTGGTGAGACGGCGAGGCCGGCTGGGAGCTTGGCACACAGAATACTCGTATTGCTCAGCTCATCCAGGCCGAAAATGCCCAGTGCAGATGATCACGAGGGCAACTCTTCCTCATCCACGATCATTTGATCAGGCATGTTCGAGAACTGCTCGGCTCAATTGTTGCCAGCAGTTGCCAGGGCGCCGAGCTGGGCCTGCTCGCTCCAAGCGAATTCGCATATGAGTGGAGAGTGGTCCCTGAAGCCCTTCAATGAAGCAACTCGTCGCCTTGCTTGGAGCTGATACGATCACCGAAATGTCAGAGAGACTGATCATGTTCCCATTTTGGGACATCTGCCAGCTCTGTAATTCACACGGAAAACGGTGGCCTCGTGCAGAATGCCCAATTTGATAAGCCGCTCCCACTAATTAGTGCGTCGATCTGACTTGTCCAAATGGAAGTGAGATGTGTATTGAATAGGTCTTAATTGGCAGCCACGATTAGATTCTCGAATCTCAAGGCAATACTTTCCAACACGAAAAGACGGCTGATAGTTTGACAGCGGTTGCTCTAAGGTCGCACATCATTCTCTTGCTCCTTTTGGTAAATTCGAAGCCTCTTCCAACTTCCGCAACCATGGGGGAGGGCTTCCTCTCCTGGACTGAGTATGCGATGGCAAGAACAGAAAGCGGTCAAGGTGCATGAGCGCTGGTCCGTCGATAGGTTAAAAGTTCGAGACATTCACGATCATTTGCCGAGTGGATTTGTCGTCGTACCAGCAATGCTGTGGCAGTGCCTTGTTGATATCAGCCCGGGACTTTCTCTGGAATGTGTTTTGAAAACTCTCGATCAGTGCATCTGGTGACGGCCATTTTATCTGGTAGCGGCAATGTCGGATATGGACAACTCAGTCCTATCGAGCACCAAAGCATGGAACTAAGGGGGATTAGTCAAAGATCGAAAAGGGGTGAAAACTCAGAAACGGAGTTGTTCAGATCTCAAAAAGAATTCACAGCGTTTCATGACTCAACACATTTAACACGTAAATGGTTTGACCGCCAGAGGCATCAGAGATCCCACACAGCGATAGTATCCGTAAGTTGAGCTGTATGCATGGCTCTTTTTGCAAAGTCTTATATGAGCGGCTCCGTCTCATATCACATTCAACAGTGCCATGGAGCAACCCAAAAGGAGAACAACAGAGGCAACCGTTTTGTGAGCAGCACCACCTGTGGCGGAGGCCGAAGCGGCAGATCCCGTTGCCGTAGCGGTCTGAGACACGCTGCTTGCTTCAGAGCTGCCAGAGCCTGTTACTGTCACGGATGCTCCCGGGCTGGCAGGCGTGATGCTGGGACCCGGACCGGCTGTTATCATATCCCCATTTCCGCCTGGATACGTCCCTCCTGCTGCCGCAGTAAAGTCCTGGGGGACTTGAGTCTGGTTACTGACAAAGAAATACATGGCGGCAGCCGGTGTTCGACCCAAATTCGAGTCATCCAAGAACAATGTCAAATTGAAATTTGTCCTATTTGTAGCGTTGTAGCCCTCAAAGGCAGGGGGAAATGTGAAATTATGATGCTGAAAGAAAGTATAGAGAATGTACCGATGGGCAGAAGAGTTCGTCGGAGGAGAAGGATGTAGGTAGGGAGCTCGCGGTTGAGTGGAATTGATGAGTTGGCTAGTTCCATCAGCAGCTTGTGTCCCGGGTGTCATATCGGTTTGCAGCCAATGCAAGATGAATCGAGCGGTCGGGTCTTGAGGGTATCTTGCATCAGGATCAACCATCAGGAGGACGTATGATCCATTGTAGCTGGAAATGGACTCGAATCTGGAGGTCTCGACAGCCACCGTGGGTTCTTCCGAGGTAACTGCGCCTGATCAGCATGGCGAAAACTAGTTGACAGGCACAGACTTACTCTCGATTCCAAATAGTTCCGCCTCAGTGACAAGAATGGGATTGCCATTGTCCTGGTAGGTGATCGAAAGCGCAGTGTCGTTGGGTGCTTCAGGGAAGCCAAAGTCCGGCGGAGGAATGGCTAGAGTAGGTGAGATGGCGAAGAGCACGGGCAACACTGCATGAAAGCGCATCATGAATGAGATACGGAGCGGCTGTTGTCAGTAGATTCGACTTTTCGCGAGTAATATCCAGGTTTCCCAATCCTGCGAGAACGATTTCCAGATGATAGTTGTCTAGGTATAACACTCACCTTGCACCTGTCTTTTAAGTGTGAGACCGAGGACGTCATCGCCAATGCGGCCACTGTCCGTGCCCAAGTCTGAATCACAGCTCCTACGACATCGAGAGGTCCGCTTTGGCCAAGGCCTTCAGAAAGTCCGTGATTGACAATGTCCAGTATATTTGGAAACCATCGCCGCATGCTGTCCACGGGAAACGGAGACTGTTGCTGTGCTACTTCTTGGCATCGCACTCTTGGCTGCGTAGCTGAAACCCTGAAGAAGCCGAGGATCATCCGCCGCCCTAAGATCCCCTCCAAGCTCACCTCTGGGTGACCTCCACCCAACCTCCTAACGTCGCTGTACTAGGTACTTAGTCATCGAACGGCCAACCGTGTTGATACATATATGTGGCAATACTAATGCTAGTCTATTCGTCGATGTGTCAAAGCCCAACTGATCAAAGATAATCGACAAATCCCATATCATTTGGCAAACTCAGCATCCTTTAAGAAGAGCGCGAAAGTGGAAGAACTCTCACGCACCATGTTGAGATCAGCTTCGGAGAGAGATCTATCCCTGTACGAGTATTCCGGGATGCCAAAAACGGCACAATTAAGGTCCTCAGGAAAGCTTGATTTGCGTACTCGTATCTACTGGCGAATCAAAGCTCTCCGGCATCGCGCTGATCCTACACTGGACGTTTTCGATCCGAAAGATTGATAAAGGAATCTCCCTCACAGCTGGCGCCCTCATGGCTTCACCACCTTAAGATGGACGTTGCTGTGGTCGGCTTAGGTATGTGAGTCACGTCTCCCTTTGCCTGTAAAAGATTGATTGACGTATTTCCGGCGATAGGAGCCTTTGGGCTCGTGGCACTTAAGAACCTGAGAGAGGAGGGTTTTAATGCGACCGGCTTCGACAGGAATGACTATGTGGGTGGTCTCTGGCAGTTCACAGAGAAAGATCAAACATCCGTCCTAGAATGTGGGCGACCACCCTTTAGATCAGTCAATGCCTCAGTATGTGCTAACAAGTGTCGAAGCAACAATTGTGAATATCTCGAAAGAGAGGGTAAGTTCCTAATGCTCGCGGCCGAGCCTATACTCTCATTTGCTTAATACCACTAGGGCTGCTTCACAGATTTTCCGTTTCCAAAAGGCAAGTGCCGGCGTTGGTGTGATCGCTGCTTGTCCTGATCTAGAGAATTACCCGTACTATTATTCGCCAATGGACTAACATGTACTAGAGACAAGTTCTCATGCCTCTGCAGCAGACGTCCAAAAGTACCTCGCCGATTATGCGGCCCATTACGAGCTTCTGCCTCATGTACAACTTGGCGTGGACGTGTTGAGTGTAATCAGAGATGACGGCAATAAGAAATGGGTGTTGAATGTCTCCGGAGCGAACACCGCAAACACACCTCTCTCCTTTGACAAAGTTGTAGTGGCCTCTGGGACCAACCATAGGCCAGTAATACCGGTTTTGAAAGGCCAAGAGTCGTATAAGGGGCAAATTCTGCATTCTAGGGGTTTCAAAAGGCCAGTTGCTACCACAGCAGTCCTCAGGCATGTATTGACGCGGATCCGGCAGGCCTTCTGACTACAGGGACAAGAGGGTGATGGTCGTTGGCCTAGGAAATTCCGCAGCCGACACCGCCACGTCTCTTGTGTCAATTGCGAAGAAGATTCTCCTGTCTCACCGGCATGGCGCGTACATGGTCAGTGCTTACGAGCGGGCTGAGACTGATTATGAGAACTCATGTCGATTTAGATACCGAGGTCACAGTCCAACGGAGAGCCGCTCGACCATATCCTCACGTACCGGAAAACCAGGATGTCGCTAACAATGCAGAGATGCTTCCCGCGACAGTGGGAAGCCATCAGTAATAAAATGCTGGGGAAGATCCAGACCGCATCTTTTAAGCTGAGACCCGAATGGCGCATTAATCCTGCACCTTCCGTCGTGCACAACGTACCAACGGTGACGGACACCTTGATACCAGCTTTGGAGAAGGGAGTGATCGAATCTGTTGAGATCGCGACAGAAATCACTGGCGATTTCTCGGTGAAACTTGCAGACGGGAAGGTGGTTGAAGTCGATATCATTATATGGTGCACTGGGTACCATGTCGACTACAGTATTGTTGGTGAGTTTGATCCAACACTCGAGACCTGCCATACGGATGTGTCAAATGAAGCTGTGGAAATGGCGCCACCTACATTTGGAAAACGGCCTACCTCCAACTCAAAGCCCTTCGAACCACCGATTCCTAGACTATATCAAAATCTCCTCTCTCTCACTCACCCGGATTCTCTGGCTTTCCTCGGCACCGCAGCGATTCCGTCGGCCGCGTTCCAGATTTACGATCTCGCGACTATGGCTATTGCACAATTGTGGAAACCTGACGATTTCTCACCATCGCTTCCCTCGCGCCTTGAAATGATCACTTGGGTTCGTCAACACCTCAATTGGGCAAACGGAATCTTAGCCCGAGGAGGCTTCAATACTCGCATGGTCAACGCACCTGACTGGAGCGACTGGCTCGATACAACGTCAGGTTGCCTTGTGACTGAGCATTTAGGTTATGGGCGCAAAGGCTGGACGTTCTGGTGGTACGACAGAAAATTCTGCAACCTTCTCATGGATGGGATATATAGTCCTCACGTCTATCGCTTATTCGACAGCCACGGCCGACGGAAAGCATGGGGGGACGCCAAAGAGGCGATCATCGCTGTCAATGAGGAGGCAGAAAGAAAAGGTAAAGAGAAATTGCAGTGTAGAAGGGATACATAATACAAAGGAGCAGCTAGTTCAGATCAGCTGAGCTGCCACTAGCTATTCCCGAAGTGTTCTTCACAGCAAGGGTTCGATTTTCCCTTTCAAATTTCTGCTATATTTGTCAATATTTGGGCTTGATTGTAACTTAGTGTTACGAAGCTACCTTCATCTGGCCTTTAGGCCAAGCTGTGGTACATTTGGTCAGAGCGGAGCATGAGGTCTTGATCAGCGAACTTAGATGTAACGAAGGGCGTCGCCGCTATATACACTGTCATACCATTGTAAACCCATGGCTCAGTGTGTGACAGCCTCTAGCTAAAACCACATATAGAAGGTCAAGGGGGAAGGCAGCATCGTCGGCAAGGCTGAAAAGATCACCTATCGACTAAAGAAGGAAGTGCTCTAGCACAGGAATGACGCCGGCTCGACCTAGTATAGATTGAAGAAGACATTGGCAATGCTCACGAGAGTACAACCGAACGTGGGGCGCTTCCAGCAGCTGATGGTAGCTAAAACTCGTTCGATTGAGTTATATAGACGCTAGGTTAAACGTATCATGTGGTGATGATCGGTATGATCTACCTGAAGTGGCATGAGCCTGAGCCTTAGCTCTTTGACTCGACATTTTGAGCCGTAGCTGTCATTTTAGACGTCTTGCATACGCGCGTTGTAGCTGCGTCGGTGCTGGGTATGTTCCAAGGTTTTAATGCCTAGGTACCTAGTTAACGTATGAAGAAGTGTCGGAGACTTTCGATCCCTCCTCTAAGGTTAGTGGAATCGCGGAGACTTTTCGTGCATTTGAGGATCCCGAGTATTTATACCACTGGATATTCCAGGGGCATGCACACGAGTACCTTGTATTCTTCTGTCTGAACGGTCTTCAATGACACTGTCAGCTTTGGTGAGCACCTAGGTATTGAGGCAGTGCGCAAAAAGGGAGAACTCCTGCGAGACAAGCTGTAATCTAGAAACATGGCGAAAAACGTCCTTTCCTGTGAGTTTAGAACCTTTGGTTCATACAAGACCCAGTTGAAAAGCGCTTCGTGAGGTTACCTGGCACTAACGAAGTAACAGCTGATGCAGAAGCATGGCATGACCTCGCCAGCAAGGTTTCCACCCAGGAAGCTGGAGTTACAGTGGAGAGAATGGTCGATCGCATGAATGAGATACTTTCATTCGCAGTGGCGAGTGGCATTCTCGACAACGGATGTGGTTCGGGAACCATCATCTCGCACATTCTTGCAAGGTATGGTAACAGCATTCCCGCGGCCGCCAGCATCATGGCCAGCGACTACAGTAAGCATATGCTTGACAAGTTGGCGAGAACACAGCAGGCGAATATATCGGCAGGCAATGAATTCTGGGAGAGACTGCAGCTGCTCAATCTTGATGCCCACGAGATGTCACGGATAGCCGACAGCTCGGTATCTCACGTTACAGGCGGACATTTGTACTTTCTGCTGTCGGATCCACGCAAGGCGTTGTCGGAGACAAGACGAATCATGAAAAAAGATGGTGTGCTGGCGCTCTCGAGTGGCAAGGATAGTCAGCACATAGATGCACTCCAGCAGGCAGTCGAACAAGTTAGGCCAGGGACGCACTTGAACATAATGTCGGGTCCATGGTTCTCGAAAGAGGGTGTCGAAAACGAGTTGTTAGAAACAGGCTTTGTCGACGTAGAGACGATGTTGGTGGAATCTGTTCTTCACTACACAGAACATATTGATCTGGCCCAGACACTGCTGCTGATGCCCATCATGAAGCATTTGATGGGGAGCTATGGCGAAGATGAAAAGCGACACTTGCAGGAAAAAGTGGTCGAGAATCTGCGTGGCATCAATCCTGCTGCGCCTGGAAGCCTCAAGGGAACGTCGATCATCGCATTCGCGCGGAAGAGATAGGGACCACCTAGGACTATCCTTATCATGGCAAACATGCACAAGTACGAACAGATATTCTGCCAAGCTGCGGCTTGATGCAATCGTCATTTGAGTATTGGGTGAGCGGAGCACAGGCAGAGATAGTTGTGGACCGTAGTTAGTAACGCAGAGCACTTGTGTGGTCGGCTTCCATAATGCCAAACCATGCAATTAATGCCGTGATGCAGGCTATGCCTTGGGAATGTCAATAGCAACGGAGTTTTTGCGTCCTAATCAGTAGAGCTGAGAGATTCTGTGCTTTCCCACGGGTATGCTGCGTTAAGAGTGGAGCCCGTAAGGTCCTCGATGTCAAATATGGCGCCGTAACAAATCAGTCAGCATAAGTGTCCGCCTACGGTCATTGAGTGGCTTGAGGGATCGACTAGCGGTTTATTGACATGGATGGCGTGGATTTACATTGTGTGCAGTCCTGAAATTCTCTTCAGGCGTTGAAAATGCACATTTTTCGCTTCTACATCGTCTAAGCCCAGCTGTTACCTGAGCCTAAGACGACGTCAGGGGCACACCTGTAACTACCGACCATGCCACACAAGATGGTTGATCCGTTCGGCGATGTTTCTTCAAAGGCACCTATTCCGGTGACATTATTATCGGGTTTCCTGGGCTCTGGTAAGACCACTTTACTTCGGCATATCTTAACCTCGCCAGATACGAAATTGAAGATCGCGGTGGTCGTCAACGACATGGCCAGCCTCAACATCGACGCTCATATACTCAAAAAGCACATCGTCTCCCAAGCCAATGAGAATGACAAACTCATCCAGCTCCAGAACGGGTGTATTTGCTGCACACTCCGAGGTGATTTGCTCGAAGCACTTGTGTCCATGGCCAAGGTTGGAGAGGCGGAATACATCGTGATTGAAAGCACTGGTATCAGTGAGCCGATGCAGGTCGCTGAGACTTTTACCGAAGAGTTCGCAGAGGCGATGATAGCTGCTGCCAATGAGGAGCCGACAGACGGGGACGACAGCATGCAAGGGCCTGATATCCAAGGTGCTGAAGTGATAAAAGAGGTGGCGGAAATGGGAGGTCTACACAAGTTCACCAGACTGGACACGCTGGTTACCATGGTTGATGCTTTCAATTTTTTCAACAATTTTTCGACGACGGACTTCATTACCGAGCGATGGGGTGGTGAGGCTGATGTGGCTCCTGAGGATGAGCGGACCGTGACAGACCTTATGGTTGACCAAATCGAGTTCGCAAACACAGTCATTATCAATAAAGTCGACTGTGTTGACGAAGACACACGCTTACGGATACATGGTGTGATCAAGAAGCTCAATCCCTTGGCCAAAATTATAGAGTCGAAGTTCGCAAAAGTCGACATTGGAGAGGTTTTGGCCACATCGGTCTTTGATTTCGAAAAGGCCGCGACTGGCATGGGTTGGCTGCAAAGTCTGCACGAGATGTCGAAGCGTGAGATTGGCGGAAAGATCAAGATTGCGCCGAAGCCAGAAACCGAAGAATATGGCATCTCGAGCTTCGTCTACACGGCGAGAATACCATTCCACCCTAAGAGGTTATACGAGCTAGTCCATGACAAATTTGTCGTGATGGAGAATGCTGATCAGGGCGAGGAAGGTGAGGATGGTGATGACGAAGATGAGATGGAGCAGAGCGAGGAGGGTGGAGATACATCGATGGCGGATGCCAGCTCCGATGAGCAGAGCTCTGAGAGCGATTCCGATCCATGGCAGGATGTCGCTGACGATGAGGCCGATGATGATAAGGAACTATCCATACCTGTTGACAACAAGGTGAGTGTTGATACGTTTTCGTAAGCTTGGAGCCACAGTTGACATGAAAAGACAATTATCGAGAACAAGCGCAATCATCCTGTGTTCAAGGGCTTGCTGAGATCGAAAGGCTTCTTCTGGCTTGCTACAAGACCGACCATGCACGGAGCCTGGAGTCAAGCTGGTAATATGTTGACAATGGAAGGTGGAGACCAATGGTTTTGCGTCCAGGACGAATGTATGTTGTTCTCCAAGGCTCTAGCTATGACTGACATGGCATTATAGCCGAATGGCCAGACGACCCTGCAACTAGAGAGTCCATCCTGAAAGACTTTGAAGACCCGTGGGGCGATCGAAGGCAGGAGATCGTGTTCATTGGCGAGAAGCTGGATAAACAGGCCCTCGAAGCGGAATTCGGCAAATGTTTGCTGAACAAGCAAGAAATGCGGAAGTGGGAGCGTATTATGCGCATGAGAAAGAGTGCTCGTGTCATTCAACAAACCCTTGACGACACGTTTGAAGGTAAATACCTCTCCCTTGTCAAGTGGTCTAGCATTACTGAAGCTATAAAAACAGATGGATTTGAAGACTGGCCGGAACCCGACGCGATGGCGGAAGCAGATCGTCATGATCATACAGGACACAAGCACTAGGCTAGGCACTTGTCATCCAATAACCCCTTAGTTTAACCAAATAGAATAAGTATATTCCCGGAATTACCGAGAATACGCTCAAGGCTGTAGTATACTGTCAGCCCATTCTCGTGACGTGAGACAAGGTGAGAAAACTTACTCGTAATCCACCCGATTATCACCGGCATAACTATAACTTTGGGGACATTAACCATAGGGTTTGGGATCTCCTCTGACAAGTGTACACCGGCACCAGTGCCCATGAACCCATATGCGTTGTTCAAAAGACACCTAAGGAACAGAAGCCCCTTGCTATCCCACCCTGAACTTTCACCAACAAATCCTCACTGTAGCACAATTCAACATCACATCAATGAGGCAACTAGAAGAACCACGGCTTGTCAAAGCACGGTGGCAAATTTTCAAACACTCTCGTTAGCGGCAGCCACCTGACGTGGTCTCAACTTCGACGTGATATTAACAGTGACGGCAAGCAACTCGCTTGGGTCCCCTCATCAGAGTGGCCGGCCACCACGAAATGCAGAATGGCGCGATTACAGTAATGTCTTAGTAGTGAACAGTTTTTACATTAAAAGAATCTGTAAACGGACCACGATAGTCCACGAGGATTCAAACCGTAACTAGTCCATACCCGGGAAGAAGTGGCAGACCAACGACGACTACTCCCATGGACGAAAGTTGATTCATGTGAGACTGAAGCGAAAAGCCCCCAATGACCAACCATGTTGACAACTAGGGAAAGGTTCCACGGCGTAGGACTGCTTTAACCCTGCTAAGCTAGGTAGTTAGCCTATTGTCTATCCGACGAAGTTGGGAAGGCCTTTGCGGGCCCCAGTCGTTCTGGTCATGAGTCTGGAACGCGGCTATCTACGGTTTGGTTTAAGCTTTCCTCGTCCCCAGGTCCGGATAATGTTCTTCCGTAGTCGAGGACGCAGCGATAGCGTTTCCCCGCTTTCTTACTAGCGTAGATGGAGCCATCGGCTTTCATTTTGGACCGTACGCCTAGATCTTGTTTCCGCGGTATTGAAATAGCGCGAAGGTTCTTGGATAATGCTCTTCCGGCCAGGTCGCTCAGAAGGTCTTCTAGATTGGATGATTTATAGGTTTCGAGCTTCGTTGGTCGTTGCCACGGCTTCTAGGTGAATCGAGCATATCCCTGGGTAGGCCCTTCATCACCACGAACACCATTCACCGACTATCGAGTCTGTCCTTGCCTGTTTTATGAACAACTACGACCGCGATGGTCATTAGGAAATACAAGGCTGCGATCTCACAGGCTGAGCCGGTCTGGTTCAACCTGCAAGGCGCGGTCAATCGTACGGTCGAGCTCATCCAAGAGGCTGCCGCAAATGGAGCGTCCTTGGTTGCTTTCTCCGAGCTCTGGATTCCAGGTTATCCGAACTTTCTCTGGGGCGGTACCTACAGCGAGAACATTCCCTTGGTTCAAAAGTACATGAAAAACAGTATGGCTGCGCATGGACCCGAAATGCTGCGAATTCGCCAGGCGGCGGCCGCCAACAAGATCCACGTCGTCCTGGGCTTCAGCGAGCGAGTGGCCTGCACCCTATACCTTGCGCAGGTCCTCATCGATGACAAAGGCGACGTTCTCCTCCACCGTCGCAAAATTAAGCCCACCCATCTGGAGCGCACGCTCTTTGGCGATTCGACCGGCGACTCGTTGCAGACGGTCGTGGACACAAATTTGGGAAAGATCGGAATGCTCAACTGCTGGGAACACTTCCAGCCGCTGCTTAAATACCATACCTACGCCCAGAACGAGCAGGTACACGTAGCTGCGTGGCCGTACCACGGCGAGGCACTGGGCGAGGAGCCTTGGTCCGTTTGTACCGAGGCAAACGAGGTGACCGCAAGCCGTATGCATGCGTTGGAAGGAGGCACCTTCGTCTTGGTCAGCAACCAGATGATCTCCGCGGAGGGACTCAAGAAGAACACCGAGGGCCACCATGCAACGGGTAAGTCCTTCTCCGTTGGTGGTGGCGGAGGCGGCGCAGCTCGAGTATTTGGCCCCGACGGCCGCCAGCTCACCAAGGAGTCTGATCCGTACCACGACGGCTTAATCTACTGCGATATCGACCTCGACCTGATCGATCGCGCCAAAACACTGGCGGACCCGGTCGGGCACTATTCGCGGCCGGACCTGTTGCGGCTGATTGTGGACGACCGGCCTAAGCATTATGAAACTAATGCTGATGGGGGGCCACCGAAAACACTCACATCCGCGTTCAAACCTCTCGCCGAAACGATTGCGGAGTTTGAGAACATGGCATCGTGATAGCTAGGGGACCCCGATGGGAGAGGACGGAGACACTAAGAATATGTAGTGAGGACATGTCGGCATCTACAGCTCTATTCTTGTACACCTTTCGTAGGGCTCAAACGACTTGTTGGGGCAGTACCGGCGCACAACAGCCATGACCGCTATATTTGTCTTCATCAACTTGACCTGGCTGTTCTGGGTATCCAAAGCACCAAGCATTCGAACGGTATACATAATCAACTTGGCGTTTCTGTGCGTGCTTCTGGTTTCCGGTGCAGGACTCTCGTTATATTATCTCCGCCAGGACAGAATTAGCGACGTCTTTGTTCGAAGCGGCAGAATTGAAGAGTACGGGACGGACAAGGACGGTGAATGTCATCCAATCTTCCGATATGTTCGTTGATATTGAAGAGGTCTTAGAAAATATGGAGGGTTTGAAGCTTAGTTTTCCCGGAGACCGCCTTTTAGCTGCGAAATAAAGCATTCATGGGACACCCATTCCCCATATATCCTGGTCAAAGAAGTTATAGTCCATTTGAGGGTCTGAGAACACGCTGTCGAACGAGAGCAGCCAGTCAATATTCTGCGGCGATGTTTCGAACGTGGCGGCTGCAGCTCCGTCAATGGGTCCATCAGTAGTATCAGAACTGTTATCGTTACCGGCACTGGGCCCTCCCAGATCCAGCTCATTCATCACCAGGGCAGTCGGCACTACATTCCCCGGCTTCTGATTGCCTTGAGAGTGTAGTTTCTCGTTCACAGCCCATTCTTCGGCAAGTATTTGCAAGGAGCGGATTGCACGGAGACCCCATGACCAGGCAGTGCTCATCTCCTGGAGACATGCCAGATTGAATTTCAGCAATCGGATAGCTGAACGGCTGATTTCAGCGTCATTAGAAGTGGCATTCAACAACAATATCACTGAAGAAGTGCCCACTGCATGTACCGTCGATATGGGTATCCTCCTCTGTCGCCAGACTCAGCGCACGTATTGACGAAGTTGTGCAGGCGTACCTACCAACGAATAGTTTGACCGATAAGCTCTGAGGATGCTGGAGATGGCCTCAGCAGAGGAAGTGCAGATATGACGATGAGAGAGGGGGTCAATATCAGGAAATGAAGTCAACGGCTCTTCGCGACGCAGGAATGGCCGGTGGAGTAAGATGACGACCGTGTGATACTGCAAGCTGCGGAATGGTCAGTCTTTTGACTGTGGCCAAATCAAGTAGTGTCAGAAAAACCTACTGAAGCGAGTACATATGGGCGGGAAGAGCCGTCTTAGTTGAATGGGGTAGTTTCAATATGCTAGGCAGATTTGAGTATTGCTTGGTAAGGGGGACGTGGGTCTTTGTGGCCATTTCTTGCTTCTCGGAGAAGGTGAGCTCGCTGTTGGGACCGTATCTAGAGTAGTGAGCATTCCTAGTGCCGAATAGTGTGGCAAGAGTGACAAACATTTTGTCAAGGGTCGGGCAGACAAGCTGAAATATTGTTGTCATATACCGCAAATTCGTTACGCAGTGGGATGCGAGGGGTTGTGTGGACTTTCCCTCTCCAGTCGTTATCCAGGGGATGAACTCCTCTTCCTTTAGGAGGGTCGGTTTCGGCGTGGTGATATCGCTTTCGCGTATCATGCTGGGGCGTCCAAGTCCGATGTTAAAGAGCCTGAATGACATCAGCTTGACCCTGACACACCTCCAAAGTCGAGAGTACTTGTCTAGAAGATAGCAGCCCCACCAAGTAATCTTTCTAATTTCGGATTGTTCTTCTGTGATCTTGTTCTGTTGAACCCAATTTTGGCAGTCTAAGTTCAAGCCTAGGTTATATGCGACACGAACTGCCATCCCTAAGCCCATTTCAAGTCAGTAGGCTTCCATATACGCAAAAGGCTGGACATTTACCAATATAGATCCATCCCAGAGTCTCTTTATTGACGGACATCTCCCGTAGGGCCAAGACGGCGAGTGCAGCTACCGTTGAAGTGGATGGGTGTTCTATCTCGATACTCAAGATATCCTTGGCTTGAGCAACCAGAAGATCACCAGCCGTATTTGCGTCGCTCGGATCTAGGCGAGGCCCTGGGTGGTCACAGTACCTGCTGGCCAGAGCGAGAACACAGCGGAGAAGAAGCGGGGTGCAGTATTCGTTATACAACCCACACTCGAATGCCCGACAAAAGGCTCCGCGATGGATCAAATACTGCCAGGAATTCTGCCACTTCCAGTATAAGTCTAGTAGGTGAATCTGCAATTCGTGTGAGAGATCAATATCAATTGTGTTTGGCTGCATAGTCAGGTCCAGGTCATCTTGCCTTATGCTCCCGGTAGTCATATACGGAGCACTCCTAAGTAAATTAAAGTAGCTTGGAGCTCCGAAGAATCGTAGATGGCCATCCTCGGCAACGTCCAATTGACCCGTAGTCTCTGTCAGCTCGTCGACAGGGTCTCGCTCTGTCGCAGGCCGTGGATTGAGTTCTTGAATATGAGATTGCGCGGGACAGAAGTCCTCCCCGACTGGTGATGTGACAACGGCCGGATCTTGGTTCACGAAGTCCAACGCGGTAGATAGAGATCCATGTTGTCGGTATGTATATAGTTGGCGTTCTAGAGATTTAATACGTGCATGAAGCGCTTCGACATAATGCTTCGTTGGCGGCCTAGTTTTCTCAGGGTCTCACTCGAAAGAGCGCGCAGGGCACCATACTTGCGCTTCTCTGTCCCATAGAGATATTCACACAGTTTTCCTAGCCGGACACACGTACTGCATTCCGGCATCTGGCCGTCGCACTGGATCTACTGTCAGCGTACATACCTCGAGCAGTGCGGGATAACTCCCTCACCCGGGATCTTCTTAGGCGGCACGTTGTGCAAGCTACCGAAACTCGTTGCCTTGGGGTCTTTTGAGACATTTGATCCAACACTGGTGCCGGAGCGTCTACAAATGACGCTATATATATGTGGGAGATTTACTATCGAGAACTCCTCACTGTGGCGGACAAGGATGAAAATATCAGCGAGATTACAAGCACCAGTAAGTCTTGTACATGATTAGATAAAGCTAAATTCCTCATGTGCACAAGTCATTCCCACATCACGTGATGATACTGAAATCGTAGTGTGACTACACTGAGTGGCCAAAAGTTAAGGCACACCCCACCATTGTTACAAGTCGCTTTACAACACATAAGGTGTCAGCGAGCAAACCTAAAGTAGTTTACTTAGTAATATAGTAGTGGGGCTTAATATAGCTAAGATAGAAACTAAGAGTATAGTATATAACTATATATATATCAGTAGTTTTTCCCGCGACCTATAGCTAAGGTAAATACCTATAGGGCCTAGGGAGTCTAGCGCTATCTATAGGAGCTTAAAACTACTATTAGCTAATATTATTATATCTTTAGTTCTATAAATACTTATTATATTCCTTAATATTGAACTAGGGTGAGGCTTTAAGGCTATAGGTATGATGTTACGAACAGGCCAAGAGGTAAACGCAGAAGGAAACTTAGAAGGGAGGTTTACTGAAGGAGTAACGACACAAGCTAGGCATATAATCTACTCTATTATACTCCTAAGGCTAAATAGAGCTATATAGAGTCTAGTACTCTATTATACTCCTAAGACTAAATAGAGCTAGATAGAGCTATATAAGTTCTCTAACCTCTCATCATTTAGTCATCCACCGTGGAATACCATTCCGAATAGGTATAGCGGCGTCCTAATTAGGAAGTAACTATTTTAATTAGTATTCCACTAGTTTTAATTAGTATTTCACTATCTATCTTCTAACCTCTCATCATTTGGTTATCCACCGTGGAATACCATTCTGAATAGGTATAGCGGCGTCCTAATTAGGAAGTAACTATTTTAATTA